AACATAGATCCAATTCGAAATCATAACGTTAATTATTCATTAGCAAGCGTTACTAATGGGGTCGCAACGGACTACGAAGATTCCTTTTGTGGCCGCCTCTTTTATGCAATCGTTGATGTCAAGATGGCGAGAGGACACAAACGTGGCGTACTACTGGCATGATAATGACTTTAGATTTGCATCTATGAATCTACACATACATAATTATATATTGTAAAAAAAAATGTGAGCCACCATATAACGTCTGGTAGGTTGAAACATCGAAATTACGTCGCCACACCGCATTACATGTTACTATTATATCCATATCATAGCGTGGCGACGCATGCCGTGGCGACGTCGTCACGCCTACAGCCAGTTTGACCCCTCACGTTAGATGTTTAACACTTCATCACTATAAAAAGTGCATATGTCTATCACTTTTTATTATTATTCAGCTCGGACTGGAGAGCGAAAATTGGCGATTATAAAATTGCAGTTAAATAATTAACTGTCACAATTAAATAATTATTTTAAATAATTAAGATGCCACCTAGCATGTTTTTGAACAGATTGCATGTGGTGAGCCGTCTCTAGAAATGCCGAACAAACTCGAAAAATGGTCTAGGTCATTTATATGTAGATTATTATTCCCGCAGGTGCGAAGAGTGTATTGCCCGTTAAGTTGATAGGCGACCTTGTATGAACCTTAGTCAATATTTAGAAATGATCCAGAGACGTTCGACTTGCTACTTCTTTACCTTTTTCTCCCGTACCGGAATGAGAAGAGAAACAAAAATGTCAACAATGTGTATGAATCTCAGATGAGAGCGATTCACATTTTTGAGCACTGTCGCGGGAAGTAAAGGTGCATTACAAAACATTGAAGAGCGTGTAATGCAATTACGACGCTAGTTGAACTATTTGTTTAGACAGATAACTAATAATATAACATTGAAACATTCGGCTCCTAGCATTCCAAACTATTGCTCCTTCGTTGGTCGTGACTGATATTAATTTAAGTACTTACGAAACTTCTGCGGGGATAAATAGTCATTGATGTAGGTATTTATTTTTCTACAATGAAACACGACATTGTTATTCAGTCGATTGTTGAAGGACGTGATTGCAGATGGTGTGGGTCGAATTAGTCCTAATGGAACCAGCACTGATTTGTATACAATGATCATTGTTCCTACACTTGACAGGGGATAAGCGATGGCATTAAGTATTTTCACAACTCAATATTTACTTTGTGATCTTATTGTGGCAGTTTAATAGGTCTGAATACATTATTTAAACATTATGCATAAAGCTTTTTATTTTATGGTTGGCGCTTGTCGCCACGGTTGTATTTTTACACTAATAGCTGTTGCGTTTCGTCACTAAGAAAAGTATCGTAAATTACGTACTCGGAGAAGTCACAGATGTCAGCATCGGTGATTAAATTTAAAATAATGTATCTTCTGCAGAATAGGGTCAAATTATAATTATTCATGTGACGCTTATCTTATAATTTTGTTTTGTCTATATTAGTATCTTATGCAATAGCTGGTCAGTTTTATTAATAAGAAATATCTTTTAAATTTCTTATTTTTGTTGTTTTTGTACCACTATGTACCGAAAGTATGTATGTAAGACTTGAGGTATTTAAACATTGTTGACTTGCGGTTTTAGCCAAATCAACTTAACGTGGTAACTTATCTGAAAGAAGATAGTGAACATCAGTATCATCACAGTAGTATATCCTGCCAGCATCCAAGACTATTATCTAAAATTACATAATTTTTGAGCAGATCTAATTAAGACAAAAGATTCTTTAGAATCGTTATTAAAGTTTTTAGGAAAGGCTCTTTTTGGGCCATGCCTGCAGTAACAAATCTGAAATCTTTTCAACTAACGAATTATAAAGATTTATTTAAATCGATTTCATGATATATTTGTTAATAGTACTCAACTACGTGCAAAGACTAATTATGCATCATATTTACAAATTGAACATCTCTGGTATTCATTTTAAAAATACCAGATAACAAACGCAGAGTTCAATAAATGTTATTAACTGACTTAATTTCTTATTACATAACACGATTGACTAGGCCTAGAAATTCATACTATACTGACAACAGGAGTATACTAAGCCGCCCACCCGTAGGACACATGCCACTTAATGCCAAGCTAGGTTTAAGGTGCTTTTCCCTGTAGGTTAGTTCTCCTAAAATGAGTTTTGTAGTGTTGACCACATAATTGTAAAAACATAACAAAAGAAATAATTAGTTTAATAGGAGAAAATAATAGTTTCTCTAGCAAGATGTTTTTGGATAGCTATTATAATAAATAAATAATTATTTCATGTATTTAAAAGTAATCCAACAACCTATTCCATTCATATTTTTAGCCTGTGTTTGTGTGTTAAGTGTGGGTCTACTTGAAACAAACCAAATGACCTTTTGATAACCTTAGCGCAACACTGAGATAGCTAGACCAACCAGACACATTTTGTAATAAAGGTGTGTATACACTCAAAAATATTTTTAACCTTCTTTGTATATTGGAACAAATTTGAGTTCATAATTAGGCATTACAAGGCGACAGACGGATGGGTAAGTCTACATTTGTGTAAATTTATGCGTCGTTTCGTAAGCTCTCGTCTATATTTTTGCCGTTATATCACAAATACAGAATATGATATCTCATAAATTTTGTTTCAGTTCTTTTGACACATTTCCTTTGATAATTCGAATAAAATTGTTTGAAGTGTCAGAAAACACAGATGAATGGTGTAACGGAATGTAAAAGAATTTGAGCCCACAGATAATATTAATAGATGCTATGAAGATATTTATAGTCATAACATAACTGAGTGTAGCTATTACATATGAGTGGTGACTAAAATAACTAAACAGTTTAAGTATTGGTTATTGTGCGTGTAATTAATGTTCCAGTTTTCATTAATTTCCAATGCTATTTTGAACTATACGTGAAATGTTCTATCAGATATTTTCTGTTTTTTGAGTTCCCGTTTCTCAATAGGATAATTAGAAGTCTTATAGTATGGGTACATTCAAACTTGTAGGATACTTTCCTTGATCGAGAATTATAAAATTTAACGTATTTTATTTTCCAATGGCAAACATATTTTATGTTTGTCACCCAAATAAAAGTAGCAAGTACCTTCGAAAATCGAAATCCAATATTTACGAATCTACATACATACAGTTTTAAATAGAACCATCTTGACCCGCTGACTACCACTTCTGCAAACTTGTATACACATAAAAGCTTTACCTCTTATCAGAAGAACTATTTACAATACTATAATAATGATTCCAAACTCTCTACATTCTAAGCATTGGTCAGGAACGTCGTCTCATACCAAGCCTAACAAACTTCGAATAATGTTGGTTTTCAAAACATTTTCATTTACTGGGTGGTAGATATTAGGTTACTGATGTTTATTTTCTCTTCTTCTGCCACGAGTTAGTAAAAGTCAATATCAAGAACACAGAAACAAGAAACAGTGCAGCTGATACTTTTGTGGCATAAATGTATTAGGTTATTATATATTAATCAACGGCTGCTGCTGAAATTTTGAGTTACTAAAGAAAAATGAGGTTAAGAACCTATTTCTTACAAGTATGAATGTGGGGCTTTTTGCAAATGTGAATGAAAAAAGATGTTACTGTTGTAGAGTCCTGATGACTAATGTAGAAGATTTTTTTTATTAAAATTTCATGTCGTTACATCTCTTAACCACTCTACAGGTTCAACAGCGTTCAACTGTTTAGTTGCGATTAAACAATTTAGTCGCAAAGACTGAGCAGAACTTCTAAAGTAATTAAATCAATGAGGGACATATCTAAATGGATGATGTAATTGGATATTTTAAAAGGGACGACTGTCATTCGTTAGTGTTGGGCAACATGTTCGTACATCAATTAATGTCATTAAAGGAGGCTGCGGGTGTTCCGTGCGTTACAGCCATAGATAACCTTAAGATAGATTTGGAAAGCTGTATGCCTAATGCTGCTTTACGTAGTTCTTTAAATACCTCTTTAATCATGTAAATATGATTAAACAGTTATTTAAAGAACAATACTCCCTGAACTAAATATATTTATTTACGTAGTACTTACCTTTCCGCATACCATGTAGGTACCTTGCTCTATAAAGTCTTGATCTTAATTGTATTCGTTAACTTAAAGAAAAATACATTACTGTGAATGTAGTAAAGAAATTAATAAGTTTTTAGTAAGTGTGAACTAAATGGGAAGACAAGTGAGAGTAAGACATGATAAAAAATACTTATACTTATGTAGTTACGATTGTGATAATCTTAATAATCACTAGCTGCTAATCTTCTACTCTATTTAATAGACATCTATGGTTACGAGCCCCAATGCCTATAGAACATGTGTTAGTTCCCAGCTAACTAACATCAGCAATATGCCTCGTAGTTGCACAACTTTTATGAGAGAAGTTCTTTTGCATGTTATTCGCTCCTAATGTGGTAATTATGAGGATGTGTTATAAATATACAACATAAATCTGTTCTATAACACAACGTTTGTAGTTTCGGGATTAAGGAAAATAAACCTTGCCAGTAGATCGCAAGATCCTTCTTGGGGAGGCCTTCGTTCAACAGTGGATGTCGAGAGGCTGAAGATGAGTAGATAGATATATTTCTAGATTGTTATGTATAAGTACTAGTACTACTGTTATTTAACATATTTAAGTATAGAAATTTGGGGATTTTGTTTGTGTGCCTACAGTGCTCATAAATAGGGAAGAAAATAATCGTACTAACTGCTCTTTTGCCTTAGCCTATTTGTATTATATATGTACACCGGGAAATCGGTTTCAGGTAATTTAAGTTGTACAACTCGGTTGAGAAAGTATCAAGGTTTAAATGAAAACAAATTTGTTGTTTGAGTATTTTTATTTAAATATCTGTCAAAAGTTTTTTTTAAAGAAGATAACAGAAAAATCTGACATTTAACAGTTCTGTGTACTTGTTTCAGATGTCTCTAGTAGAGATAGCGTCGAACGCGTCAACGTTTGAACAATGGGTACCGAATATCTACAGGTTTTGTACGCCGCGATTAGTAAGTATTACATTTCATTTATTTTAAAAATTCAACATCAAACAATAATACCAACATAAATTAAATACATTAAAATTTCACAATTGCTAAATATACCATTGTCCGGTAGCGAGAGATCCACTCCGATGACTGCAGTGAGGGCCCGGCGCTGCGCCGCCCATGCGGGGCAGACCGCCAGCGTGTGCTGGGCCGAGTCCTCACTGCAGTCGCAGTGGTGGCAGGCGGGACTCAGTTCCCTCCTAGCGACCGTGTGCAGGTACTTTCCGAAGCAACCGTGCCCGGAAAGCACCTGCGTCAGCCGGAAGGAAAGGGTCCCGTGCTGCCGCCCTGCCCACTCGGCGATGACCGGCTGGAGAGCCTCCACGGCGGCGAAGCCAGCGCGTGGAGTCTCCAGCCGGAACGACCAACGAGCCATCGTGGCTCGGCGAGCGGCTTCGCGCCACTCGCGCACATCCTCGGGCGGAGGGCGAAATCCGCTTTCCGCCCGGAAGTCAGCCACTCGCCGATAAACTTCGGCGAGCACTTCCGCCTCCAAATCCCACGGGGGAGTTCCGGCCAACGCGCATGCCACCTCCGTCGACACGGTGATGTAACCGCGTATGGCTCTGACCGCCATTACCCTCTGAGGGCGCCAGAGGCGTACCCTATTCTGGGCGGTCAAAGCCGCCGCCCACACCGGTGCACCGTACAGTGCCATTGACCGGACAACCCCCGTGTACAGCCGTCTTGTCGCGACGCTGGGTCCACCCATATTGGGCAAAAGTCGCCCTAGGGCAGACGCAGCGCCGACCAGCTTTGGAGCAAGCTGTCGGAAGTGCTCGTCGAAGAGCCACCTCCCGTCGAGGATCAGGCCCAGATATTTCATCTGGGCCCGAACCGGTACGAGGACCGAGTTGACCACGATTGAGGCGCCAGGGGGTGGACCACGACGGGGCCCATGAAATAACAGGGCCTCCGTCTTATCTAGGGCCACCCGTAAGCCCAGCGCCTCAATGCGCCCGACCACCAGGGAGACTCCCCCTGTGGCCAGGCGCGCCGCCTCTTGGAAGTTTGCCCCCCGGGCTGTAACCAGTGTATCGTCTGCGTAACAGATTACACCCAGCCCGGGGGGGAAATCGGCGCGAAGGGCCCAGTCGTACCCTATGTTCCACAAGAGGGGTCCAAGAACAGACCCCTGTGGAACACCGCACGACATGGGCCGACACCTCAAATTACCTTCTCGGTCCTCGTACACGACGGTACGCTCCTCTAAATAGTGTGCCACTAGCCGCCTCAGGTACTTTGGCACCCCATGTTAGTGGAGTGCTTCCCTGATGCAGCTGAATGGCAGACTATTGAATGCGTTGGCGATGTCTAATGACACCGCCAACAGCACGCCGCCACAGCTCACGGCCTCTTCGGTCACGGCCCTCAGGCGCAACACGGCGTCAACTGTCGAACGCCCCGCCCGAAAACCAAATTGGGCGTCCGACAGATCGGGGCCCACCTCGCAGAGGTGCTGGACGATGCGGGCAGAAAGAACCCTCTCAAACAATTTGCCCGCCTCGTCCAGCAGCACGATGGGCCTATAGGCCGCGACCGAATCGGCAGGCCGTCCCGGCTTCCTCAATTGGACCAGCTTCCCGCTCTTCCAGCACTCAGGGAAGCGTCCCGACGCCAAGCTAGCGTCGAACACCTCCCCGAGGCGGTCTGCCATGTAGTTGAGGGCCAGGGCCAGCACTCGGGCCGGTACCCCGTCTGGCCCAGGGGCGGTGTTCTTGGAACGGTTCCGTAGAACAGCCGCCCCTACCTCCGAATCCCGGACGGGCGGAACATTGTCCTCCCCGTGCTCCCCGTCGTCTCCGGCCAGGGAGGCCATCGACGGGGGAGTGTGTTCCGCTCGTTGTGGGAAAAGGCCCTCAACCACTTCTCGCAGGAAGCTGGGCTGGAGAGTCTCCGTAAGGGGGGGGCCCGACGCGCGGAGCTTTTGTCGCACCGCGCGGTAAGGGCGACCCCAGGGGTCACGATTAAGACCCTCCAGCATCTCCTGTCTCTTTTCCTCTTTGGCGCGGCTAATGGCCAGCTTCAGAGTTTTCCGAGCCCGTCGGTACTCCTCATGAAGCCGGTCCTCCTCACCGTCTCCACGGTGACGTCGCCGACTGCGTGTGTAGGACCTCCGGGCACGTGTACAGGCCGCACGGAGGTCCGCCAGCTCCTGGGACCACCAGTAGACCTCCTTCCTTGGAGGCCGACGACCTCGAATGCGGGGCATGGCCGCATCGCAGATATGCGTAATCGCATCGCGAAAGCGACCAGCCCCCACGTCAACCTCCTCGGTCGAAGCCTGTGGAGACAGCCACGAGTGTATTATGGCTGCCTCCTCTAGTAGGTCCCGGTTCAGTCTGGCAACAGCCCACCGCGGAAAGCGGGATAAACGCCGCGCCACGTGACCCCTACTGGAGTCCTGGGTCCGGGAGAGCTCAAATCGGATATACAGGTGATCCGAGAGCGTCTCAACCTCTTCCAGGACACGCCAGTTCCTTACTCGTGCGGCGAGGGCAGGGGTAGCGAACGAGAGGTCCACTATCGACCCCCCCTGCTGTCGCACGCACGTGTTGGTGGAGCCTCTGTTGAGAAGACAGAGGCCCACCGAGGCCGCCCACTCCTCTACGGCCTCGCCCCTTGCGTCCGTCCTGGGGGAACCCCACGCAATGGACTTTGCGTTGAAGTCCCCCAGCACAAGGACGTGCCCAGACGCTAGTCGCCGTATCGAGGTCTCCAAGCTGGTTAGGAAAACCTCGAAGTCGTTCAAACTCCGGTTGGGGGAGAAATAAACACCATATATGGTGATCCCCCCCCACTCGACGGCAACATATCCAGTGCCCTTGTCTCTTAGCGACAAGGGCGGGGAATGAGCCGTCGTGGAACCGACGACTGCCACGGAGCCGTCCCGGTCACCCATCCAGTTTGGACGGGGAGGGACAGAATAGGGCTCCGCGACTACGGCAACACCTATCGACCACTGTGCCATGGTTTGCAGGAAGAGATCCTGCGCCGCGGCACAGTGGTTCAGGTTCGTCTGGACCAGGAGGCTGGAGACCCGATCCATTACTGGATCGTCTCTACAGCCCCCTCCATGGGCGACGACGTCGACGCACGAACTACATCGGAGGCAGCCTGGGTCGACTGGCTAGCCCCCGATGCTTGCTGAGAGTTGCGGGGAGGCTTGCAGCCCCCCTTCCCCATCTGGTGATTGGCGGGCTTGTTACCCGCCGCACACACCGGGCAGTGAGGAGCGGCAGAGCATTCCACCGCCACATGCCCCGGTCGACCACAGCGGAAACATAGTCCGCTGCAGTCGAAGCAGCTTTGGCACTTGACGCGCGTGTGCCCCGATGCTAGGCATTTGTAACACCTCATCGGTCTCGCCGCCAGGACTGTGATCCTAGCGCTCACGAAACCGATGAGCAGCCTGCCGGCGTCAGCCAATACTTTGGCCGCCAAGAAGATCGTAGGCACAGTAAGTCGACACCGTCCATTCAAACAATCACAGCTTAGGCCTCATGTATTGAGTGAGCGCTTCGAAATAAACCTTCATTCATTTTCGTCAATAAACCGCCTATCCGTATTGTATTGTAATTGGGGTGGGTTTAGAGTTTCCTGCCTTCGCACAAAGTGGTTCACCGATGTATAGAGTTACTTCAAACAATAGCTGAGGAGAAAAGGAGGAATAAAAACAGCACTTTGATTTACAAATGGAGGGCATCAATGAATATCTGTGCGGGATTGTATGCAGGTATTGTAATGTTGTCTCTTCTTTTGTTGCAGATTGAATTTTGGATTTGCATGAATAAGACAATTCAAGGTAATTTTATTTCTTGAAATTATGGCCATATGTATATAGTATTATATGTTTTAAGTTATAGTTCGACTTCACTTGTATAGACATATTTACGTATATGACCTTTGACTTTTTAACAGAATTTTAGAAAGAAACAGACCATAAACCAATATCTCATTATGTGTTGGTTTATACGAGTTACGATAGGTATTAAATATATAATGAAGGATACAAGTACCTATTCATAAATAAACTTATTTATAGGATGGCACAAAATTGGCATCGAATAAAATTATATCACGTGACAGCCGAAAGATAATTAAAAGCAGATTTAATTGCTGAATGTTGGCTATCCAAAAAAGGCTTTCGTAAGGTGAATGTTGATCGTGGCATGGGTCTATAGTGAGAAGAGATAGAGAGTAGAGAGAACTTTGTTATTAAATTTATCAATATATTTATTCTTTAAGCAGAAGTGGTGTCAGGTTCAGGCTGGTGGGGTCGAGCGTGTTGTTCCTTAGGGAGACTAACTACTTGCCGACACGCATGCGCAATGGCCGCCAATCAGAGTGCTCTTGTCGGCGCTGGCGCATGCCGGAGGTCCGATGAGATCGATTTCTTTGACTGTGTGCAGAGGCAAGAGGAGGCACAGCAATGCTGTTGTGAGTAATCGTAATTCAAATTGGTTGATTTATAATTATAAAAAAATATATCTGAAATTGTCGTCGACTTAAAAAGATATGAATTAGCAAAGCACGTTAGCACATATAAAAATTAAATTAAAACTATATATGTATATATTTAGTAATTGCAAATGTTTTACCGTAAACAAGGTCATCTCAATTTGAGGCAATCAGAAATAAACAAGACAACTAATTGGGGAAGCAATGTTCAGTTCAAACGACTCTCTTGTAAAAAATTAAAGAGGAAACGATAAATTAACATGTGTAACTTCCGTTTTATGACTGGATAGTTAAAATTATTTAGTTTTTTTTTGGGATTACTTTTGTCAGCATAAGTATCTTTAGTTCAGTTTGCTGTGTTCAAGAACATCAATTGGCATGATTTAATTGGATATTATTTATTTACAATGTTAATTTGATTGGAATTGAAGCCAATATGTGAACTAAAAGTTAAAAAGAACATAAACGATTTGTTCTAATTAAAAAACATATTTAGTCCAAAGACACACTAATGAAATTTAAAACTGAAGTTTCCTCATTTTAAAAAGATAATTATCCTTTTTTTTAAATTAACAAATTATCAAAAAAGCATAACAACTTATAGCATAAACCAAAAAAAAAAATAGTAGCTACAAAATTAGTTATTATAATTATAATGTTTGTATATCGTTTTAAACATTCGCAGCGCAGACCCAATCGTTGACATGCCACGGAGAGTGCCAAAAGGCATTATGGCGTCTCGGTCAATCACGAGTAGACCTGCAAGCTACATCCACAGCACTGCAAGCGTGTGAGGAATCCCCTGATTTATTGAGGTGTCTGAGAGATCTCACCGATTCGGTGGTCTCCACTGATACATTAAAATGTAAGTTAATCTTCTAGAAACTATAAGAAAACTTTGAAATCGTGTTTTAAATCCACTCTAAAAAAAGTACGATACGTCCACGTACAGTAGCTACAATCCATAGTATGCAAGTATATGAAGACTATGGATTGTAGATATTATGGAATCTGAATATTCAGGTTCCGGAAAATCTCGTTAAATAAAGTAACAAAATTTAATTGATAAAATACCTTTCAAACAAATAACTGATAACTGTATACTACATTAAGTGAAATACTTACGAATTAGACGTTGATCTGTATCATTCTTCATCATTATTAAAGTATCATGTTTTTTCAGATCTGCCGTGTTGTCGTGAATCCAACAGACAAGAATGCCAACCAACGTGTGAAAGAGTCCTTCGAAGTACGCAAGTGTTACAAGAAATCGTAGATGCTTTAGAAGACGACTGTGGTGCGCCTGTTATACACGATGGTTTCTGGCAATGTTTCTTGAAGAAGGATACACCACCTGAACCTAAAGACCTTATCCCGCATGACATATCAAAGCTCCATTGTTGTCAAAAGGTAAATAAAATAGACTTTAATTTATATAATAAATAAATATTGTTTAGCCTCTATTTCATTATTTAATATTTTAGGCAGCAACGATAAACTGCAGAAGATTGTGCTTCGACACATTTAACACGGGCTGGCAAACCACTTGGCAAAAGTTTTATTCAGAATGTTTGGGTGATCCTCAGGAGATCAGATTATCTGAATGTATGGATGACGGTAAGTTTACTAATAGACTAGACTAAAAGCTATAACTGTGGGCTGCTCATCGTTGACTTTGTTAAGCTAGGACCAAAGACGCATACTTCATTCTAGAGTAGAGGTTTGAAAACTTAAATATTATTATATATAAATTAAATAAATAAATAAATAGAAGTCATATCTTCTTTGCGAAGTTGGCTGAAAAAAATAGTTAGGCAGAAATACGGTACGGAACATAATACTAGTATTGATATATAGGTAGTAAATATAAATAGAAGGTGACCAACAACAGTTTAGCGACTTTAAGCTGATTTAAATTAGCTTTCATAGAATGTCTACCGTTAAATTTCCATATGCATGTGTAGAATCCCAGTACTTTGATGTCACGATGCGTTTTCCATTGCAATGAAGGGATCTGACTGGAATATATCGTACTGATTAACGGCTTGTGTTTTGTACTGCCGATAAATGATACAACCTGCGATCGACTAAGTTACGAGTACATAGGTTTCTTAATCCTGTTTGAATACTTTAATTGTAAAAGAATATCTTGAAGCTTTTGTATTTACGCAGACAAAGTATAAGAAGATTTTTCTTCAGTTAAAATGGTATTAATAGACAGATAAACAAGTTTTTATTTCACCTAAAAAGTAATTTTATTAAAACTTATAAGTATTTTTGACAGCCATTCGCCATTGCTTTTCATTCCATTACATAAAAGAGTCCTTGGCTTTAAACTTCAATCTTTGGCTTACCCATTTATGAATCTGAGAATCAAGCCCACCTCAGCTCCTATATCTATTTAAAATTAGCATATTTAATGCGTAAAAATAGAGCTTACCCTATACCATGCAAATTGTGAAGGAAGATGTGACTTTACATTGTCTAATTTTTACTGAGACTATTTGTCGGCTTGTCGACGATGTCTTCATGCATTGTTTTAAGATAAGGTCTGCTAAGTCAGCACCAAACATGAGTTAAATTCTTGCATTTTGACTTTTACAGTGGACGCTCCTTGTTCGCTAGGCTGCGCAGGTTTAACATATTGCAGCCAACTGAATAATAGGCCAACTACTTTGTTTCGGTCATGTACGGCGCAGGCTGATCTAGAAGCACATTTAGCTGTGGCTGAGCAAAAAGGAAGTGGGTAAGATTGCTAATGACTTAAACATTAATAAATTTGTAAAACCAAAATTATTTATTGTGACATCCAAATATATTTTCGATTTTTATTCTCGCAAGGCTAAAATTTAGTGAGGAGTTTGAGAAATATTTTGTTTTTGATTCAATATTGTTTATTTCAGAGTTTTGCTAATTTCGGGTATGGAGTTGCCGCTGAAAAACTCAACCTTGTGTCCAATTGACATTTGGAAAAGTGTTGCTTGCGCTTTACATGTTAAACCTTGTACCGCTAAGGTAAGCTTTTTGATAGTATAGAGATTAATGGTATTTTTCGCAGCTTTCTTTATGAGGAGAATTTTATTATGAACCTACTAAAGGATATTTGAAACTACATCTTGCTCATTTAAAGTCTGATATGAATTAAATAAGTATTATCATTCTAATTTTTCTGCTCTTTTCTGAATTTTATGTAACATGCAAAGGATTTTAGTAGGTTTCCTATCGGTTTCCATTACCTAACTGGACCCTTTAATGATGTAAACGATTCTCAACGAAAAAAAATGGGGACGGTAAATGGGGTGAGAAGGAAAACGGATGGGGTGACTTCTTACAGGATTTCGGACCAATAAATCAGTTATATCTTTGAACTTTTTTGCGAAAGACGTAACCTGTCACAGGGCGCAGGTTCAGTTCAGTCGAGGTGTGACGTATGAAGTGTCGTTGCAGGGGCACAGCAGCCTGCTGTGCGCGGACGAGTGCGCGCGCGTGGTGTCGTCGTGCGTGGAGTGGTCGCGCGCGCCGCCTGCGCTCACGGCGCGGGCGCTGTGCGCGCGCCTCACGCCCGCCGCCGCCACTGCGCCCTGCGTGCCCTTGCAGCACTACATGGCGCACAGTAAGGACTGGACTGACCACTACTTGTATAGTCTTTATGTTTTGTAATCTAAGCATAATAAATTACTTGCAGTTCCTGACTGATTGATCAAAGTAGAACCTAAGCCGTTGGGGCTACTAACTTGAAATTTTGGTATATGCTGCTTTTTATGTCGTAAGGATTCTTCCCTCCACGAAAAGGATTTTTAGAAATTTTATCTTTCAGGGAGTTAAAACATGTGAGGATCGGCAGTCTGATTTTCCAGTGAATATCTCTTTCTTCTATGAGGCAGATAAAACAGTATTAGCATTTTATAAAGACTCATAGATGTAACCACAAGAACTAATTCTTAGATTACTCCTTTTAAAGATTTTATATACTTAAGTCTTGGAAGTACTTTGTTAGACCGATACATTAAAGCACCTGTTTAACAAACTGTCTTTATTATTATTAGGTACTGAACCCCCGTTGCTATCTGCCAAGGAAGTTGTGACCTCACCGTGTACAGGCTCTCCGTGCAACTCGTCGCAGTTGTGTGTCTTCAACAGAAACTGTTTGCACGGTGGAAACTGTCAGAGGTACCATTGTGTTGATGGATGTCCGCTTGGTAAGTTAGATTCTCAAGATATCTCGTATATCGTACTCATCTATTATACATTCAGTAGAAAAAACTTTATCAAACCATTTTTCCATTTCACAAAATTAATTTTTACTGTTTCAGGGGACAGTGCTTCTCAAATGATCCCCATTGGGTCTTGGGTGCGCGTACCAATGTTATCCTCACTTCAGAAAGCCTGTTTCAAGATCTGTCGGTGCAGTAATAAAGGGCTAGTCGATTGTCAACCGTTACCTTGCGTTGAATTAGAAAACTGTCAGCTCCACGATCGAGAAGTAATGCAAGGTAGGTTTCGCTCGAAAAAACTTATTTTTCTTTTAATAAAATTGCTTTTTTAAAACCTATGTTTTTCCAAATAAAGTGAATCGAATTGAACTAAACTGAATTGAAGTGAATCGAATAGTTTTTTTGAATTCCCTTTTTCATCATCATCTTTTTACCGTTTACTTAATTTTATTTACGTATACGCAATGTGTAACATGGTAAAGGGTATTCGTTGGTTTCTTTTTAAGTGCCATTTCGTTTTTTGCCATCTCAGTGCATACGTTTAGATGTGGTAGGTAGGTACCGAGTGTGACAGTCCCGTATGTGCCGCAGGAGAGAAGTACTACATGGAGTGCAACCCGTGCTCGTGCCGCGGCGGCGAGCGCGTGTGCGCGCGGCGCGCGTGCGGGCGCGGCGCGGCGCTGCCGTGCTACTGCCCGCCGCACCACCTGCCCGTGCGCGCGCACCACACGCAGTACCCCAACGCCTGCCTCGCAAAGTAAACACCCACGCGTTTCTTTTCTCTCCTTATCATTACTGCGTGGATATTATCGTGCACGATGCGCTTAAAGATTCTTTTAGAAACCCTTTTATTCTAATACTAGCTGATCCGGCAAACGTCGTATTGCAACAAAAAAAAAATTAGGGATGGGTCACCCTTACCATTCAAAATTGTGAATCTAAACCATTCCCAGATCCCCTTGAACACACACAAAAAATTTCATCAAAATCGGTCCAGTCGTTTGAGAGAAGTTCAGTGACATACACACTCACAGAAGAATTATAAAGATGTACTAAAATTTATATATATGGATAACACTCAAAATCATAAAATATTGAGACCCTAATCAGCGAACTGACTGAAAAGACCCCCGGAGACGCAGCACGGTCCATACCGGAATACATGTGAGTTTAATTCTGGATTACGGTGTTTAATTCATATCCAGATATTTTTGGACTCTCATTTCCTCCCAAATTATTCACAATAGAGTCTAAAAATACCAACAACAACATTGGCTATACACTCTAATGTGATAAACAGGAGGTTTTGTCTTCCTTTATTTTGGCATCAATTCCTTTCGGACGTAACGTTTACTATTCCCGTGTACAGATGTGCAGGCGCATCAGACGGTGAAATAGAATTTGGCAATGGCGGCGCATGCGCGCGAGTCAACTGTGGACGTCGACACGCGTGTGTACCAGCACGCACTGTGTGTTTGTCCAAATTGCAGACTGCATGTCCACAACACATTTGTGGTAAGACACCTTGCTTAAATTCTAAAAGTTTCTTTTCAACCGACTTCAAAAACACAAAAAGGATGATGAGGTTCTCAATTATTTTACTATATGTTTTTTGTATGTTGAACCGATTTTCAAAATTCTATTATCACTAAGTCATGATTTGATGATGGGATCCCAAAGAAATCGAAGGAAACCATAAAATTAAAGCTTTTTCCTAGCAATCAAGTATTTGCCTTTGGTATTATCTCATGTGACCATGACCTTTATTACGTTATTGTATCGTCTCTATTTCTAACCGTTAGTATTACATTATAGATAGGGTGTACTTAGAAAATCTTTTAGGCCGTTTGCAGTTACATATACTCCGCTGTCTAACAATAATTAATTATTGCAAAACCTTTCGATCATAGTTAAATTACACCCAGATATAGAACAAATGATTGTACTCATTACACAATTATTTATCCTGGCTGGGAATTAAACCCACAACCTCTCTCTTTGCAGTCATCATTACTCACCACTCAGGCCCAACCAAATTTATAAATTGCCAAATAAAATTTGTTTAATGTAGGCTGATTCTAAATATTATGTGTCTATTTTACGACAGTAAGCACTGTGAACTGCAACTCTCAACCTCCGATGGCGGTGTGTGACACAGATGGGCGGACTCACATGAACCCCTGCCATCTTGTCATGAGCGGCAGGAAGTTTGCCTACTGGGGAGTTTGTCTCGACGGATGTTCTTCCGTAAGTTTATATAATTTTCTTGAGAAAAATAATGTTGTAGAAAAGCTGTTATCGGCACATAGACCGATAGGATCCTTAAGGCTGTAATTTTCTTAGAAGTATATAATTGCACTCTATCAACAGATAATTACTTTATTACGAAATTAATTTGACACTTTACCATACAGTAGCTCAAACTGTCTTTCATCTGTTATTTCCAGGCTGGAACAGTATGCGGTGTCAATGGAGTTACCTACATCTCTGAATGTGCCGCTTGGGCCGAATACGTGAGTGTCGATTACTCAGGTCCCTGTTTGGCAGTAGGACCTATTTCTGACCTCATGGAACCAAAGTGTACCTTTGACAGGATTATTTGTCCAAAGCTTAAGAAACCAAATTGCCTAGGCTTTACTGCCCCCGGTGCTTGTTGTCCAAAATGTGGTGGAGCTTTAAGAATCCTTTATTCTAAGAAACAAATCGATAGAGCTTTATACGGAACAAATATTTCAGCAACTGTTATTAATCTGAATAATATTTTAAGAGCGCTCGAAAGGCACGTTAAGATAGCTGAATGTGCTTTAAGAGGTTACCTAACAATAGAGATGGAAATATTTGTTACAGTTGAAACTATGTTAGATAATCCAACAGATTTACAACTCAAAGTATGTATACTAGAGGCTGAGAAGATAGCAGATATGATTAATAGAGAGAGTGTATTGATATCTAGTGACTTAGGTTTAAGTTCTCTAACATATGCGTTGACTGTTCATACGTACCCAACGCAAGGTACTAGTAGTGTAAGTGCATCTTTATCAACATTGTTATTCGGCTTACTAGTCTATTTAAGTAATTACATTTTAAGATAGAAACTGATACGAGTGTTGTATTAGGTATTTTGTACATATGGAAAATTATTGTAAATATTAATTGTAGTGCCATCACTAGCAACGTAAATACAAAGATTATGCTTTGGTTTGCTTTAAAATCAGTTACGAAATATTGGATCGTGACCATGACGTGAGTTCGTTGTGCCATTATAGATAGATATAATGTGATTATAGGAGTCTTTAATTTTGAAAATAATTTACGATAGACTGCAACAAGCATTTTTACATAACTTTTACAAAAGACATTTTTATAAAGTACGCGTAGTCCCTAAACCAAATATGTATTACAATTTATTATTACATTGTTATTACTTTTAGATGTTTAGCAATATTGAGATTATGTTGTTTACGAGTATAAAGATTAATAAAATAAAACTGTGCTCATAATAATATTATTTTATTTTGCACGTAACACCGAACAATTCAGGAATATAACATTATGATGTGAAATTTATACTATCACATTTATTTTTCATTTATAATTCATTTCAGATAAGTCTTTTTTATCGAAAAATATATTAATCCTATCGAGTAGTTGAGGATCCGTTACTGTCTTAGCAAGTTGTGCGAATCCATTTTGTAATACTGGATGTATGAGTTGAAATCTTTCCAACGAAAAAGTCAATACCAATTCCAAAAAAGCCATCAAAATATTCTGAAAACATTGTCGCTGGATTTCAGTATCCTGGAAAATAAAAAAGAGTTATAATCTTTTATTTTACCACCTATATAACTAAAATATTTGTACATGTTATAATTTATAACGAATTTTACCTTATTGATACTCAAAGCTCGTTGCTGTTCTATTTCAGGTGGCACAGGTTGCGGTGGCAATAATGGTTCAATATTTTTAATCTTTTCAAATGTTGGTCCATCAGATATCGTAATATTTACTTTACTAGTATCTATGTGATTATCGATAACATCTGTTACGCTTCCTTTCATTAGACGGCCTGAATTTTCTTTATTATGTTCTAATTCTTGAGTAGTTTTTATTGTTACGGGTTTGTCAAAGTTCGTCTCTAAGGAATCGTCATTAGGTGCATCCATTTCAGGGGACTCGATATTTTCCGTTTCTCCAATAACCGATGGAGGTTTTTCACTGTGAACCTCTACGGTTATTGACCTTTGACTACTTGTTTTAAAATCGGCAAATGTAAACGGTTTTGGTTTCTTCACACTTTCGTCACTGACATCGGCAAATTTACCGCTAATCACTAGTAAATCATCAGTTTTTTCTGGTTCTTCTTTACAAAATTGTTCGTAATGATTTGATGATGAATTACTTTCCTCTGAACTGCAAGATACCCTGTCTTTAAATTCATGGTCGTCAAAATCTGATATGCTAATCATGTGTTTTACATAATTATGACAGAGCAACTCCCAAGTATTTTTCAAATCAAAAATCTTGGTTACAAATTGATCGTATTCAAGCGTCATATTTAGGGTCGTTGTGTAATTGTGTAGTATTATGGAAATATCAGTTGATTTTAATTTAAATCTGTTAATACTGCTAAAAAATATTTCAGTTAGGGTAATTATTTTAATAAGCCAAGCTGAAGTAGTTTGCTTATATAAATTAGCAGCATGATCTAAATTTGATACTTTTTGTACAAGGAACTTTAATCCAGGTCTTGAATCAAATTGCAATGCCCTGGTAAAAGATAATTCCAGTGCTTTTAGCAATAAATCCGTATTGTCACAGTTTAGGAAGAATTTATAGTTGCAAACGTTAGAGGCTGTTTTCAAACTTTCTAGTAAAATGCCGTTAATGCCTTGAAATATGTCTGACGAAGCCTGAATGAGGACTGTTGCAATGATTTGAATGAGTATTTGATGTGCCAATAAACCAACAACCAACCCTCTGTGGGGTATTCTGCAAGTATAGAACTCTGGATTCAGAGAATTGATGGACTCTTGAAGGTAAATTAAAAATATGTAGCTTCTATCATCAATTAGCATTAAGTTCTGAGATGAATTCTTGGGAGTTACTTTAACGTGACCATCTCCTTTCATTTGTTCTGTTAGAAATACTTGTTGCGCCATAGCATGGAGTCTTACATTATCATTTACTGAACAGTCTCGCCTTGCAGCTACTTTGACGATAGCTAAATCCCCATAGAAACTATTTGAATTTTCTTTGAATGCATACGTCAGTTGTTTGAGAGGTGTCAAGCTCACATTACAAGCTCTGTGAAGACTTGTACAAACAATTTCCCATTGATTATCAGTTAATAGGTGGCCTGATGTCAAAATAATATGCCTTATACAGGATGCACCTAATCGAGCAATGGGTTCTTGCGGCTGAGCAATGCATTCTACTAGAATAAGCATGATTTGCTTCAAAGCAAATGTAGCTTCCGGACTTTCAATGGGTTCTATTTCTTCTTCGTCCTTTTCTATAACTGTTGACCTTTCTACATTTATTGCTTGTAAATGATGCAAGTAAATAACAATTGTGTCAGTGGTCATGCCACAACATTGTTTGAAATTCGGCATTACACTGTCCCAGTGTGTATTGACGTTAGCTATTTGACGCAACCAGTTCTGTACTGTTGGTAGAAGAAGATGATTTATGCAGTGAAGACCAAAATGCGTGCCAGGTACATCGACTATATTTCTTAGCAACTTAAATAAAGTTTCCATGGCTGCTGGTTGGTTTTTCTTAGAACATACCACAGTAGCCGAAATTAATCCTTCAATTAATACATACCATACTTTCAATATGTTGCTAGGCTTATCGAGTTTCAAAAGACAGTTGTTAGTTGTGTTTGTAGGAGGAAGACTTGTGGATAACTTTCTATAGGAAATCAAATCTTCTTCATAGTGTTCATTTGTAATAAACTTTGTGATGTCTAAGGATCCACTTGGTATTATAGGATCAACAACACATAAAGGCATGTCACCTTTAATACGGGTTCCAGTATTAAAGATTGGACATTTTGGCATATTATACATCATGGTCAAGATATCCGCGCAGCTTTCTAGGTGATATAAAGCTTCCCTACACATATCTACTATAACTTTTTCTGATTTTTCCTCGCTGAGTGGAATAAACTTACTGTTTTTGGAAAATTTTAGAGCCAAGCTTGGCTTTGGTTGGACTGGGGACGTAGCTTTCTTTGGTTTCACTTCATTACCTTGAACATCTTCATAATGGAGTCCTTTGATATGACTTAAGAGGCATAGTATACAGTCTAGTGCAGCATTAGCAAATACTAGTGTGTTATCCGTACTTAAGAATACTTTAAATATTTCTAAAATAGCCGAGTATTGATTAGAATTGTTAGCAGCTCGGAGAGTATTAAATAGTGGTCGCCATCCAGACCTTATTTCCATTCTATTGGTCTCAACGAATTCGCATATGCATGATATGATTTGTTCCTGAAAGCAATATAATTTTTAAGTTATATGTGAAACGCTATCTTAAATACTCAAATGGTCCTTTTAATATGTTTTTACTACCTGTATGTCATCGTCACAAAGCTCTAGGCACAAAAGGTTCTCAAAGGGCTTCAACAACGCTTCGTTGAAGTGAAAATGTGGCAGTTCTACCTGTTGGTTCAGTAACGCAGTTGCGCAATCATGTAGACATTGTATTGCTAGACTTGCAATTTGGATGTCCTTGTGGCAGGCCGCCTGGAGCAAAATATTAAGATTACATAGAAAAAGTAGCGCTGGTAGTGTCGCCATAAATTGCAGAAACATCTAAGAAAGAAGAAGTTTATCAACCTGATATAATAGTAACGTGTAATTAGCGTATACCTGCATAAAATGTGGCCCTACGACAGTCCATATTCCCATACGATGTGCCAGCGGCCGCGCAGCTCTGAGACAGCGCAGCGCCACGTCTCCGGCGCGGCACAAAGCGCGCGCCGCTTCTCCCCCACCCCGCGCTGCGCTGGCGCCTGAGCCGCGTCTCCACCACCACACGTTATTGTTCGTCTCATCTTGGTCCCACGTGGAGAACAGCTATAGTTAGAGATACATCGCCTGTTATTTCGTTTCAATAGTTCCAATTTTTAAAAGAGTTCAAAATAATGTAGCTAAGTCAAGTTTTGAATTAAGTTTTTAAAATTTTGAGGAATTATTTTAGCAGAAGGTGAAAAACAGGAGGTTTTTTTTTTTTGTCGTCGTTGCGAGTAAAGCTGAGGCCAAAAGCTTGTACTAAATGTATTTATTCAACTGAACATTCGATGTTGCTCAGTAATTGGTTTATGAGAAGTGTACCAGTCGGTGGTGGTGTGCGACGAGTCTCTGCAAGGCGGCGCTGAGCGCGGGTAGCGTGGTGGTGGCAGCGAGCCGCGAGAACAGCGCGTCTGCCGCCGCTGACAGCGCGCAGCACACACGCGCCGCGCCAGCGCCACTGATCACGTTCCCACCCTAGCGACATATGAATTGAACTAAATCATTTCTTTTGTTAATGTTTTTGTTTCCTGCGCAACATCTGTTTATGTTATGTAAATAAAAACACCCAAAACCAATATCGAAATACAGTAAATTACTTCAACAATCAACAAAATGTAATGTAAGTAAAGTATTATAATACTCACTATTATCTATGCTAAAGCATAAGTATAACTTAATACGAAAATAATGTTTTGGTTCAATCTACTGGAGAAATTACCTCTTGTCGACAGGCTTCTACAATCTTTGCCACTGACATATCGTTATTTAAATTATTTTCAAGTACTGGCTGTAAGAAATTGAAGACATCCACACTGAAAGAGAGAATATATCTGTGATATCTTCCACATAAAGCAGGTTATTAATAATATTATTAATTTTAAGACGCACATCTTACCACGTCTCATCGTCTTTCCCATCCAATCCTAACTTCGCGTCAGCTTGTAGTATCGAAACAGTCTTATTCCTGCCAGTCTGCATGGCCACTATTGGTGTAGCGTTATTGCCTTGCTGGCCGAATAGGGAATGTTCAAAGCTCGAAACATATTGACAAGCAGCGAATATATGCTCCCAACATTCCGGTGCTTTTGAACCGAGTTCCAAACCACCTAAGAAAATTAATTTAGAAACGCATTTGATAAGAACTTACCAAAAAAGTCATGTGATTCTACGTATTGGCATTTGAAAAATGTAAATTTGTTTTTACTCAAATTAAAAGCGCATATATTTTCAATTTACATTTTTTTTATTTGACGACCTCTGTAACACGGCGGTACTGCATTCAACCACCACCCATGGGGGCGCGTGTGAGTGTCTCTAAGTATAGAATCTATGTAAATGTCTCCTATATCCTAAGTTAGATGAGTTACTAATGTAAAAGATACCAAACAACTAGGCAGCAAATAAATTTATTCTAATAAATATCTTACCAGTAATCAAAATGTCCAAAGACAGTGCATGTGTAGATAATATCTTCCCATTGGGTGGTTGTGATATTGCAGAATTAGCAAGCAAAGCCAGTATGCTGCTACATCGAGCTTGTAAATTCAATGTGTTGCTCACTCTAGCTGCCTAGAATTTAATAAATGTCAGGTTAACAGAAATAATACATGAATATAGCTCCCAAATTCTAGTCCGATGTCGACATTCCTTCGAGCCTTTACCTAAACTAGGTTTGGGTCTATTTTATGTCTACTACGATACGCCTAAACTTCGGTTTTCTACGTGGAGCGACTGCCATCAGACTGCCACAAACCAAGTACTAGGCGATGTCGAACTTTTTAGAGCTCCCGTAACGATTGCCACAGATGTTCGTATGGCAACCGGTACCGGCGGTTTAACGTGTTCACCCATCCATAGACTAACCTGGCTAGGATTGCTTAACTTTGCAATGTGTTAACCTACTCGGTAACCACTTAGCTACGAGCCCCTCAGTTTGCCTCTCTATATAAAAAAAAAATACCTTGTGGAGTCCTTCGAGGCATTGAATAGTCAATCCCTCCCAAGCGATCCGCTTCCTCTTCCCAAAAGTGTTGATTTTCTTTGAGATCATTCCATGCAGTTTTTGTTTTCTGTTTCTATATCCAGTTAACGGCACACTTAAAACTGTTACCATGGAGTCCCAAATGCACGTCAGGATCCTTAAAAATGAATATCTTATGTAGTCCTACACGTTGCAAACGATTCTAAATGAGCCTTTTTCTGGCGTAGGATTTCTCTGTAAAGCGACATTGTCAGAATTTAATGATGTACCCTCGCTAATATTTATTAGGTTGAAAAGTTGGGCCTTAGATACGGAGAAGTCTGATGTAGAAAGACCTATAGAGAAAGCCACTGAAGCATTTATACACTAACGCTTCAATCCTCATCGTAGCATCCCTTTCTCAATGCTTGTCACTATATTTCTTTCAACCCACACCATTTTCTTACCTCATCATTCCTCTCTCTCAGTCAGCCTTACGTTATACATTTTTCTATAACTCACCGAAATAAAGTTTATATGTAAATGAGTGTACCTTCTGGCCCAACGTAAGCAGGCTTGATATTGAGGCGAATCGTTGGTGTTGTTGTAAAATAAGGATACCTCTTTCAGTTTCTGCCAGTCTGACATAACTGGGCTTTGGTCTAATCCACCGAGATCTGTAAAATATTATTGCTATAGATGTTGCGTAGTTACTTACTAACAAAACATTACATAAATAAAAAAAAACGAAATTTAACAAAGACTTATTTTCTTGACTTGCCATTTCTCAATAATGTATGATTAGTTACAAAAAAAGCAATACAAATATGTATGCCATCTGTAGGGGAATGGCGACACCCAAGAATACTTATGGATAACAAAATAAAACAACATTATACTTTTTTCCGAAATCAACGACGATTTTGGAAGAAATCTAATCCGACATCTTCCACAAACTTTATAGATTATTTTATTATACTTACCTGATAGCAAATGTATGAGTGGATGGTCAGTCGTAGGAACTTCTTTAAGTAAATCAGTGGCGAGAACTTGTTGGTAAAGTTCCCGTAACCAAGTCGCTGATAAATATACTAATACTCCACTGCCTTGAACTTCTTCAACGAACTGATCTTCTGTCATAGATACTTGGACTTTCTGCTAAAAATTTATTATGGGATTAAATATTATCCCTAAACTAAATTTGTCAACTTTATTCTGTTTGTAAAGAAGATTTTAAGTAATGTTTAGAATCCTTACGGCAGACTGATTGTAGTAATTAGTTCTGCGCTGTTTGAGAGTAAGCAGTAATGCTGCGTATGTGGCAAGATAAACACCATCGGCGTTCATGATGCAAGCGGTAGCCGGCGGCTGGGCTGCGTTGTGTTGGCAACATTTTGAAGCAAATTCTTGCATAGCTTCATCCACCTGTTGAGAAACTTTTATTACCATCCTTGGTACATTTAATATATTAAAGACAGCAAGTATATGATATCACTTTTAAAGCATCACTGTAATTTTATTATGAGCAGATAAAATGCGAATACTGTACCTATATTATTTTACTAAAACTATAAATGGGATTTTTTTATGCACGGATGACCGGATTAAGGAAAAATTTGGTTCAGAGATAGAATATTGTTTGCAAAACTATATAGGGCAACGCGAACGCGACCGCGGGCAATAGTAAGTATACCTATATAATAAACTTACCTCAATACATGTTCGGAGATTCAATAACCTTGGTAGCAATGTATTTTGCAGCGTTTTGACGAATTGTCTTGCGTTATGCCTTTCTAGATCCACATTGCATTCAGTTATGGTGCACCTAGTTAAAAAAGTCCGGTTAAAAATATTTACGATCTTCAAATCACGGATATTTTTAATATATTTCAAATAGATTTAAATATGTAAGTATATTTAATTATTTTTTTATTATTTAGTATGCTTTCACAATCTAGATACTCAATCGATCATTACGAAATTTGGGTAAAATGTATCACGGTTCTAGAAAAGGACATTGAGCACTTTTATGAGCAGTATCTGCAAGGCACAGGCAATAAGAATTTCTAATAAATGAGTGTAAATATGTTTCAGTTACCTTCCTAGATTTAACGTTTTAGGCACAGCCCTGGATGTATTGTTTATGTTATTTCTATCACTATTGTTAGAAGTGGGGTTGCTAGCTCGGGTTGGTAGGAAAACGTTATCTGCGTCAGAATCTGCTTCGCCATCACTCCCTGAACTCACGTTCTCTGGTCCCGATGTATCTGATGAATCATGCTCCTTTGTTTCGTTGCTTTGTAAAACAGCTACTACATCTCTGAAAGTTCCAAATTCGAAAAGTTTTATATACTTAAAGATTTTTATCATTGACTATACCTTAATCGTAATAAATCATAAGACTCAATTCTTAATGGGGGTCCATTAATTGAGCGAAACATATATAAGTAAGGAAGTATATAACTCTTTGTCAACCTGGACCTTGAATTGGAATACAAAGAATTAATTTAAAAAGAGTTACTGAAATCGGTTCTGAAATAGCCTTATAATATGCATAATACACGATATTAATATTTTAATAAAATAAGAAAAGGTTCATTTTATTTTAAATAAAGTTTTAGTTGTAGATAACTACAGACATTGTCTTTAAAACAAGTTAAAGGGCAGTTGAGTTAATACAATTTACGGAACGATCATATTGTGGACATACTCGTATCGTACAAATTCTTAGTTAACTTAGCCTTTACAACGAGCAATAATGGTCCTTTTTTTTTTTTTTTTCCGTGAAATCCCCTCGGATACCACCTGTCGGTGGCATGTCGGACTCGAACCGACTAAAACCGCACGCCGTCTCGGGTACTAATAGCCGGGGAACCAGGTATACCCTAGAAAGGAAGTCCCTGGTGCCCCGACATACCTCGGGTCATCTACAGACGAGTAGACGACCCCCCCCCGTGTGGGAACCCCATGTTCCCTGTGCTCGCTCGCTCGCTTCGCAACGCGCTCGCCGCCACCCCGGCCTGCTTCTGCTAGGGTGACAGATGGCCTCACCTGTCACCCCCAGGCCTGCGCTTATGGAGGACGGAGGTCGTTCTGCGACCTCCGGCGCCTGAGTCGCCTGCGGTACCTGGCCCGTTCCCGGGCCTGGCGGGCCGGGAGAGTCCTAAACCTCTCCCGGTCGTTCCGCGAGCATAACTTGCTCGCAGAAGGAGACGGCAGAGTTCCACGCACTCTCGCTCCGCACGATAGCCGCAATCAGGCTATCGAGCGAGAAAACTCCCACTCCGATGGCCGCCACGAGGTCTTGCCTCTGCTCAACCCACGCCGGGCACTCTGCCAGCGTGTGGAGAGCCGTGTCCACGGTCTGGCCATCGCAGTGGTGGCACTCAGGCGTTGGCTCCTTGCGGATCAGACACAGGTGATCCCCGAAACATCCCTTCCCAGTGATCACCTGGGTCAATCGGTATGAGAGGGTTCCGTGACGCCTCTCGAGCCAATCCTCCATAACGGGTATTACCGCCGCGATGACGGCGTGCCCGGCAATAATGGTCCTAGAACTAACAGTTATAAATCACCTTTCGTATTGTAGCATAGTAACCTCTGTGGTATGTGGTGGAATGACTATGGCACGTGAAAAGATATCGTAACGCTTTTTAGCTTTAGCTTAAATAAAAAAAGTGGCAGGGAGGAAAAAACAGAAAGCAACTCGACCAAATTTCAAAAGTTTTCAAAAGTGTAACCGTTATAATTGCATTATAAGTTTATTCACAACCATCTAGAATTTTACATCACGACTCATCCATACCAATTTGCCAGATAGGACACCAAGTCACACACACGGGTGTTACAATCGTATCACCCGTGTGTGACATTAGTTTTACATGTGTAGTTGTATAAAAATATATTATAAATGTAGCTTACCTGTAGGGACTAGGTAACCTTGCCAAAGTTTGGTAAGTGAGCGGTCCAGTATAATCAGCATCGTGCAGCTTCGGCCAATGCGCCAATATAAGTGACGCTAGCTCTGGAGTCAAGTATTCGACAGAACCTGTACACAGCTTCTCTAGAGCATCCAGCAGAGAGACTACGCACTCTACAGCTGCAGCTACTACTTCTGGATTGCCACTACGACCGCACTCTTCTATGCCGTCCATGATCCTTTACAAAAAAAACAATTTAATAATGTTTTAGCCTTGCGTCGTTCGTATTTTGAAACAAAAAATATGACTATATGAGAAATCTCCATTATTGCACAGTACACTTTATTTTGTAAGTTCGGTTTAGATCACATCCAAATATTTTAAGACTAGACTGTGTCATGTATGTGTGGCTGAAAAGACTATGTCACATTTTTATGAATAAAACAGTCACATCTCCATTATATACATATACTTATTGGATAGTATTTCACAAAATATGTTCGTTTCTAAATGCATTCATCAATCCTGTTGATCCAAAAGACAAAGTGTAATATAAATAATTTTGATTATTTCTTGTCTTCACCAACAGCCTTTAATAGTCCTTAGAAATGAGATTTGTCTTAAGAGTGGAATATAATTGATTGAATTTAAATTAAATTGGTAATATTCAAGTTTAATTGAACTTGAATACAACCAATTTAATAATAGAATATAAATATTAAAATTCACAAATGGGGAAGGACACATAACAAATAAAATGTCATATTAAGAACCTCCTTCTTTTTCAAGACCGGTTTAAAAGAATATTTGGTACTCACAGTCGAATTATCGCCATATCATCACTGTGCCTTTCATGATGATCGACTTTCTTAAGCAGTACTAATTGACAAAGTCGTTTTGGATTCTGTAGCAGTTCTCTCGTGCTCCTCAATGGTTCCACTCGGTGTGATACGGGTGGGTACAGCAACATTCTATGATACAGAGCCTCTAGAACAGGCCGGAGATTCGATGTGGATCCCACTAAGCGCACCAGCTGGTTTGCGATGCTGAAATAACGAAAAAGTAATAAAGAAATTTTATAATCATTTTAGTTACTGCATTTGTGATGTTATACTCTTTGTTTAAATACTGAGAGTCTTTCCCTTTATTTATTTCTTGATATAAGGTACATACTGTACGTAATAAGTATGACAATTCCTACCTTATTTGTAATATGTGTGTGTACCTGTAAATAGCTTTGGCTTGTTTGCTGTTAAAACTAGGTGCCGAGTTCAAAGCACCTGAACCTCTGCCCGAGTCGTCTACTAAATGACCTTCGTGCTCCCTGTAATTTGAATTATTCATACTTTGTAAGATATTAGAAAGTTATGTTAACCCGTATTTCTATACCTAAATACATGCAAAGTCTCGATATTTTTAAACATGAGAGTTCGTTTAGCTTTTGAAATATTTGATCTGGTGATTGGATGTAAGTAATATTTTGTATAAGCTTTTCAAAAACTTTACAATCAGCTTAAACTAAGTAGACATCATAATTACCTGGATTTTATATTTTTGTCCACTCTTGGAGTACCGAGGAAGGAAATGAGTGCTGGACAGAACTTCTGCCAGAGGAATGTTGTGAAATGTGAGTTAGCGCTCACTCGCTCTGACAGACTAGACATTAGGGTCAACAAGCAGTCCAGGAAGAAGAGAGCCAAAGGGTTTTGTTTTGGTGTCCTGTAGAAGAGGTTTATCATTAGGTAGGTACTCTCTTTTTATTGTCATTTTTATAGAAATGCTAACCCAACAGGAATCCTTGTTAGCACTTTAAGACCTGAAGCATGTTTTCTATACAAACTAAAATCCTAAATATCTTGAAAACTTACAAACTGAAAGGATAAGGACTATTATTTTGGTTCAATAATCATCCTATAGGTATACAAAGGTAATTAATATTAAGTAATAATATTAAAAATTAGAAGTTGAGTTTATTTATTTTCTATTTAAATATTACTCTATTATTTATTCTATTACTTACAGTTCCGTTTCCGACAGCCTACTGCATAAATATTGTATGACAGGGATGACTTCACTGTAGCATCCCACAGCCACGATGTGATTCCTACCTAACGGAGAGCCCTCCGAAAGAAGCTCTTGGCATTCCTCATCTGAAACCGTTCGGATGATAATTTACTTAACAACTTGATATATTTATCTAAGAAAATATCACATTTGGCGGAGATGAAGAAATAATGTTATAAATCACAACATACGAAAGATTGCAAGTCCTTAAGAATGAGTTCCTAATCAGTCCCCTGGCTTTTATAGAATAATAAAGTAGTTATTCTCCTCTTGTGAAAAGTTATTTATACCCAGTAAAAAATGGACATTCGAGTAAGCATCAGATCTTCTACTTTATTTCATATAAAGTGGATTATTGCTTGTTATTCTGGTGTCGATCTTATAACGCATTCTGCTATTCGATGATATGTGTGTAAAAAAAAAATGACGGGTTACACTCCGGGAGTGCCGGCAGAAGTGAAAACTTGAATATTAACGTTGTGTATTTTTAATATTTTGGAATGGTTATAAAATACGAATTGCTTTAATTATCAGTATAAAAGTACTATCAATTATGTGGTAGAATACAATATTTATTTATTGCGCTAACGTACACAAACATGACAATTTATCGCGACGCTGTCACCATCCATGGATGCGCGTGGCACGCTGTAACATAAACATACACGAACATTCGCGCAAGCCGTCTAAACGAAACAGCAGGCGCAGGCATACATTTTCGCCGCGCCGTAGACAGAGAGGGGGATACTTCCTCTCCTACTCTCCATCCGCCTTACGAATTTTCGATCAGGTCACGTGTCCTGAGGCGAATTTAACATTTTTTACCCATTACAAAAAAGTGTACAACGCCGCTAAATAAGTTTTCACTTCAACAGTATTATGTAAGGCACTTTTCGCGAAGACCCTAAGCATATCAGAAAGTAAAGTAGGTACCTTAAAACACCTCTCGTAGAGCATAATCAGGGGGACATAGAGCTTTTATTTTTTTAGTTAAGACGACAAAAATGTGTGAGCCTTACCTAACTGTGCGCAATAAGCTCTGAGGGCCTGAGCAGCAGCAGCCCTGGCAGCGGCAGCGACATGGGGTGGACCAGCTGCTGCTTCACCACAACGTCCACACGCCCATACGCATAGACGACCATTCAGTGTACGTCGAGGAGACAGAGCAAGAGACAGGTACATGCGGAATATTTGCACCTACAATAAGTAAACGAAAGTTCAAATTTTATATTGTCTTTGGTCGTAATTAGTTTAATCTTTAGCCATGAGTGTGGATACGTATCACATACTGATCACTGGTGTGATTTTTAGTAATGAATTATTATTACTAGCACTATAAGATATTACAGTAAGTACCTGTGTATCAGGTAAGTGATACATGACAGAAGCTGTTGCGCATAGCAGTTGCGAGGGCATCCACAGCGAATCATCTTCTGGTTCGATTCCTCGATGAAATCTATCATCGCGTAGGATTTTCTAAAAAAAAAGTACCAATTACATAGTTTATAATAAGACACTGTTCAGAATAGATTTTTAAAACTAAAAATTATAATTTTATTATTTTTATTATGTTACTTCCCCTCTTTGAAGCCAAGTTCTTAGTTTTTGCACTAACTAGCTATCAGTTAGCAAAAAAAGTAGAAAATCGCCATTTTTAGACAAAATATAAGAAAGGTTATTTATGTAGAATGATCATTGGTAGCACTTTCCGGCGTCGCTTCTTGGTGACTGCATTAACCGATGTCGGCTCTCGTTAATGCATCATTAGCTGCCTCGAAAAATCATACAGCTTTAAAGATCCATCATCAAGAGGCAGTTGCGTATGCGCTATCCCTAAATCAGCGGTAGTGCCAACCTGTGACGTTTAAAAACAGAACTCCAACTGCTACTTACATGGAAACCCTGCAGGGCAAATGTAACAAGTCGTGGGCGTTTGGTCTCGAGCGCAGTTTGCAGTGGTAGTAGGCATGTTCGACGTAACTCGTACGAGGGTCGGCGTGCGTTACTTTCTTGTATACAAAGTAACTCTACATAAAAAAAGTTAACTTTAATCGATTTAAAGTACTAGGTGAGCTACTGAGGTAATTAATGCACCAGCAGCACAGGAGAAATATATTTTGCTGCATTTTCTTTGTTCCTTGTAGTAAATGATTGACGTTCATATTTATTTAGTCTAGTGTTAGCCTACCAGGTTCAGTTCAGTACTCTTCAAACCAACAGAATCTTTTTTTTTAATATTCATTTGATCAAAAAACTAGTTTACTAAAGTTGGATTACAACTAATCCACTTGGAGCCTTTAATAATGCAGTTACGAAGAACTACTAAAACATCTGTCAGCCACTAAACGTTGTTATTGCTTTAACAACAACAATAACAACTTGTTAGTATTTAAAATTTAGTGATGCAAAAGTACAGTCTCCTAACAAAGAAGCCTCTAATTCGAATAATGTAATAATAAACAGTCTTATTACAGTCGATCTGTCCATCCAAAGGATACCTGCAATATGGCCTGACGGGTTAAGGTCAAATATTATGTACATGTTCATTAATTTGATGTACTCTTGTAAAAACCAAAATATTGGTGTACAATAAATCTTATTCTATTTTAATTTAAATAAAATTATTACAATGACATAAAAATGCAGAAAAAAAAGATTTTGAGAAACAAATTAAGCCATAGTGACTTAAATAAACAAATATCATAATTCAATGCGTATCAATTTTTCTTTTTACTGTAAACCATTTCCCTCGTCTGGAGTCGAACCTGAATGCAGAACCGGGTCACACATATTTTAAAAAGGCACTGTCATCGAAGGTCAACCAATATTTAAAATTAAAACTCCATAGGTTAGACGTAGGTAAGCCATCAAAGATTGTAAGTAAAAAAAAAAGCTAGTCAATATAATTATGTCTGTTTGCGAAACATACGACGACGAAATTTTAAAACAAAAATGACTCTTACACCATTTTACTCTTTAGAGCAGGTACAGTGTTAACGTTTGTAGTAACTAACATTTATTTTAGAATAGTAGATGCTTACAATTTTTACGAGGTAGGTAGGTAGGTAGAGTGTATTAGTAATGACTTTTTTGTCGACAGTACTAGCTTAGCCATATGCAATTAAAATTGGCCATGACAATATTCTCAGACTTCTTTGAATAGCTACTTACGAAAATAGGAATTCTTTTTACGTTATTTTCTAAGAAATAAGTAGATAGATAAAGGGGATAGAGGGAATGAATAAGGAACAATGGCGTATAATTAAGTACCAGTATTGACAAGACGAGTCGAATATAACAAAACTTATGGTACATAAAATTCAGTTATATTATAAGTTATGTTGACTTAGGATTATTAGTTACCTAGTGCATCCTGACAAGATTTCCTAAGACCCGTGAATTTCACTCCTGTAGCTTCCTTGAATATATCTTGGAGCAATTCCTCCATGGTTGTAAAAACATTAAACACACTTCTGAGAAAGATAGGTAAAACCCACGCAAAACATTTATATTATTTTCCAGAACTGCACGACGCGAAATACAAATCTATTGAGTAAAAATATTTATTATAGCAGCAATAGTTGCGGAATACCGTTATTTGAGTGGGAGTAAGTATATCTTATCACAGTTCTACTTACGCATGTCTGTGGAGCATGCCCAGTTCGGAAAATCAATATCTACTCGAATACGACGTAATGTTTGCGAAAGAACTTATTCAACAAGTGGTTGTGTTTTTTTCTTCTTATTTCCTCGTTTTTTTTTTGTTTTATAGGTACTTAACCGAGTAATAACTTATATAATACCTTTCCTAGAAAAAACCCGTTGCAACTGAAAGTATTAAATGCTATCCGTCAGAAAAAAATATGTTAAATAGGGTCGTTTTTTTATTTGTGTAGAGAATTCAAATTAAAACTTTCGCGGGGATTATGAGCTATGATGCGAGAAGTTTCAATTCAAGTAAATTTTATTAAGTGAGATCTTTAATTTCGTCTAAATAATATATATTAAACGTATATGCTGCATACTCATATATACCCTTAAATTTCGTTTAGTCGGAATTACATACAATTCCCAGTAAATATATATATTGCCCAGGAAATGTGTGTATTAAAGAATCTTCGAAACATTATTTTACACATAATTATCTTAAATGGGCTCAGATTTGCATTCTGTATTTCCTTTAAATTGTATATCTTACAGTCAGAACGCTTAACCGGCCAAAAGCATTTTTTATTGTCCAAATCAGTTGAAAATACTTTTGACCGCAACATCTCAGTATTTTCAGAACACAATATTGTATTTCTAGCGGAACATCATCTACTAACCTAATCTAACCAAAATGGTTCAATAACAGTGCATGGTGGTGCATGGTATCTGATGCAGTGCAGTAGTCAAAAGTAAGAGCCGGTCAATTCTTGTAGTAGTATTGCCACCTAGGGTATTTTTATTAGTGCTGCCGTACGTACTTTTTCATCGAAATTAAAATAACAACCAGAAAAGACTGAAAAAATGAAATATATTACAAATTTTGATTATAGAATACACTGAAACTCCACTTCAAAATGTATATTAAGTACTTCATAATAGAATAAAAAAATCAAAAAATCCGATAAATTGAGAATATTATCCTTTTTTTAAATCAGTTAAAAGTGACTAAATCATATTACTTTAAAGAAAGTAATTGAAAACATTGACTAACGAATATTACGAATTAAAATTGTTTTAACGTGATGTTTTGAGCATACATTCAATGACAATTTGAAACTTTTGAAAATTATCGAAGGGGCAACATTTTATTCTAATTGTCAAAGTGGCAAAATTAAGTACATAATAAAAATGGTGACCTGGAGTGCATTGGGACGATCTTTTGGAATAAATTTATTTAAATCTCATCTCAGGCAGCCTCAAACAATTCAAAATGTGACTTTGTCGACGAGTAACACCCTTAATCATGGACACAAAACCTTCGCTCTTCAACCGTCAAGGTACGATTTTCCAGTGATTACCTAATCATTTTTCGAATATTATTAAAAAAAAAACAATGCATATGCCATAGTTTTATAATATTTTGCATTTAAATAATCAAAGAATTTTATTTTAGTTCTTTATAGAGTGTGATGTGATGGATGTGACAATTATAACCTCGGGCTTCGAAACTTTGCAGATGGCAGTGGCACAAATTCAAGGATATGTTCCACTTATATGCCATGGTTGGATTGATACCAGTTGGTGCTATTATCTTCTACACCAACGTGTTCATTGGTCCAGCAACACTAACACCAATACCTGATGGCTATGAACCACACCACTGGGAATACCATCGCCATCCAATTTCAAGATTCATTGCTCGTTATATTCATAATCCTCCACAGCAGGTAAACCACTTAAATAATCTTGAATTAGTTATGGTAACAAATTTGGAAACAGGTTATGGAAAAAAAGCGTTTGGTGCCTGTTGTCAATAGTAAAAAGCACCCCAAGCTTTTTTCCAAATTTATTAAAATTTATTTTCTATTTTTTAGTTTGGTTTTCTATAAAAGTGTGTTTTTTTTTTTAAATTAGTGTATTGTCATCGGTCCTCGATATATCTACAATGTTTGAACTAATTCTGACCGTTTAAAGTAAGTTAAAATCACGCCCAAAGGAGTCGGTTACAAACATACAAACAATCATACAAGAGAAGCTAATATAAAGCGTGTAAAAAATGGAACAGTGGCGACTTTGTTGTGACAAAACAGCAACATACTACAGTGCTGTCTAATGAAGACACGCTGAACCACAGTAACTCTTGAATGAGAATTGCTAATCCCGTATTGCAATATGAAGAATTCTCTCCACTATTAACATACTTACAACTTCCCTGCCAGGCATGATCACCTCGCCTGGACGGAGGATCCTCCCTTTATTTTGGAGAGACATGACACCCATTCCTCCACACTGGTATTGGTGTCGTGGAGATAATTGGATCACCTAGCTTTTGAGTATAATCAAACATACTTCTTGAATACTAATTGTAATAGTATGATTATATTTTGTCTATGCTCGAGGCTTAGGTATTTAACTAAATGTAAACACATCAGAAAACAATAATTTAGTTTGCATTTTCTTAGATATAAACCTGTAAAAATGCCCTTTATGGTAAAATTAATCAAGTATAAATTCTTCATAATTTAAATTTTTGAAATAGTGTAAATCTAATTAATAAGCATTTATTCTACATATTAATATTTCCAGAAAAACAACTTGTTAAACTAGCTTCTACAAATCTTTCTAAGGTGTCAGTTGTGTTTAATACATAAAGATTACTTACTTTTAAATTTGAAATTTTTTAATATTTACAACAATAGAGCTGAACTTTGAGTTACATTGTAACTTTGATAGCCAAATGGAAAATATATTATTCATTTAAATAGATATTATAAAATTCTTTTTTTAAGAAATTCTCTAACAAATATATTTATTCATTGCCCTATTATGATGTCTAATCAGAGGACAGATACATAGGTATTCGGCCGAGGCCCTGTCTAGCTATTGCATTAAGTTCTGTGTCCTATCCAAAACTTGTGGTATCAGGCTAAAGGAAGCTCCAGTTCCATCGTCTATCTTTTCCAAGGACCTATTTTTTCTTTCTCCTGTCTATAAATTATAACATTCAAAGAAAACCTTTTGCTACATATCATAATGACAGCAAATGAAATTGGGATTAGGTTGATATTAGATGATGATGATCAATCACAAAATGGATTTTTATAAATGACAGGGAAAATATAGTGTCAGTATGTAAATCTGCGTCATCATCTGTCCTTTACCCAAAAATATGTTTTTTGGGGAAAAGGACAGACAAATGATGACACATGGGTAACATAGCATAGGGTTTTGGCTGATGGTTTAGCAAATGCCACACCTTCTTCTCCAAGTCATGTATCTGGAGCACAAACTGTCTGATTTTATGTAGAGCTGTAATAGGGGCAGAGTAGATAATTCTGTGTACCACCACCATAGCAGGTGAAACTAATGTCGTTCATGCTCTGTAGCACTCTCCTCTTCCAATAAAGTGGCTATACTGCATTACCACTGTTGATCTTTAACATGTTGTTCTGTGTTTGATCATAATTATGCAACCAATCTATTATCATTATATTTTTTATTTCTTTTTTTCACAAAAATAGTGATAACTGCATACCTTTTAAAAATAACAAGATTACCTTTCTCTATTTCTGGTTTTCAAGCATTTAAAACGCAGTTAGAAATACATCTGACTGCACGGATGGCGTAGTGGTTTAAGCGGTCGCCACGCCGCTTCCTACTACGCCAAGTGTTGTGGGTTCAAACCCCACATGGGACGACACTTTGTGTGATCCACAAATTGTTGTTCTGAGTCTGGGTGTTCTTTGTGTCCGTTTCATGTATGTTTGTAAAGTCCCCCGCGACACAGGATTTATTCCTAATGCGGGAGTTGTCTTTTTAAAAAATAAAGAAAAAATAAAAAATCTTGTAGAAAGTCTAATGCAAATAATTATTCATTGGAAGTATGCCCAAATAAAGAGACCCATTGTTTTTGGGTATCTTAGTATGCAGGCTCTTCATAGTTTAAATTGAGACACGAAAAACGCGTAATAGTTTTAATAAACACTATTGTTAGTAATTCCTACAATTGTCATTATCAACTATAAGACTGGTCATAGGTTTAATGTATACTAGCGAACAAGAACGTTTATTATGAAAGGACATTACTAAAATATTTCATGTAAAGTTGGAATGAAGAACAAATTCGAAATATATTGAATGTTCTCAGTTCACTGTTCCTTGTTTAACTGAAACACTATCTTATCGATATATTTATTATATTACAGGAATACGAGAAGTTTTTGCACTACATTGATGAAGAGAAACAAAAAATCAAGTTGCGAAAACTAGAGAAAGAAATTCTGCGGAAGATGGCTGAACGTTCAGACTACCAAGCATACTACTACAAACCTCTGATGAATAAATATCTACGCATTAACAAGAAGACTGGAGAGGAACTTGTTGACCGTATTGGTGATGATTACCAAGAATAAAAGATTTATAAAATTCTTGCACAATCAGTAGAGTTGTTAGTAATCGTGTGTATTTCAATGTAGATAAATAAACCTTTTAATTGTTGCTTAAAATTTTATTTTTTTGGCAACCCTACGCAACTCTCCAGCTTTTGTATATCAACTTTATTTACCTACATTTTGTTTCGTTTTCTAATGTTTTTATAACATTTAAATTATATTGTACAAAAAAGATTTTAGGTTATAATAAAAGAATAAGTTTATGGTAACATTGTTATTTATTTTACAGGAAATTTCTAACGATTGACAATAATAAATTCCGACATGGAACCCTTACAAAATAAATGTCAACACTTATCTAGCTGTATGCTAAATACCTGATATGATGCTACTAAACATTAATGCATTAACATTTTTCTATGTTTCTGGTCATTTGGATCATTTTGAAACAGTGGAAAGGAAATAATTAGATACAAAATATATTTTTTATTAGACAGATAAAGTAGGGCAAGTCTGTATAAAAACATAATAATCCTTTAAGTATTAAAATCAATAGTTTAACTTATTTTTTTTCCGTGTTTAAATTAAAACTTGCTAAAGTAATCAATTCTAATATAAGCCTCACCTACAGACGAACTAAGTAAACCTACATAAATAAATTCTTCGGCGGTGCTGAAATGCACGAAGCTCTTAATTATACGGTTACACAATTAAATTACAAAACGATATGATTTCATTATCCCGTTCTTTCAGTCTTCGCAGTTTGTAGAGTTCCAACTATGACCCAACAACTATGTACTTAGATTGCTTTTCACAATAACGTTTTTTTGACTTTAAAAATATTTACATTTCTAAGTTCAATAACAATTTCGATAAGAAATTGCAACTAAGCTAGATAAATATAACAAAATTGTAAATCAGTATCAAAGCGTAAAACATAATGTCATATCCGATCGAAGTAAAAAAATAAAATTTAAACTAACAGTATCTAGATCACCGTAAGTATATGGACTACATTATATTGTTACATACTCTATTTAAAATTGTTTTTTTTACGATTTCTCAATGATAACAATTCTCAAATCTAAAATTTAAGACGGCTACGAGTTACTACAATGTAAAATTTAAACATTATCTCTATTTGGTTTTCTCTTTCTCTGCCTGCGCCGCGAGCTTAGCTTCTTTTTTGGCTTTTTTCTTTTCTTCCTTGGCCTTTAATTTAGCTTGTCTTTCTTCTTCCTTAGCTAACAATTTAGCCTGTCTTTCCTCTTCTTTGGCTTGTTGTTTCGCTTCTTTTTTTGCCTCCTTTTCTGCTTTAAGTCTATTTTTTTCTTCTTTCTTTCTTTCAGCTATTTCGTTCTTTCTATTATCACTGCTCTCATCTTTTTTGCTTTTGTCATCCTGCTTTGTGTTTTCGTCGTCTTTTTTCTTTTTATCTTCTTTTTTGGGTTTTGATTTGGGGTTATCTTTTGTACGTTCAGTCTCTTTGCTGTGATCTCTCGAGTTGGGCGGGTCGTCTTTGTTCGAAGGTTTTAATGGCCGGAAGAAGTGTTGTTTCTCCTTTTGTGGTGATGTTTCTAGTTGTGTAACAATTTTTTGGGCACACCTGTAATTAAAGGCACGACTTTAGCATTGACGCTTTAGATTGAATAAAGAAGATTGCTGAATTTATTCCTCGAATTGAAATTGTATTAATATTTTTTTTTTTTTGTTCTCTGTAAATACTTATTAGTCTTGAAAGTTAGACGTCAAACTTTACCCTGCCGCTATTGTGGTTATCATCATCATCATCATCAACAGCCTATACTAGTCCACTGCTGGACATAGGCCTCTCCTTAGAAAGGAGGTTTTGGCTTTGGTTTTATAACTATAGGAAATCATCATGAGTCAAGAAAGCGATACTTTATCGACTCATTCAATAAAACCTATTCGGCCCTTGTGATTTCTTATAAAGAATACCTTACACATAGAAGTAAAGTAAAAAAATAGAACTTTGGTAATTAAAAAAACCAAAAAATTCATTTTCGGAATTCTTAAAATCTGCTCAATTATACATATGTCTTATGCTCTCGCTTGCACTCTATGGGGATATGTTGCGACAGGAAGAGACTTATACTAAAAAACACAAAGGCTTAAGTTAATGTTTTTGACTTAAAGGCTGTTTGAGAGGGCTCTCGAATTGTTTTATTCTCATGATGCTATCTAACTCCATCTATTTCGATGGAGTAAAAAGAAATGGAAAGTTCAGATGAACTTTAAGTACCTATTGTGCTACATTTATTGTCACTGATTTAAACTGAATGTAACCCACATAAAATTCACCTTATTCTAGTAGAAGCGGAGGCTGCGGCGGCGCTCTCACGTCGTCCCTCACGAAATTCCCTCTGGAATTCTCTGATGGGCGGTAGGCGGCCTGAGGGCTCTCCAGCCGGACCTCCCGTGTAACTATGCACTTGGTAGTCCTGTAACCGTGCCTGAAAGAGGTCACTTCTTTAGTTAACGTGAAGTACATACACGAACGAGGATGTCGAATTTAGTAGCACTTTAACTAAACGGTAAATATATTATTTACGGTTAAAATAATGTATATTATAAGGTAAATCAACAAGAAAGCAGAAATCTTTTCTCCTTCTTTTAGATAACAAATAAGAGAACTCTAAGATATTTGACAAAATAATCGACTGGTCGTCTATTTTGATATTTTGGCCCATCATGGTGATAGTCTATGTAACGACAATTTACTTAAACTGGTCAATGAAATAAAACGTTCAAAACAGTCTTAATTCGCCCGCTGGATGTGATTTATTACTATCTAACCTACTCTTACCTATCTAATAAGACAACGCCATCTACTGAGCTTGTTGTGTGTCGTGTATTCCACCACATAACATTAATGCAACCGACGGCTTGTACCTAGCCAATTCTACAACTCTACAAATTACATTAATAATGCCAACCTATAACCACTACGACAATATTGTGCAAGTATAATCGTATGCCTTTAAAGGGTTGAACAGACTGAAAGAGGTTCTAAACGAGGTTTTATCGTGTAATGTAACCATTTAACCGAGAACATGAGGCATTTGTATTGTTTTTACTTACCTAATGTGTTCAGTTTGCTGTAGAATTGGCTAGGTACAAGCCGTCAGTTGCATTAATGTTATGTGGTGGAATACACGACACACAACAAGCTCAGTAGATAGCGTTGTCTTATTATTATTATTATAGATAATAATAAATCACATCCAGCGGGCGAATTAAGACTGTTTTGAACGTTTTATTTCATGTATATAAAACCGGAGTCACTTCGTTCTTCGCAAAGTTCCATCTTAACTTTTTATTAGATCTGAGGGGTCATAGTTGGAGTAGCTGATTGAAACTTTTACTTAACCGCTTGTTATATAGTTCCTAAGCGATAATTCACATTTCTCGTTTTCTATTCTGATAGACTGATACTAGGAATATAAACATAAAGGCCCACTTTACCTTCATGCTGTGGTGTTGCGACCTTCGAAGCGAGTTGGAAGCCGGTTGCCTAGGTTTTGGCGGTGCGGCTGCTGGTGGACGTGGTATGGCTCCGAGGCACGCACCTCCACACTTTGAACCCCCACAAAGCTTCGTAGAACAACTATTTGGAACATTTCCACCGCTGTTAGACGACACGGAAGACACTCCTGAAAAATACCGAAATTTGAAATTAAACTTACATGCTCTTTATTTTACTCTAGTACTTACAATTATTTATTCACTGACGCGGTCATAATTCATCTGAACAGGAACGAACGAATATGATCTCTCCCACTCGTAGGTAGATAGAGTGGATACTTATATAGTGAAGGGCGACAACTCTTAATAGTGGCTACCCACTATTAAGGGTTGTCATAGTTAGTAGTAATAGGTTGTAACAGTGAAATAAATAATGGAAGTACAATATATCTTAGGTAAACACTTAGTATACTTAAATTTAAAATTCAATCTTTTGACGCCAGATTTATCATCCTTTTTAACTTCTCTTTTTAACCCACTTCAATAAGGAGGAAGTTTTCAATTCGTCTATTTTTTTTTATCAATAACAATTTTGTGCACTCACCGCACCCAGGAACAACGATGTTCATGACACTATAACGAGTTAATAATCCTACTATAGTAACGCTCGAAACTCGTTAACATAAGACAGTGTTCTTAAAAAGAAGTTTAACTTCATTATATACATATATATATATATATATATATATATATATATATATATATATATATATATATATATATATATATATATATATATATATATATATATATATATATATATATATATATATATATATATATATATATATATATTGTATTAATTTAAGGTAGGTCTGCAGTTACTCCTGTCCCATGATAAGATTGGGTTATTGAATTAAATGTACGTACCCGAAAGGGAAGACTCGCCACTGGTGACGGAATATAGCGATGCGGAGGCCGGTACAGAACGCGCACCTACAGAGTAGCTCGACACCGATCCTGGCACACCCCATGACTTGGCACTACCGGTTGACACCTGAAACATATAAACGATTTTATGGGAACTATGAAATATATCTCTAAAAGTCTGCTACATTATTTTGGTTATTTATTGTTCCATGGTTGACTACGCTAAGCTACATGTATTGATCGACAATTTACTTTCTTATTCCTTTTTTCAAAACGTAAAACATTACCATCTATCGACTAATCTACTCACCTGCCAGCTCTTGCTGGTTACTAGTCGTGGTGCCTGCCGCAGCCTCAATATCTTTGCACGGCAAATGACGCAGCGAAGCGGCAGCAGGCGCTGGCTGACTGCCATCTGGATAGTCTTTACAAAACATCGCCGGCATACGACGCGGTGGCCGCATGGAGAGGTTTGCATTGTCGCCTTTGCGTTCACACATATTACACACTGTAATCATAAGGGGGATCAGGAGTCAGGTAATAAAATTATTGTATAACTCTGTAATCCTTGATAAGGTATTTTCAAACATTATTAGAGAAGCGGAAACTGTAAAGTAATGGCATAAAGATACTTTAAGACCTGGATTAACACAAAAGATACTTTGTACCTTGCTAAATGAGGCGGTCGGAACCGCGGTTTAAAGATCCACATAAGGAACAGATAAAATATTTGAAGGTTGAAATGAACGCCTGTAGCGGTAGGAATTAACTTCATGTTTTAAGTAGCTGGAGTAGCAAAAGAACTACTTAATTAAATTTAAATCCAAACACAGTATAAACGTTTTATTTAAAATAACACTAAAATAGAATTATCTGAAGTGAAAGAGAGTACAATCTCGCTTTGCCTTGATCAAATGGTGGGGTCGGAACCGGCAATGCGGCGCTTCTAGTATTATCCTTATATAGAGGCGAGACAATGTCATTTATCGTGTTTTTTATTATCTACTAACACAAGTAACATAGCCATTACTCGGGCTTCGGGTTACTTATTGTTTAATAATACTTAGTAGAAATAATTTCATAACTGTGCAATTCTGGTCGGTTTAAATCTAGGTCGGCCTTGAGTTGTGGTTTGGTCGAAACAATTGATTGGTTATCACTTTCATTTTATTTACTCAGCCAGCCAGATGTTGATTCAGATAAACATCTGGCAGATTTTAAATAAGATTAGAATTCGTGTGTAACGGTCAAGCTGTAGAGAAGCCGTCAAAGGCCCGGATGGATACGTGGATACGCGGGGCCTGTAGCGCATTCTATCAAGAGGCCCTTGGATTGTTTTCGGTCATCTAGTTTATGGCATTCATCATCACCATCAACAGCCTATAATAGTCCACTGACTACCATACTACGAGACCATACAGCCAGACGAGAGAGAGGGTTTGTTTCAAGTTTGAGACGTCGGCTCATATCGTGTAGTGTTCTCACAGGGCTCTGGTCTTGGGCTCCTTCTGTGGAACATAGGGTACGACCGGGCCTTTCGAGGCAACTTCGCCCCGGGCCCGTACGCCCGTAATCTGTTACGCCGACGACACCTTTGTTACAGCCCGTGAGGTGAACTTTCAAGAAGCGGTGCACCTGGCCCCCAGGGGTGTCTCTTTGGTGGTCAGGCGCGTCGAGACGGTGGGCTTATGGGTGACAATGTCGTGACAAGACGGCTCTACACAGGGGTTATCCGGTAAATGGCATTGTACCGGTGTGGAGGCGGCTCTGACCGCCCAGAACAGGGCGCGCCTCTGGAGCTTTCAGAGGGTAGGTTAGAGTCATACGTGGTTACCGCCCTGTGTCAACGGAGGCGACGTGCGCGTTGGCCAAAACACCCCCGTGCGATTTGGAGGCGGAAGTGCTTGCCGAAGTAATACTACCTATGACGGTGGAGATTGACGTGCAATTCAAAATTTAAATAAAGTTTATTCGGAAGCCATGTTATTTTTATTCAAAATTCAGTCATTTATCACATGTTTGGAGGTAGTGTTTAATTTTTGTGGAATTTTGCTGGTTTTTGGCGCCATGGATAAACTGAAAATTCGTACAATTTTCGAATGTGAGTTCCTACGTGGAAATACCGTTGCGCAAAGAACATAATAACAACGTGTACAGCCTAACACGGCTTGTATAAATACGGACTATTATTTCTTCAATCGTTTTAGATCTGGAAATTTTGAGTTATAGGACGATTTTCGCGGTCGATCGGTATCTATTGTTGACAACAACGAATTGAAGCCGATAGTGGAAGCGGATCCACCTCAATCTGCGGCTAAACTTGCTGCGGGCTTATGAGTTAGTTACAAAATAACATTGAAGCACTTGCGTCCAATTGGAATGATAAAAAAGCTAGATAAGTGGGTGCCACACGAACTAAGCGACCATCAGTGACTTCATCGCCTCCCGTCCAGTAGACCTCTACAGTAAAGGGATAAAGAAACTGTCATCAAAATAGCAAAATTGTATAGATAATTCGGGCCAGTACTTTGAATAGCTAAAATAAAGAAATAACCAAAATTTTTAAATTTTAAATTTTTCATACAAATCTCCAACTTCATTGGTGAAAACTTAATATATCGGCGGAGGCTGATTTCCGGACGGGTGGCGGTAGTCGGCCCACGCTCGAAGAGGTGTGCGAGCAGTGGCGTGTGGCCGCTCGCCGAGCCACGATGGCTTGTGGTTGTCCCGGCTGGAGGCGCCAGGTGGTCATCGTCAAGTGGGCAGGGCGGCATCACGGGACCCTTTTCTTCCGACTGATGCAGGTCAGGCTAATTCTGCACTCGGTCGCTAGGAGGGAATTGAGTCCCGCCTGTGAGGACTCGGCTCGGCACACGCTAGTAATTTGCCCGGCTTGGGCGTCGCAGCGTGTCGGGTCGTAGTGCAAACCATAATTTCTGGTGCAACCAAACTCACTTTTAAAAGTGTACTAAAAGTTTAAATTATAGTTGGACATTAAGATGCAAATCTTTCGTAATAAGAATTGTGGCTATATTGATTTGAAAAAATTTTTTCACACTTCGACCGAAATAAGTAGATACTTACTTACTTACTGGTCAGAAAGCGTTGGTGCGCGGAGCCCGTAGCATTTGCTACTCTTGCTATGTGGCTAATCCGCGACTGATTGTTAACTATAGTAGTGTAAATATAAACCCTTTAACTTCCCTTTTTTTAGTTTGTTTATTTATGAAACCTTACTATTTGTTAGGAGTACGTACAATTGTAACTTAATATTGACTGTTATTGATGCAATGAATGTCGTGGGAAAGTTCCTGCCTTATTAGGTATGTGATTGATGTGTGGCGACACCCACATACAAAGAAACAGAAACATACAGCGCCATGTAACGAAGACACACAGAACTACGGAGTAACTACGGAATGAGAATTGCCAATCCTGTATCGCGATAAGAAGAATTCTCTCGCCGATTAGCATATATACTTCCCAACATCGATAGTAGGGCTGCGGCCCGCTAGGCATGATCGTCTGCTCGGAGGATCCCTTTGGTTTGGAGGGACATGACACCCGTTCCTCCACAGATGTTATGTGTTTAGGAATCCAACAGAATTATTACAGAATTATATATAATATATTTTTTAATTTGGATTGAGAAATCAACGTCTACATTATTCACGTTCAATCAAGTAGGATCTAAGGAGGATACGAATAATGCCCTTACATACATATTAGATGACCTCTTAAAAAGTAATTACCTTTCGATTTGCACCGATACACTCGGTAAAAGGGTATCTACGTTCTGGCCGGTCTGAGAGATATAAGTTACTTCTATTACTATGTCTTACCCGTAGCTGTGTTATACCTAATTTATATCTAGCTATGTACGTGATCTGTCTGGAATGTGTTACATAAACCAGTGTAGTCTTATTTAGTGTTGGTCGTCGTAATCGTAGTATAATAATGTAAAATACTACAATTGTTGGGGAAATACTTACTTGTTTTTTTTTTACTAAAACCTCAATTTGTAACGTAGAGTATAAATTATAGGTAGATTTTATCTTACCTATTAAGTTTTTTTAACGAAACAGAGAAGATTTATATTGAAACTATAGACATTAAATTTTAGTAGCTAATGTGTTTAGAATACACATCTGCATTGTTCGCAAAATGTTCTTTAAAAAATATACTTATTGATCCCCTTGATTGTATCAAATATACTCCACATGAAGACCAAAGGGCTTTTGACTAAAGGACAAAAAAAGTGTTATTTTTTTTTTATATTTATCTTCTGAGTAACTATTATATAGGTAGTGATCCTAAAATGTGGCTACACTTTTTATAGTACCTTGGATATAAATAGTAGAAAATATGTACATCTATTTTGAGTATTTTGAGTTTTATTACCTAGAAGCTCTGTGTCTCGATATGGTTCATTTAGAAAAGGGTAGAATTTAATTTCCGTTTTCCAGCTCATAATTGGGAAGAAAATTAATAAGTAATCAGTAATCAATCTTGTTATATCGGATAAATGAAGTTTCATTATAGGTTAAAATAAGTTAGTAATTTGTATCACCAGCGGACATGAAAGTGCTTACATTCCCTTAGAAGGTTTCAGAATCTTTTAAAATTTTATATACTTACTTCCTCATCGGGCGAAGTAGCAAGTTCTGGTTCATTTTCTTCCAATTTATTGAGCAATTTATCCTGTAACAAGAGAGATGGGTTTTAAAAAAAAAATAACGTCTACTTATAAAATATGTACTTACTGGCTTAAAACTTCACCTCCTTTAAAATGCAAAAGGGGCTTAACAACAACCTAACTGTCTGTTGTACAAAGTTGAACTTGTTATTTTGCTTACTCCACCCTTATTTTTATAGGCTAAGTACATTATTCTGTAGATAATTGATGTGGAAGTACAGTCGGCTTTAATGTAAAATGTAAAAGGAAAGTACAGAAACTTAACAGCTGAGTACGAACGTGTTTATAAAAGGAAAGAAGATATAAATATGGATGCAATAAGCAAGAAGCAAATATCAGATTAAATTTTTTGTAAGGAATTATTTTCTCGAATTGGAAGGAACCTTATACATTCATCTATCTGATTAAAAAAGTTTTTTTTTGTGATATAGAAGACCAGCGAGTAGACGAGTCACCAGTTGTAAATAACCACAGAAAACATCGACAAAATACATACTTTATGAAAATTGTCTAGTATATCTAACAATAATATTTTTTGCAATAATAGTTTTTAGTTTGTTCTCTCACACAGCATACACAATTTAAAAAGTAGTGAAGCGATAGAAAATAATATTTACAGTTTTATTTAGTAAAATTCTGATAAAGCTTGTTAGATTTGTTTAATTTTTAAGCTTTATTAGGCCGTTTACCGGACATATTTTTAAATATCGTGCCTGTCCCTCAAAAACAGTTTTAAAAGAAAACTTTAATTTATTTTTAATATTAAAAGTACTCTAATACTCGTACTTTAACAATATTTTGCGAGTTACATACTCGCAAAATATTGTTAAAGTACTAGTAATAAGTACTAGTAGTAAGTACTAGTAATAGTTACTCATCTATGCCATCAGCAATCTCCCTCCTAAAACAGAAATACCCACAGGCTTTTTAGATATAGGTAAAAGCGATCCCTTTTCATACTGTCACAATATATGACTGAATATAGGACACGAATAAACAAGTTTCAGAGAAAGAAAAACTACGAACCATATCGGGATTGCTTTGATGTATAAGATTCCAACTGTCACTGCCGTTGATATCGATTCGATCTGTTTTCTTTGCTGTACACAAAAAGGCTTCAACGTTTATAGTATGTTAGAATTTGTGTATTTGTGTTTTCCTTTTAACATAAATAAATTGATCGACTGGAACATTAGCCGGATTTCTATTATAAAATACGAGGCAGTATTCTAATGAAATTATACTCTTAAGGTAAAGTCTAGTCTCTATTCCAAGTAGTAGTTAGTAATCGGTAGTTCTTGAAAGGGTAGGTGAAATATCCCTAATATTCACCTACCCTTTCAAGAACTACCAATTACTAAGTTCTTCGATTCGTTTTCAGAATGATTTACGACTAAAAACAAAGGCTCTCTGATTTATATCAAAAAGGTTAAAGATTTTTCTGGCTAAGAGTTATCACTGCAATAAAAAAGCCTAAGAGCTGCGTATCCGTGAAAGATCTAATACTACATTACGGAGTAACTGTAGTATCTTGAGCTATAAGTACTTCGTGTTGACAATTAAAAAGCACATTATGTGATTCTTCTCGTGTTAGTAAAATGTTTGAAATCCAAGCATATCATGTGTAACAAGCATATCATCTGTAACAAACATTTGATCTTTAAACATTTCAGATATAAATATTTAATACGACTAATGTTAGTCGTAAAAAAATAATGTCTTTACAAGCTGTTTAGCTACATACATTCGTGTGAATGTTGATATGTAATGTATGTATGTAATGTAATGTGCGGGACGGCAGTAAAACATGTTTACTTGAATTAGTACTTGTTCGTTTGTGAATAATTACGCAAATTCGCAATCCCAACAAAATACCTTTCAAATTTAATATATTTATTTCAAAAATTACTCAAAAATTATTTTGTCAACTTTAAATTTGAAATGTCAAATCATAGATTTTTTGGCGTCTTTTTTCCGTCGGTGCGGATAGTCCTATATATGTAGATGCCATGTGTTACATAATTTTGCGGGAAAAAAACGCGCTTCTAAATATCGCTGTGCGGACGGGCCCATAAGGTGCCCATGAACGGCGGTAATCATTTGCCTTCAGGTAACCCGCCTACTCTTTTGATCCCTATTCAATAAAAATACCCTATCAATTCTATCCTATCATGAGATTCATTGTTTACTAAGTAACATTAATTTATACTTCCATACTTATATTATAAATGTGAAAGTGAGTTTATTTGTTTGTTTGTTTGTTACACTTACACGCCTAAACCAAGACACCGATTTTAAAAATTCTTTCACCACCTTTCTTTAACATAGGCTACTTTGTTAAAAAATCATTTTATTTAAATAAAAAACTGAGTGATTTTCATATTAGTTATGTTTGTTGTTTTCGTATCATATCGTAGCGTAATAAAAAAACTGAACTTATGAATTTAAAATAACACTTTAAAGATTATTTATGCATTTGTTAATTATTACTTGGGGGCTCCATCATCCCGGCAATTGCCGCTCTCATTTAAAAGTGAGACTCTGACTTACTCTAGTTTGTTCTTACACTCCTAGGACATAGATCCATCAATATCAGTAATTTCTATTTATTTCCATGAACTTTCCTATTTACGGTATTTTCCCTTACAAAATACTCCCAATATTTCCACTAAGTATCCGGTTCACTAGGCTTGTATATATCACCAGAAAATAACAAGAACCGCAAATGTATAAATTCCCTAGGAAATTTGTAAACCTTCTTAGGATTCTAAACGAGATATAAATTGTATTATTTTACGCAAATTGATAAACTTACCGCTCTAGTCCGATGCTTTCTTCAGTTCCAGAGCCGCCTCCTTGGCGAGCTGGTCGGCTAGGTTAGGGGTTTCTTCTCTCGTTTAGAATCCTACGAAGGTTTATAAATTTCCTGGAAATTTATCATTTGCGGTTCTTGTTATTTTCCGGTGACATCTACATTGCATTTGCATAGGTAGAACACAACTAAAGTTGCAAAATGAATGTTTAATATGTCTCTATCTCATTTATTAATGGATTTTATTATATGCGAACTCTCGCACTAGGAAAATATTCTGTGTCGGGACTTTACAAACATACATGAAACCGACACAAAGAAAACTCAGACTCAAAACAACAATTTGTTGATCACACAAAGTGTTGTCCCACGTGGGGATTGAATCTACAATACTTAGCGCAATAGAAAGCGGCGAGGTGACCGTTTAAACCTCTACGCCATCCGTACAGTCAATATCTGAATGTATCTAGAGGCATATTATACACTTACGACTACACCTGTATGTATTTGATTGTAAAATGATTTTAAACTCAAACTTGAAACAATCGGTCCCGCATCATGTTTTGCTAATCTCTTCTACAATTTACCTCAAAGACGTAGTTCTTCAAGAAGAGTATGACCCACTCCGGTATGCGTATGTCTATTTTCATGGTTGATAGCACACACACATATATTATGTATATAAAAAATAATGCTTGTTGTAGTTGCAATTTTAATCTACATTTGTTAAGCTTAATTACAGCAACCCTTAATTATTTATAAATATTTACAAAGGGTTCAAATAAAATTAACGAATTTAATCTAACTCTTAGCCCCTTAAGAAGTCCTTATGCTTTAAAGTCAAGAGAGAGAGAGGCCGGAGCGGTACTTGAAATACAGTAATTAGTATTCCTTTTACACTGTAGGTCGAGTTTTGTAAACCGTCCAAAACTCGTAGTACGAGTATCTGGCAATTTTGAAGGTTCCTCTACAGTATTACCTGACTGTCCTTTTTATGATTTTATTTGCGTATTAAAATTATATAAAACTATCATTTGCTCAGTAGGCCAAAACCTCCTTTCTGAGGAGAGGCCTATGTCCAGCAGTGGACTAGTATAGGCTGTTGATGATGATGATGTGATCATTTGCCCATTTTAAGAATTTTTAAAATAAGTATAGTTGTTAAGGCGTGAAAGCGTAACAAAAAACGAACTCACTTTCACATTTATAATATAAGTATTAATTTTAATATTAGACTGCACGCTTGAATTTAATAAAATATGCTTGGTCCTATGACTTAATTCTAGTAATATACATATTATATATATACACCCTAAGATATCTTCTTTTTTAAACTTTTTCTTATTTCTACACGATAAAAACTACAGGTGAATTTAAATGCATATTTTTCACAGATTTGAGTATTTTATACCGTTTATATTAACTTAAGCTCCCTTGTTAAATTTCTAAAATATTACTTTTAATAGTTTAGAAATAATAGTCTAATAAAATCAGTTTAATACAGCAGGGCGCAGCGTAGAGCAGAGTTTAGACAAGACGCTTTAATAACATCTACCATCCACCGGAGCTCACCTAGAATGGCTCTAACCACGGTTTAATTAACTCTTCGCCGGATCTCGCCTCACGGATCTTAATATACAAGTTTTAAGCTCTGCGACACAGCTCAAGATAGCGTGGTTAATTACTTCTTTAATATACTCTTATTTAAATGAAAAGAAGATAGTTTTTAGTTATCCTTTTTATATACAAGCGATGGAACCAATGGTACATAATTTACTTTAAAATAAGTATCACTACAATACGTCTACATTATGATGAATTTGTAACAAATTGTATTCTTCAGTCCTTAATTTTATACCCCTAGAGGTGGTATTCTTTCTCCAAATTTAAATGAGAAGTATTCTCTCGGAAACAAAAAAAACTAAATATTTTCATAAATATGAACAGATTTCTGAGGATAGAGTTCTGAGGTCCCAAACATAAAAAAAAATGCCAAAGAATTGAGAACATCCTGTTTTTATTTAAAGTTGTTTAAAAAACGAATAAAACCAATTCCCATATTACTGTAGTAATTGAGAATGTTTATAAGCATTGTTTATAAGGATTTTGAAAATTTTACTATTTAAAACTTTTCTATACATTTTCCATACAACTTAATCTTTTATAACAATAATAATGTTGCCATTCAATTGTAAGTACTAATTGGAGATATATAAGTAGATAACACATTATTTATACACCGTTGTTAGAGAATAACAAAAGTAAAAGACAACCTCCAACCTGCAGGAGATACCTTGAGGCTTCTACTTTTGCCTTATTTTTAAGAGGTTACGATCGATGGTTAATTAAACGTGTAATTGAAGCAGTGAATCAATTCGATTGGCAAGATAATTTGAACCTTGTCTTACAGAATACAATTGCGTAAGTATGGCTGCCATTACAACCGCGGTTGCTTTGTGAAGTTTGACAAAACAGTTTTTTTATAATACTCGGTGCAAGCAGTTCTGAAGTCAAATTTGGACTATTTCAATTTCGGACGGAAAATATGATGTTGACGTAAGAGGATGTTTTGCGCGAGTGATTTGTATCATAGAAGAAAAATTACGTTTGATTTACACATATACATGCGAATGGTTTTCCGTGTTTTGTTGCAGTAGGTTATAAAACCTAGTGAGCACCGCATCTTTGGTCAAACAGCGAATCTTCCAGATGAAAGAAAACTTTTAACGAACTGAAGCTATTGTGTCATCCTATTGTTGAACTTAGTTACTTTTCGGCGTCCTCGTTTTGCTTAAAGAAAAATGCTTAGTGTGCAGAGATGATGGGTTTTAGCATTTTCAGTGCTGTAGTGTGTTTTAAAGCGTTTCTGTAAAATTGTGCTGGAAGATGTTCACTAACGTTAAAAAATGCCAATTGGCTTCGTTTTTTATTGGTAAGAAACTAAAAAAATGACTCGCACATTTATAATTAGATATATATTTTTATTTTATTCTTTTATGTCAATGTACTTTAATCTTAAAAGAAATGCGGTTTCATTCACATGTTTATATTGGAGATGTATATTATATATGTATATTGGAGATAAGACAACCAATGACCCAATGGGCTTTTTTTTTTCAACTTTATGTTTAGTTTTGTAACGGTATGTTTTTCTATTCTAAACGTGATTTTAATTAGATGCCAAAGCGGAATTTAGGAGTTGGATACGACATTTAGGTATGTGATATATTTACCACATAAATGGATCCAAGCCTAGTTCTTGTTTACAGTAACTACCTGTAGGTATAATATAAGCATACGCTATGTTTTTATTAATATTTCGTCATGCAAAGGAAATTAAGTAGAAATTAGAGTTTAGGTACGATTTTTGTATGATTAAAAAAAAACTTCCGCTGAATATAACAAATAAACCACTATACCAACCCGTCTGGCCAGCGTGCTGTAGTAAGCCAAAACCTCCTTTGTAAGAAGAGATCTATATCCAGCAGTGGATTGTTAAAGGCTGTTGATGATGATGAATATATCTATGATGATATGAATATAGCGAATAGGACCTATTTTTTTCCACTATAATTAACATTGCTAACCATTAATTTTGATTGTTTAAACAACCATTTGTCCTGTGTCTGGGTGCACTTTATCTATAATATATATGTATTTAGAAATGTATAAGTATGTTTATCAGCAGTCTAGTTACTATAGTTCAGGCTCTGCCTAGTTTGGGATCAGACGGCCGTGTGTGAAATATTATTATTATTCACATCCGATGCCATGGGTACACTGTTGGTTTGCTATATCCTTGCCTTACATTTTTATGGTACAGGCAAACAAGCAGACGGGTCACCGAATGGAAAGTGACTATCGGCGCCCGTGAACATCAAGAGTCATAAGTGTGTTGCCACTCTTCGAGTCTCCCCCCAAAAACAGGGGGAGGGAGGTTTTGGACTCCGGTAACCAAACTTACTCGGTGAAAAACATCGAAAGAATTGTTTAACACCGGTTGTCTGTGAGGTCTAGACATGGATATTATTGCTGCTAGGAATCATATAATATTTGATTTTAGTCAATGCGATTTCACCTGTGATTGTGATTTGATCATAGACAACGATAAATGCCATCAAAATCAATTAAATTATTTTTACCAAAGTTTACGATCTTTTTTTTAGATTATAAATAATAAGTTACCGTGGTCTTAAATTAGTCGCAGGTGTGATTATATGGTTTATAAATCATATGATTATCATTGGAGATTGTGATTTTAATTCATCTCTAGTGAGACCGTAGTATTACTCCGGTCGGGCCAGCCCGTTTATGCCGAAACATGGCTCTCCAGTTACTTATACTTAACCGCAGAATAGAAATGCCTCAGGCTTATTTATATTTTCTAAAAAAAACGTTAGCCGTTTTCCGATAAATTCACTCATAAATGTTTTAATTTCTTAATTGTTTATGTAATTTGTAGATACAAGTCACCGTCTAATCGGCGATTTCTCCAAGACAACCTTAAATATACAAATCAAAGTGATAATCTTTAGAGTAGTTTCTACTACGAATAATATTATCTGTATAAAAGGTAATATAGATATTTTGTTGTCCAGGGAAAGTGTAGACTTAACTTAAAAATATATGTACCCACGTACGACATATGTACATTCGGAAACTGGAAGTGCATTTATCTGTCTCATATTCATTTACAAAGATCTTTGGTCTATTCCCTCAACGGTATTCTTAACCTTAAAATATTAAGTACACTTGGAACCAGCATCACATTTTCGCTATAAGTTTACTATTGTTTCATTTTATTTGGTTTCGTTTAGTTATGAAATGAACATCAGAATGGAGTTCAATGCATTTCATACCATTTGCAGTTCATTTTATACCATTTATTCCAAGTCAGTTGTAGAATAGATAACGTATTATCATTATTAGAATATAAGACACTATTTAGAAACATCTCATGCCTCCACAAGAATAGGTTATTTATTCATTCGTTCATATTCATTATGGTTCATGTTGTTAACTTTCCTACAAGTTGGCAGAGTTGTCACATTCACACATATTTATTTAAAGTTATTTAGATTTATTGTTTCTCGCTGTAAAACAAAGACCAGAGTGAATATTTAGTTAGGGTATTTAAAGTAAAATGCGTCACAATATGTATGGCAACTAGTAATTTAGAGTGAGTTTTATCAAGACAAACAGCATAGAATACGTAAACATTTTCGAAAAAATATATGTTATTAACGATTAAAATGCTTTTGTAGATAAATATTCAGTAGAAAAATATTTTTTTAGACTAATTCTCGAATTGGCTTCTGTATAAAGATAGAAGCTATTTTTTTGCACTCCAACAAGGTGTACCTATTGCATCAAATTGATGTTATCATCGAATAGTCTTATTCAATGCTATTTAGCTATGACGAAACCTTGAAAGAATTAATCATAATAAAATGCTTGAAGGTATTATTTAAATTATTCAATTACTCAACAATTTGTTATAACAATGGTAAATGAAAATGGTTTTAAATTGCAATGGCTGGTATGCGTGCACCATTGAAATATTAGTGAGTTACTTTAACTTCCAAGGTGTGCATTGTCAATACTACTCGTAGTACATAATAAATATGTACATGCATAGTCAAACCAACTAAAGTATAAAGTGTGATATATAAATGAATATGTTCAAAATTCAGCAGCTAGCTGCTAGGGTGACAGATGGCCTCACCTGTCACCCCCAAGCCTGCGCTTATGGAGGACGGAGGTCGTTCTGTGACCTCCGGCCCCTGAGTCGCCTGCGGTACCTGGCCCGTTCCCGGGCCTGGCGGGCCGGGAGAGTCCTAAACCTCTCCTGGGCCCGCTCCGCCGTCTCCTTCGCGAGCATAACTTGCTCGCAGAAGGAGACGGCAGAGTTCCACGCACTCTCGCTCCGCACGATAGCCGCAATCAGGCTATCGAGCGAGAGAACTCCCACTCCGATGGCCGCCACGAGGTCTCGCCTCTGCTCAACCCACGCCGGGCACTCTGCCAGCGTGTGGAGAGCCGTGTCCACGGTCTGGCCATCGCAGTGGTGGCACTCAGGCTCCCCAAAACCCCTGCATATTAAATTTCATTAAAATCTTTGGAGCCGTTTTCGAGATTTGACATAAAGATTATATGTATGTGATATGATTATATGTATATATATATATATATATGTATACACTTATATACAAGAATTGCTGGTGTAAAGGTATTAGATTTAAGGATATTAATATTTTTCTTCTTTTAGAAATAACTATCCTGCCACTTACCACTAACAGCATGTAAATAATTAAGCATAGATGATAATCAGCCTCGATATAAGCGATCATCATCACCTAGCAGTACTTATAACTATCGTTTGTACTTTGATATTATTCAAAGAGTCGATGACAAAAAGAAAACAAGCTTGACCGATTGCCGTTTGGCGCCTGAGCTGCTGTGTAAAGAGCCTTTTGTGACATAACATAGAACTAAATAGAATTTTCGTCATAGTTCTGCGTGAGTTAAAACTAAAGTAATAAATATTTTTATTACGGTTGTATTTATTACAAACCTAGTGGTAATTGTAGCTTAGGTTTTGAAAATGTATTATTTAGAGATATAACACTTACATCCGATTTTTCCACTATCCGATTTCTGAAAGGCTATTCAAAATATTGTACCACTGTTAACAGCGTGCTGCAAAATCTTATTTAAATAAAGGTAAAAGCCGAGATTTTATATGTTTTAATGCAATTCAATGTGTATGTTTAAATAACATTCAATTTAGAGAAGTACTTTAAAAACCAATGCAAGTCAAATTTCTTTATTACATGACACGCACTCAATGACTACAGTTATATATTATTTCTGAGAAATACACAAGCTTCAAGTTCTACATACAAAAATTGTATAACGTATAAATCAAGTTAAAGCGACAGTTCTGTTTTGTTTAAATACCATCAGAACTATTTTATTTTTATTTATAACAGTCAAATAAGTCTTTTTAATAAACGTCAAAACGATAGACGTGGTACATTTTTGTGTGAAATCTATGGTGTGACTATTGTCAAATCTCAAAAATCGAATTTTGATTGAATGTTGACTTTAAGAAGTCGAAATAATCATCATCATCATCATCCTATCGCAGTCCACTACTGGACATAGGCCCCTCCCATTGCAAGCCACTTAGATCGATTTTGGGCTTCTCGCATCTACCTCCTGCCAGCCATCTTGCGCAAATCGTCACTCCACCTGGCCTGTGGGCGTCCTACACTACGTTTACCGAGACGCGGTCTCCACTCAATAACTCGTTTTCCCCAACGGTTGTCGGTTCTGCGGCTAATATGGCCAGCCCACTGCCACTTCAGCTTGCTGACCCGGCAGGCTAATAAAATCATTAAATTTATAATGGAGCATTACCTGTTCAGGCTATTTACTTTAAGATGCTACAATTAACGATTCAGGCGGAATAATTTATTTTAAACCTAGGAATTTACCCTGTTCAGACATCTGTCATGACATTGCCATTGTCATTTAATATATTATTGTTATATGATATTGGTTGTAAATCGAAAATATTGTTAGTTAGCAAATTAAGTAGAAATTAGATCTCATAACGTTTTTTCGGTAAACGAACTGGGTTGTTAGCAATTTTTCAATTTACTTTTTTAATGGTATAAAATTTTACCCGTAATACAATGAGTTACAGTAAGAGATAAATTCAGTATATTTTTAATTTCAACAAGATATCCTGTCATCAATTTACCTTCTTTGTACTCTTTAATTTTCTTTAAATGTAGCTCTAGTACAGGCGCTAGAGGTCAGTGAGTATGCAAAATTTGAAGATCGAATTCCACCAATGGATTTTTGTTAAGAAAAGGTCAAAGATTAATAATGGTAATATGGACCTAAAATTCGGATTCAGCTCACCAAAAACCTTCGGAGAAGTATACTCTGGTTTCTGGGTCTAAGCGTCGGCGTGTGTAAGAGTAGAAGGTTAAAAATAAGAAATAGTCCAAAAAATAGACCGGCGAGATCCACATTATTAATCTTTTACCTTTTCTTAACACAAATCCATTGGTGAAATTCGGTCCTCACATTTTGCATACTCACTTACTGCTAGCGCCCGGTCTACTCAGTACGTCTACTACTTTCAACTCGAGAAAGAATACAAAGCGCTTTTGTTTTTGTCCGTATCTAAGAATTGTAGATATAAGACCTCTTTAGATGCTAAAGTTGCGTCAAGAGAATTTGAAATAACAACAGTGTGAACAAAATTTAAGCATAGAATGCTGAATTCAGTATTAAGTTTAAACAATACTTGAGTTGGCGCTACTTCTTATGCAAATGTGTGCTATGACGGAATAATACTTTCAATTACAATAATAGAACAACTCTGTAATGGTTTTAGTTAAATTGCATTTTTTTATTTACTAGTTTCGTAAACGTGTAGCTGAAAAGTAATTATTTAAGTTTTTTTTACATTACTATTCTAATAATAATCTAATGCAATGTCTTTATTTCAATGACCTCGATACCTTTCTTCGATGTCTTTAAGTTATGCAGCAAAATTTTCTTTGTTCTTTGTTAAAACAACCACATTTTTCAGAGAATTTGTTCAAATGACTGTAGAGGTAGTACTCGCTGACATATAACATAGACGTTAATCATGACATACACAAGTTTTGTAAATATTCAACTTATTTAGCACCAAATATTCGTAATGATTGATTATTGATTTCCAAAAATAGAATTTACAGCATTTACACACGATGTCTAGGCCTTTACTAAATCATTTATCGAACGCATAATATTATTCTCATTCATGTCAATTTTCAACAGTGTTCCAACTGTCCCTCGTCTTTGAACACACCAAAAAGATAAGAAATTTTCTAAACTCACGGATTCAAATTTTTAGAAACCTGAAAAGAGATTGCAGTTAAACGACATTTTTTCAACTAGAAATATTAGTTAAAACTATATTTATTATGAAATGTTTCACACTGATAAACTTATAACTGTTCCTACATACTTGTTTAGTTCCTAACGGTTATTATGTCCTTGCTACAGGTACAGGATAAATCGATATGCGAATCCGAAAAGTGGGGCATCGATCTATGCTTCAATCTATACAATATTCATATTTCCCTGGCTTCAGAGTTATACTAGTTTATGGTTTAAGGTGTGGCATGAATTAAATAAGGTTCGAGTTTCTGTAGCCTTGTGCCAAATCTTTATTATTCCGTATCACGAGGACGTACATACCCAATCACCTTGTTTTTGTTTGTTTTTACGTTGAGCACTTTTCATATTCATGGAATACACGTATAGGGATTATTCGTGGGATTATCCCACGTCCCAATCCAATTTCGGTGACTGCTTGCGTTAAAGTCGATATTAAGGAATGAAAACGTGATACACACGTTTTATAGTTATACTATTTTACTTAATTGCATTGCTTTTGAGTGGGGACCAAAGAACCTCTTTTGTGGCCTTAGGTATTAAAATGTGTAAAAATAACAAGATAATCCTTTTAAAAAACATGGAACCGACTTCAAACAATACCTACTAACAAAGATCACTGAAAACCTAGCAGCAATCGCGGTTCATTTGCTGTCATTTTTTGAAGAGTTCCGTTGTCTGTCTCCGAAACTCATCACCAGATTTATATAAAATTTAAATAGGACTATTTCGGAATAAACTCCTTTCAAACAAAAAAAGTTTTTGTAAATCCGTCTATAAATGACCGAGTTATGCGAGAACATACATAAAAAATATAAACATCAGAATAGAAAACCTCCTCCTTTTTAAAGTCGGTTAAAAAAACAAAAATGTCAACTTATGCGCTCGTCGGTGTGTATTTCTCTTTTTAAAATAATGTAATTAAATTTAATGTAATCTGAATGTTCATTTAAACGCTTAAATCGCAGGTACTGCCTGATCGATTATAAAAAGACATTCAGTAATTTTATTAAAAGAGGTTTTAATCAATGTAACGTAATACTCAGATTGGTATAACATAATAGATATTTTTAAATAACCTACACCTAGATTGTACATAGACTAATATTTAGACGAATTATATATACCTAAGCTTTGTATAAAAAAAGTACTCAATATATAACGTGACTTGATTATTTATATTTTCAACAGGTATTGCAGAAATATGTTTTATGACAGCACCTGTGGATCAATGCAAGGAATGCTGCCCAAGAAATGAAACTCTTGATATACAATATAAATTATTTACAAGGTGTGTATACTGCCCGAATGTATCGAAAAAATTGGTTAGCTATTACAGCAGATTTCTGTTTTTTAATTTTATAATCTCCTTCCTGAGTTGGGTATTCCCCTTTATATAAATATCATGTAATGTAAATGGGTATACATTTACATTACATGATCTCTGTAACTTTAAAACAAACAAAATATAAACCAAATAAACGCTGGCCGATTTCGACGAAAAAGTCGCTGAAAGACAATATTGGAACAAACAAAATTATTACGACGATACGATGTATTATTTATCATACAGTAAAGATTAAACCTATTTGATGATTGTGTTTAAAATCATAATGGTTTTGCCCTAATAGCATGTGACAGATACTTTGGTGAATCTTTGTCCTACGCGTTTTGTTTAGAGCAAGAATTTTTTAAGCATTTTCGAGGTTAAGATACACTACGTCATAACCTTTGTACCTATTTGTTTCTGTGAGGATATTTTAATAAATAGGTCCATCCCTGGACACAAAAAGATACCAGAGAGAGAGTATACGTATTACACAGAATACAAAATTATGGTTAATAATGTTGACATTAAAACATTACGGCCATTAACTCCAGGTATGTACTTATATGTAAGTTTACCAAATTATTAAGCGAGATAAAAATTAAAAACGATATTATATCTTTTTCACCAGATTATATCATCATCACACTTCAACAGCCTTTAATAGTCATCTGATAGACATAGGCCTCTTCAAGTTTTCCTTTCTTTCTTTCTTATTCTTAATCCTTAATCCGTCACCACACGGACAATACAGTGATAATTAATAACGAGATTATGTTACTACTATAAAAAAACGTGTTTTGCAAGTCAGGAAAGTTCCATCACAAGGCTGTCATTGCTATTATACAAGGTTGAATTTGCAATCAGGTTCAAACAAAGCCTGCGCTTTGTTCAATGTAATTACTAACCTTTGCTTAGGTCACACTGGATTCATGACTGGACATCGTTAGAAATTAACAGCGAGCAGAACATGGGTTTGGACATGAGGTCACATGTTCGTGACAATTCCACATATTAATATTTATGGTTGGTACGATTGCGGAAATATTATTTTGAATATTAATGTTATCCGAGGTGACTGTTTCTAACAGAAACCTATACCTAAACAAGACAATGTATTTAAACTATTAAAAATTATTATTTCTATTAAAGACCATTAAAACGCTATTTACAATGTGCACTTAGATGAGCAAAACCAGTTTCAGGCAAATATGACCAGACTTGTACCAATTTACATGAAAAAGAATAGAATTTATTTTCCCGAATTTCTAATTTGCCGGCGGCATAGCCAGAAATTTGTTCTCTACGTAGGTCGCAAAACGTGACCGACCACGGGAGGCGACACTCTTGCGACTTATCCGCAATGTCATGGACAAGAAGGCTACCACGGATGCGAGAGTTCCTCACACGGTCCTCCCTCATGACTCCACATATCCACCGCAACATATTCATTTCCGTAACATGCAGCTCCTGTTGGTGTCGATCTAATAATTGCCACGCCTCGCAGCCTTGTAAAAGGACAGGCCTAATGATGTTTTTTTTTTTCAAAAAAAAAGTATCTATGTATTTATATCAGTTGTCTAGTACCCATAGTACAAGGTCTGCTTGGTTTGGGACTACATGGCGTAGTGTGAATGTGGTAGGTATTTCACTTTGTCCATGCGGTCGATTAAGTAATTGCCTATGTGGACGGATGTGCTCTGCTCATGTGGTTCTCTGATGCTGTCAGACAAGACGCTGAATAGAAGAGGACTGAAGACTGATCCTTGGTGAACCCCGATAGTGATGGGGAAGGGCTTCGTGTCGCCAACAGCAGTCCGAACTACAGAATCAGAATCACGGTACATGTCAAGGATTATGTCAATATAAGTCTCTGGTAACCCTTTGGACTCTAGTACTCACCAGATCATCACACGAGGAACACTGTAAAAACTTCTGCAAGTCCAGGAATATCGTCCTGTAGTTCTCCCCGACAATTCTTAGGGCAAAAACTGGGTCTTTAGTACCGTGGCCTGGAATACTGTATGATAAAATCGAATAACAACTTTGTTCCATCGAATACCATAAACTATTTAAACTTCGTTTTGGATAATTTTTAAGGCTTAGTTAAGAAGTTCTACCTTAATAATACAATTAAAGCTTTTTCAACTTGTTTGTTTATAGGTCAAATCCTACGATATTTCAAGTTATACCGTCGAACGACGTCGCCGGACTTCGTGCCTCGGGTTTTAACTTGAATAATCCCACTGTCATATACCTGATGGGGTTTTCTGAGTCCTCAAGTGGTATTAGTACCTCTACTGTGAGAAACGGTAAGTAATGACCTTAATATTTATAAATGGAACTTATTTAGAAGTTATGTTTACTGTGGATCATACTATCTTCGGGTCTTGAGATCTGTAACGACAGAGGTCGTAGAAATAACATGACCTTGCAGGACTGTTGGTCTAATATTAGTGATCTTAATTGCTGAGCCGGAGGTCGTGTGCTCGATTAGGATAAACATTTGTGTGACAAACTCGAACATTTATGTCTGCTTATGACCACAGTAGACTAAGACTAGTTTGAGATAAGAAGACCGTGTGTAAATAGTCTTAAATTATTATGTCACTCGCTAAAAAGTAGTGTTACTCGCTGATAATGTAGCTTTCCATTGATTAAATTATTTTAAAATCAGTTTATTGGTTTAGGTGTGAAAGCGTAACAAACAAACAAACTCAGTTTCACATTTATAATATAATTATGAATTTTATTTTTATATTTTAGTTTAAAAGCATATATTTTATGGCACAGATAATATTATTATAAATACTATATAACAAAGACTTTCGTTTAAAGCCTTAATAGCTACGTCGTAGACTACGTAGGTATCCATTCGAGCTACGAAAGTTGCTCACGATATGAAGGCTTCTATAATAGTAATCGCACAAATATGACTGAAATTAATACTTTGAAATGTAACTTTAAGTTAAACTTGTTGTTGGCGAGCATTGACCCCATTTAAAAATAAATTAAAAAATTGATCTTTTCCTAGATCCGTTTATGAGGCACGAAATAATCATATTTATAAATATACAAGCACATTTATTTCTCGTTTAAAGTTATTGGATAGAATATATGAATACTATTACATACATACATTTATTATATATTTTGAGTCTAAGACTCCATCGAAGTAAGTGTTCGATAAGGAAATAAATCATTATTTAAATTTTGTAACAGAGACACAGATTGAAAATGGAATAAAGAAATATTCATCTATTAAATTCCCTTCCCTTGCACACAACAATAAATGATTAAATATACTAAAAACCCGACTGAGACTGTGACCCAATATACCTACACCCTTACAACCGATACGAATTCATAACATTCGTATCAGTGTTAAGGGTTTATTATAATTAGAAATTTGTTTAATATCTAAGCTATAACAGCGTGCCAAAGTATCAGTAGAGAATACATAATATAGTAATAGTACAGAAGTTTAACTTGGTAGAATCATTTAAATAAAAGGAAACTTTTTATTCGATATAATAAAGTGTAAAATTAAGTGCTCATTGCACAGTAATGTAAAGTATTGCATTCAATTCCTGGCGAACATTGAGAAAACACTGGCAAGTGAACCTAACCGTGTTAGTCTTTAATAATACAATTACATTACAATTAAATAAACAAAACGTCTAATTATTATGAATGTACCTTTACCAGTGGCGGATTATCCCTTTTTTTTTTTTTTTTTTTTTTTTTTTTTCCGTGCGGAAATCCCCTCGGATACCACCTGTCGGTGGCATGTCGGACTCGAACCGACTAAAACCGCACGCCTTCGCCGGGTACTAATAGCCGGGGAACCAGGTATACCCTAGAAAGGAAGGCCCTGGTGCCCCGACATACCTCGGGTCATCTACAGACGAGTAGACGACCCCCGCCCCGTGTGGGAACCCCATGTTCCCTGTGCTCCCTGGAAGCGAGCGCGCTTCGCAACGCGCTCGCCGCCACCCCGGCCTGCTTCTGCTAGGGTGACAGATGGCCTCACCTGTCACCCCCAGGCCTGCGCTTATGGAGGACGAAGGTCGTTCTGCGACCTCCGGCGCCTGAGTCGCCTGCGCTGCCTGGCCCGTGCCCGGGCCTGGCGGGCCGGGAGAGTTCTAAACCTCTCCCGGTCCCGCTCCGCCGTCTCCTTCGCGAGCATAACTTGCTCGCAGAAGGAGACGGCAGAGTTCCACGCACTCTCGCTCCGCACGATAGCCGCAATCAGGCTATCGAGCGAGAGAACTCCCACTCCGATGGCCGCCACGAGGTCTCGCCTCTGCTCAACCCACGCCGGGCACTCTGCCAGCGTGTGGAGAGCCGTGTCCACGGTCTGGCCATCGCAGTGGTGGCACTCAGGCGTTGGCTCCTTGCGGATCAGACACAGGTGATCTCCGAAACATCCCTTCCCAGTGATCACCTGCGTCAATCGGTATGAGAGGGTCCCGTGACGCCTCTCGAGCCAATCCTCCATAACGGGTCTTACCGCCGCAATGACGGCGTGCCCGGCGCTCGGTTGCCCGAGTCGTTCCCTCCACTCCCCTATGATGACCTGGCGGAGTTGGGATTTCCGGTCATCGATTTCTCGAATCTCGGGGTATCGACCCAACTCCTGCGCCTCCTTGCGCCACTGATACAGTGCTGCAAGGGCTCTCGCCTCCAGGTCCCACGGTGGAGTTCCGGCCAGGAGACTCGCCGCCTCGAAGGAGATCGTGCGGTACCCCCTTATGATCCTGATGGCCAGCATTCGCTGCGGTCGCCGCAGTATCGCGACGTTGCTGGCCTTCAGGGCCCCCGCCCATACTGGGCACCCGTAAAGGGCCATGGACCGCACAACCCCCGAGTAGAGTCTCCGGCAGGAGTCATCGGGTCCCTTCATGTTGGGCAGCAGCCGCGCCAACGCACGCGCTGCCCCAACCAACTTGGGGACCAGACCTCGGAAATGATATCCGAAGTCCCATCGGCCATCGAGTACGAGCCCCAGATACCTGATCGAGGGCTCGATGCCGATGCGAGTGCCTCCTACCGTGAGGCTAGATCCCTCAGGCGGCTTCCTCCGAAGCCCGTGGAAGAACAGGGCCTCGGACTTGTGCAGAGCCACCTCGAGACCCAGCCGCCGGATACGCTCAACGACTTGGGCAACCCCGGCCGTGGCCCTCAGGGTTGCCTCGTGGTGCGTCTTGCCGCGCGCCGTCACGAGTGTGTCGTCCGCGTAGCACACGACGGCGACACCATCCAAGAAGGTACCACGAAGCACCCAGTCGTAGCCGATGTTCCACAAGAGTGGCCCTAACACCGACCCCTGCGGAACACCGCACGACATTTCACGCCTACCGAGACCGGTCCTACTGGGGTAGACGACGGCTCTCTCCGACAAATATGCCCCGACTATGCGGCGGAGGTAGAGAGGCACTTCGTGATACACGAGCGCCTCCCTGATGCAGCTCCAGGGCATAGTGTTGAACGCGTTGGCGATGTCCAAGGACACCGCCAACACCACTTCGCCCCGGGAGACTGCTTCCTCCGCCAGAGCCTTCACGCGCATGATCGCATCCACGGTGGAGCGCCCCTGACGGAAACCGTACTGGCTGTCCGCCAGATCCGGCCCAACCATCACGAGATGCTTGACGAGGCGCCTTGCAATCACTCTTTCAAAGAGCTTGCACACCTCGTCAAGCAACACTATGGGCCGGTAGGCGGACGGTGAGTCCGCCGGGCGCCCCTCCTTTCGGATGAGGACCAGTTTCCCCGTCCTCCACAATTTCGGAAACTGGCCCCGCTCGAGGCATGCGCTGAAGAACCCTCGCAGTCGGGGCTCGAGAGCCTCGTCGACTAAGGCCAGGACCCACGCTCGGCCAGGAATGCCATCGGGTCCCGGGGCGGTGTTTTTGGCTTTAAGCCGTAACACCGCCACCCTTAGTTCCACCCCAGTGACCTCAGGCACGTCGTCGTCATCCACGTTAGGCGCCTCAAGCGCCGGAGGCGGAGCCATCTGTGGCGGAGTATGCTCCACCACTCGCGTTGGGAACAGGGAGCCAACGACCCTCTCAAGCAGCTCTGGCTGAAGACACCGTGTGAGCGGCGGGGCCCATGGGCGCATCTTGCCCCTAACCATACGGTAGGGGCGTCCCCACGGATCCCGCTCCAGTGTCTCCAGCATCTCGCGGCGGGCCTCGCTCTTGGCCCGCTTTATCGCTGCCTGAAGGGTCCTCCTGGCAACCCTGTAACCCGCTAACAGCTCTGGCGGATTATCCCTAAAGCGACTAGAACCGATTAAAAAACGCACGCCGTCTCGGCTACCACAGCCAGAGCCCTCCTATTTTAGGCGCGATAAGACATTCGATTCAGATATACTGCCCCACCGAAAACCCCGGTGGGGTGACGAAGATGATGAAAAAAAAAGGTTGATTAAAGAAGCACCAAATAACAATTAGAGTAATCACTACTATACATTTACAGTTAGTAAAAATAATTTTAATATATAGTATGGCCGCTAGAGTGGTGCGGGGGCGCCAAAGAGATGCTTGCCTAGGGCGCTATTGATACTTAATCCGCCCCTGACCTTTACACAGATCATGTAATAAAAGTTATAACAACTTCTGAAAGCAGTTAACATTGTAAGTATACAATATAAATATGGTGGCTATCAGATAATAAAAAGACAGTATCGCCACTGACACAGTGTCGTTATTTTTATGGTAAAAGCTATAAATTATTTGATATGTTTAATATGTAGATAATAAACTTTGTAAATTAGGTAACGAGGTACTTAGAATCTATATTATTGACCCTGCATGTAAATAGAAGCACTTGTATATTATTATTAGCTTTTGACTGCGGCAGCTTTCCATTGGTGTGAGATGTATGGGGGCTCGGTTAAATAAAAAGAACTGTTCACGTTAGCTTTCACAATTATAATAATATAAAACCTAAAGAAATACATAGTGCAATTCCAAAACACAACATAAGCAATAATTTGAGACAGTTGAGACATCGTTGTAAAGGAGTATACTTACTGAATAATATAAAGGAACTTACATACACTACAGGTGAAAGAATTTTTTAAAATCGGTTTAGTGGTTTAGGCGTGAATGCGCAATAAACAAACAAACTCACTTTTACATTTATAATATATGGATGATCATATACAGGAATCGAGGCAATCACCTAATATTTATTGTATTTCTTTGAATTGCATAATAGATGTAGTATAGAAACACATGATTGGTCTTACAAAAAACATTATACATATGTTATCTTGAGTACAATAAGTTATAAATAATATTTTTTTCTTATTTACAGCATTCCTGACTGCAGATGATTACAATTTTATCGCAGTGGATTGGTCGAGGCTCATCGCCTTTCCATGGTAACTACAAACTCCATCTAAAAGAATGCCTCTCCTCACCTCGTGCCGGAATATTACCAATTTAAACAAAAACTTAACCAAAACATTAGACAAAACCGTAAATTGGATGAAAAACCATAACCTCGAAATATTTTTTTCCAAAACTAAAATTATGTCCTTCCACCCTTATCAAAAATCCCCATTATTATTATATTAAAATATATATATATATATATTATATATTAAATCTCACATAACGAAATTAAGATCTAAAATCTCTAAGTTCACATATGTCTTCCGCGAACTTAGAAAGACCACCGACCTTCAAACAGCTCTCACCACTTATTACGCATACGCTTATTCCTGGTTTAGTTACGGCATCATATTATGGGGTAACAGCACAGATTCTCCAACACTCTTCACACTTCAAAAAAAAACTAATTAAAATTCTGGTCAATATAGAGGACACCGATAGCTGTAAACCATACTTTAGAGAACACAACATTCTAAAACTGCCATCAATTTATATTTTGGAAATATGTAAATTCGTACGAAAACATCAACATCTGTTCACAAAAGAAAGGATAAACAAACAAACTACACACTACGCCATAGGACTAGACTAAACCTACCCTCATCCCGACTCCAAATTCATTCAAATAGCACTCAAGTAATGTCGATCAAAATTTACAATAAATTACCCAAAGAAATTAGAAATGAAACCATATTAAATATATATTTAAATAAATAAAAACAATTATTATTACAAAAATGCTATTACAGCGTCAATGAATATCTGAGCAATCAATAAATTAAGCACGTACATAAAAACTGAAGTATGATTACTATTGTTAGTTTGTATTATCTCTCATCCCTCTCTCATCTATTGCTGTGCCCGACAGGGTCCATGATGATCTGATCTTATATTTGAGTACCTTCTAAGTAAACATTGTGGAATGCAATAAATATATTGAGTATTGAGTATTGAATGTTGTTTAGAAACTGCTTCCATTTTTATAGACGTTGGATGATTCACATTCGCAGTTTAATTGAATTCCTATTCGTGATCAGTAGAGAACTGAGACGCATACTTATAGATAGAGAGAGATAAATATACAACCCGTTACAATCTGTGATTAGTACACCAGGACCCAAAAAATAACTGTAGTTCATATCATTGTGATCTTTAAATAATGACTGTCGATGTAATGAATATAACATGAATATCACTAGTAGGAGATAGTACGTTATACTGCCTATACACTGTGTGGTACAGTGTTCCGTTATCAGTCCTTTTGCCGGGGCCTCAGGTGTACCCTACAAAGGAAATCCCTTTGAACCCCGGCGGACTTGGCCATCTGTTAAACTAGGCGACCCACTGCTTTACGATTAGTCAAGAATTAGTTAGGAATACATCTTTGCAATTTCAGAATGATTGTATTCGCAACTATGTGGCTTATACAAGGTATTGTTTTAGACATCGGGACAACAACTAAACACCAACATACGAGTATGTTTAGAACGCACAAAGATGTGTGAAGTATTTTAAGTTTTTAAGTCCTAGTGTAGAAATCACACAATCACTGAATGCAGAATGTACAATCACAGAAATCACATTTAATGGGACTATATGATATTCTATGGTTAAGGATAAAATTAAGGATAATAGTTGTCTTATTTTTCTAAATCCATATTTCCAAAACAGATTATAATCAAATATGAATATTTAGAACATACATCTTATGGGTATATAAAGCTTTAAATGATTTTTTTCTTTAATGATTTTAATTTTATATTTTCAATTTTATTTAAATTTACAGTATTACGGTTATTTATTGTGATGATAAAAATGCGGTTCTGTAATTACTGTGTTTGTCATTAGACTTATTTAAAATTTCTGTTTTATTAAATGTTAATGTCAAAGTGATTGTGCGATCATATAGACACTACATTTATATGTATGTTACACATATATAATAAATAAGTACACATAACATAGTATGTTACTACACCACCACCACATAAATCATAATAAAGTAAATTTTGCATCACCTGAAACTTAGATACAATTAAAGATAGATATTTCGGACATCTAACACACAACGCCATCTAGTTCCTCGAACTAAGCAGAGCTTGCACTATGAAGCTAGATTGACCGATTACTTACTCTTTTTTTGTAAATACAGACATAGTATACATAGAAGAAACCCAAACTCCGAAACAAATATTTGCAGATCATACAAACATTTGGTCCGACCCGGGATTTGAACCCGAAATCTCAGCACAGCAGTTATCACACTACACCATTATACGATACCATTACTTCCGGGCAGTCTGAGATATACTTAAAACTAATAATACGTGATTGAATTACTTCCATAATAGAACGTTCTCGACGAGGCGCGTTCACAATTATAAACACGGTTCATGTCTTACATATACAGTATGACCATCAACACGGCTCAATCAACGGCTTGAATCAATTTACGAGAAAATGATATCAGTACATCAATAAGAAATCATTTTAGAATGTTTGAAGTTAAAATTAATTTATTTTCAACAGTAATTTTTTTTATTACCTTTCGTCCAATGTCGTTTTGATCCTAACTGCTATGCCGGAATTTTCTGGTTCGCTTCCTATTTAGGACAAATACATTTATCCATAAATACTCATGAATATGATATTGTTTACAGGTACATAACAGCAGTTCGAAATACACGTTACATGGGTAGACAATTAGCTAACTTTATACAGTTCCTAAATGAAAATGGGTTTCCAGCGTCAAGTGTTCACATAGTAGGTTTCTCTCTGGGCGCGGAGGCAGCCGGCTTCGCAGGGAAGCAGTTGCGGTCACGAGGATTGCTGGTCGGCAGGATTACAGGTGAGAAATGACACTATTATATAATACATTGCCAAGGAATTTGAGGGTAACTGTAAAGCCACGTTTAAATAATATTGATAAATACCTTATGTTATTAAGCTAATAAGAATTCATAAGTTTAATTTGGAATAAAAAAGCTTTGCAGTATTTGATTAAATAACTTAAAAATAATAAATGACACTTAAATATGGAAATTTACAAAATTATGGCATAACAACTTATTTAATTTTAAGCAGTAGCAAAAAATAAATAGCTTCACATTACAATAAAATAACGCCATTTTATTTTAAGCAACATTTTCACAGGTTACTTTTATTGTAGAAGGAACGTCTATTAAATCCGTTACTGTTTAGTAACATTTTGTGGTTAAAAAAGGCAACTGGATTGATAAGCTACATAAAGAGTATCGCAAGTTGTAAAATACACTGTAGGTATCCCAAAATTAATGTTATTAAATCTTTTGCTTATAATTATGTCATCTCTAAGACAATATTTTAGTTAATAAGACTTTTTTTTTTTAAGACATATTGTTATGCAACACATTTTCAATTTACCATGCCAGGTTTAGATCCAGCATATCCGGGGTACAGTTTCACCAACAACGATGGCCATCTTGCTAAAGGTGACGCAGCATTTGTTGATGTGCTGCATACGAATCCTGTCCTTGGGTTCCCAACGCCGATTGGCGATGTGGATTTCTATGCGAATGCTGGTTCTTTCATACAACCGGGATGTTGGATAGATGAGTTATTTAAAAACTCGGAGTTTGCCTATATATGTGAGTAATGTGTAAAAAGATGTAAGTAATACAGCGTATGTAAGTAAATGAAGCGATCAGATTTGCGATCCTAGTTGCGGGTTTAAAACCCTAACGTCTACACCACCGACGTAAACCAACTTCTGAATCTAGTGTTTTGTTTCTCTAGGTCAGTCGCTAGTTGCGTTAAAAGAAAGAACTAGAATAATTGTCACAATACGATAGAGATAGCTAATTCATCGTACAAAAATACTGGCAAACCAGAATATTTCTAATGTCCACTGCCACAACGGTTAAGTATTCGTATTTGAAGCCGGGTTTGCGGTTTCGGTTCTTTGTAAATATTTGGATGCATGAGATAAATGATTGTCAACACATTTACTTTACCCTAGTTTTGAAAATGCATTTAGGCATTAAAAATATCTCATGCGCCATTAGAATTTCACTGACGACATAATATATGCGTTAATCACTTCTGACATTGAGATAATCTCCAAACAACAAAACCAATTTGAATAAATAAAAAATATGAAAATACATTTTCGCGCTTTCAATTTTAACCAATCTGCCAATCAACATCAATTTGCAAATATTGCGAAATGGATGATGGTGTCAATATTCGATGAAGCAAGTGGCACCTAGCGATATACTCTTTGACGTTCGGAGCGAAACAAACAGATTGTATAAATTATTATCTGTGAAATTCGATTTGCATTCTTTAAAAAAACTAAAAATGTTTCTCAAATAGTGTTTCTTTTAGTGTTTTATTTCTAAAAATTAAATATCAGATTAATAAAATAAAACTTAAATTTAGAAGTAGACGCCACCATAGATTTCTGTTCAATTTAGAACCACTCGTAAATAATAATTTCTAGCGTTGTTTAGTTTAAATAGGTATGGGTGACTAAAAGTGAGTACTGCTTGATATTAGTGCTAAGTGACAACACCGATGCAAATTTTTAAACGTGTGAATTCAAATAATTTATTTGTTTTAAATGGGGTAGAAAATAATGTGATATTACAAGTTGGATATAAATCGAACAGGCCCATTAAGCCATGAAAATAGTATGCTAAATAATAACTAATGTATACCTATATTATATTATTATTATTATTGTCATTCCTCATCTGTCTTTATTTGTCATTGGGCTCTTTTATTACAATTGATTAGTGGAACAGCTTTTTTTTGCATAAGCTACCAACGTAGTTTTGTTATAAACTTATTAAGGGTAAACGAATCTTCAACACTTAAATATCTATTTCGTATTACGTATAAACTTTCGGAAGCAAACTTCGACATTGACCTCAGCAAGGTTGGTAGTCGATTTTGCGTTATAGAACCGTAACTAATGTACGTGTACGCAAAATGCTAATACTCTATTACAATTTATTTCCTGTTATACGTTTAATACATATTTCGCGTGCTAGTTAAGACGCTACCTGTCACTAATGGCCTTCAGTCTGACTATCAGTATTTTGCTTAACGCACTCAAATCAAAAATAAGTTAAAAATAATTATAGAGGTATCACAGCTTAGAACTGTCATAGTAATATTAATTATTATTACTAAAATAGTAATAATAATAATTATTACTAAAATAGTAATAATAATAATTATTACTAAAATAGTAATAATAATTCATATTACTATATTTATGCAGCGTCAAAGTATTTTTGCTTGACGTTGTTTCGATTTCAGTTTTGGACGCAATATCTTTGGGCATTGATAATACTGGTCTCACACGCGATAACAATTCTTTGTTGCACAGTTTGTTCATGGACAGTCTCTTGACTAAATCGTTGCATTTCTTTATGGTAATATTAGCGACTTTTTGAAGTTATACTCAAAGTTCATACATGAAACTCGTAACTTCATACTTATGTAATCGGTACGTTTAAGTTTTGTTAAATTTTTACACAGTAAATAGCGAAAAAATGTAATATAAATGCCCATATTTTATTAGAATTTGTTGGAAAAAGCGACGTTACACTTATATAACAAGTTTTAATCTGTGTATCACTATTAAGTCAAGTTATTATCATACACGAAGCGGGCTTAATAAACAATTTAGTCTGCATTAAACCAATTTCCCGTCAAATTTGCTCCGTAAGCGTGTATGGTGCAGCCCTAACAACCGCACATTTCGGCTGGAGGGTACGATCGATGCTATGACGTCACTACGCGGATGCTGCGGGGTGGGGCGATGAAAGACGAGGAGTGAGGGGGGTCAACGTTACTATTACGCCATCCCTGATCATTTGACTTTCAAAAAGCTATTATTAGAGGTTCGTATTTACAGAGCGACGTCTAGCAACATCTAAAATTAAAATTCAGGCTATTTTTTTGTGTATTTAATCATCTCGCCGCGTCACGTTGCTCGCTTTAATTTCAGGTTATCTGAACCATGTTTTACTCTTTTCTTTTTACAAGTATTTTAAGTACTTTTTAGTAAATACTTCTTTTATTACGGTAGCAGTACTTTAATTCTTTAATATTCATATAGATTTGGTAGTAAAGCAGACTCAACATGAAAGTTTGAATTATCATCATCATCAACAGTCATTAACAGTCCACTGCTCAACATAGGACATATTCTTGATTCGTCACCACACCGAAAGTTTGAAGATTCTTTTGTATTCGTTTTTACATATTTGCTCGGAGGAAAGTAAAAACACGTAATTTAGATGAGATAAAGTTATGGTAGATTTAGTGAATTATCGTAATTTGCTGATTGCTGTTGTGGGTCCACACATAATTATGCGCATTAAACAAAGTGTTGTAAATTAACTATAAATTATAATAACTTGCAGGGCTATGCAATGGACAGAACCAGTTTATTTCTCTGAAAACAATCTCGAGATAGTCCACCCACCCACCTTTTCTTGTCACGTATTTCCAGCAACGTTGCTTGCCTCAGAGAAACCAGGGACTTATTACTGCACATATATATATATTTAACTAGACACTAACGTGCAGGTAAAATTGCAAATTTCTGTTATTTTAGAGTTGTCTCTTTCATACCTTAAGCAGATTACGTAATGCTATATTGTATACTTGTTATGACTATTTAAAACCGCCTCGCCACAGCTTTCCCGAAAGTAAGTAACTTGCATATTGCAAAGGTACTTGAAAAGTGCTCGCTACAACGACGTAGCAAGTACTACGTCAAATTTAACAAAAAATGTAATATGCAAGGTGAGCTTTTAAGACGGTAGTTTTTGCAAGATCAGTTAGTATTATTAGTAAAAATATATTTAAATGTGGTTATATGTGACATTAACGTTGTGCAGATGTTTACAAATTTTTCTAATGAAATGCATATATTTATTAGTCGACGTATTGACCATTGTTGTCTATGTATTTTAAACATATTGATGAAAATAATACGCTATAGTTGTGGCTTCTGTGAATGAATATCGATGAATCGATGATTTTTTTTTTATAATCCTTTCAAGGGGCTTTTCACAACCGATTTTTTTTCCTAACCTACAGTTAGACCTTTTTTTCTAAATTCTGACACCCGAATTTTATAAACGTTTAATCTACGTTTATAAAATTCGGGTGTCATAATGTTAGAAGGGTATCTTATAAAAATGACCTGATATTCATTTACATAATACTTATAATGATTTCTTGACACCCAATAAATCTAACCATCAGAGCAAAAACACAAAGTGATTGAGTTTTTTATTTCATCAAAAGGATTTATACGTTTCGTAATTACATTACACAGAACATCAAACAACGTTTACAGCCCGTCACGAGAGCTGTGCGTTATAAAAAAATCGAAATGAGCACGTACTGTGGAATGCTTCATAAAAGTTCTATGGAACGGAATTCAGGCTTTATGTTGTTTCATAAACGTACGCTAATTAAAAGTGATAATACGAATGTATTTGGGCTAGGCATGGAGGTGAGTTTAGGTTAAACATAAATCTATATTATCATTTAAAACCAGTAACATATGGAATGCTTGTTGACTTCTCCAGCTAAGTGTTGGTAGTGAATCTATGTTGGAAGTGTACTGGGAGGGGTTAATCTTGCTTTTAGCCTTGCGCTAACAACTATTTTTTTATAATATAAGGGTTAACAAGCAGATGGGTCACCTGATAGTAAGTGACTACCGCAGCTCACAGGCACCTGCAACTTAGATCATAAGTGCTTCGCCGCCCTCGTGAATCATTCCCCTCCTCCATAATCAGGGGTAGAGGGGTATGGGCTCCGCTAATTTTATTTATTCGATGAAAAGCAACGAAACAATTATTAACACTGGTATTCTGTGAGGCCGTGTTATCGCTCCGGTCGAGCCAATTTATTTGTGTATTCAAATAATTTATTGTATCTTGTTTCTGTTGGGCAACTTAATAAGGACGTGTTTATATTGTTGGATATCGCACTAAGAGTTATCTAGGGATCGAAAGATCATTGACTCACGTATGTACGGTTTATGCAGGGGGCGGTGGTCCCATTACAATAATGATATCGTATTCCATGTTTTGTAGGAGAAAGAGAGAGAGAGAGAGATAGATAGAGAAATAGAACTCAGATCGGTTAGCTTTTCTAACTGCTTTACAGTTTTTGTTTATCTATGAACTTCTTTGTCGTTGCAGCTACTTCTCTAGAAGTTCTACTCAATATTAATTGACACAGAAAACGCTGTTCAAAAGAGAAAATAGTGATTCCGTCTCTTAACATTTGTTATTCTCGATATCGATTCGTTTATCAATTTAGTTCAGTCTGCTGTATAAATTTCGATAACCTTAAGGTTTATCTATCGCTGTGAGAGCGCACTGAAACTTGGCTCGGAGCCAAGGATTGATCGTTAAGTAAAATGTCAATAGCAGATTACTTATAGGGTACACCGCACGACTCCACTTTATAAAATAAACAATAAATTAAATGTTATCGAGGCAAATGATGTAGGTTAATAGCTGAATGTATGGTTAGCTACGTTCTCTTATAATGAACGGAGTTCATTTGCATGTTAAGGAAACTTTGTTGTACATTGTACTAATGACAAAATGATAACTACTTATTTTTACATGTTACTTCCGATTCCGATCTAGTGAAAACATAAATTCTCAGTAGTCTTGTTAAGTTTTTTTCTCAAATTAAGTTTCACGTAAAGTTGCTAACACAACTTATAATAAGTCCTTACTTCGTGCGTATTATTTGGGGTTATGTTATGTGTTAAGGCCTATATTTTTGCCCACAATGTCTTAACATGGTAAGGACAGTTAAGGAAAAGGAAGGTTGTTCACTTTTTGCGGGATTATATGCGGATAGAATACCTAGAAATTGTTGTCCGTCAAAGTGTTAAGAGCCAAATAAATTGATGTGGATAAACTAGTTTGTTTTGCAGATGGTTGTAGCCACGTTCGTGCTTGGCGACTCTATGCAGAATCTTTGAGCAACCCTTACGGGTTTCCTGCGACACGGTGCAGAGACTGGACCTCAGCGTCCAGACGGTGCAGGTTTGAGACGGATGGATATATGGGAATTGCCGCTTCAGCAACGTAAATATCTTATTATTAGTAGTTTTCTATACTATAACTTGATTACTAAAATATTTTTTTTTAGTTATAACTCTCTAGTTATATCTTTATTATTTAATAATTATTTTATTATTAAGTATTAATTAATACATTTAGGGTTAATATTAGATAATTTGTAAAGCTTTTCATGGAAGAAATAAGTTCTTCCATGAAAAACTTTACATGAGGTACGCGTGCCTATAAAGAACGTTTGCATTAAAACTTTCATAGTAATAGTACTATGAAAGTTTTCAATGCAGACGTAATATATGCGCGTACCTCGTGTATCCATGGAAGCCATTAAGTATAGATATTATTTTTTTATTCCATTGAAGTAGTACACCTTATACTAAAGGGAGAACTACAAATTAAAGGGAGGACCAATGCTTGCCTACCTGGCATGTGTTCAGTCTGTCTGCAGTATAAAGTTTGTAAATTAATGAAAAATCGAAGCTTGTCTCTTTTTATCAGTCAATGTGTTGTTGTCAGTGTCAGTTTGTCTATTCTAAAATAGTGGTATTTTTGTATGATGACGTTACTAAATGTTGATCTACGAAAAAAAAAATATACCTGAAGTTTCATAACTTTGAATACTACTAACTTGAAAATAACGAAACTAGTGCCCTTTAAAAATTTCCTTTGACATCACATGAATCATACTCTCGCTGAATCTGCAATTGATCTATATGCAATTGCATTTCACTGAAGCCACAAAGATTATTTCTAGTTTTTCTAGGTACATCTGATAGTCAAATTAGTTCAAACGTTCACAACTTCAATCTTACGTTTTGTTCACAGGTTGACCGGCAAAATGTATTTTCATACAAACAGCAAACCTCCATTTGCCAAAAACGGTCCATAAAATCTTCCAGTGCTATATTTAAATATGATAAATTAAAAAACTTTTCGCTTTTTATGTCTTTTTATTTTCCTATTTTTTTTTACACACAGCAACAAGTTAGGCTGCAATTATTAGTTACATAAAGTTTCTTTTAATTATTTACATTACAAGACAGATATTAGTACAAAGACGTTAAATGTAACCGATATATGACAACATTGGTGAGTCCGAAATTAGCGATTAAAATGTTTGGGCTGTTTAAAGCTTATTAACACTTCTATCTACAGAACTGTTAACACGAGTTACAAGTTATGCAGTCATCTACATGATCGTAGTGTTTCGGTAGTAAGAAATTAGTCCGCGCTATTTTTCGACCCGTTAGCTCATCCATTTTCCTATATTCAGCATGCCACTCTTTGGCCACTCTGACGCTAGCTCTCATTATGTCCAACGCGTTTGCAAGGTATTCAAGTTCAAGTGAACTGAGTTTTGAGGGTAAGTCAAACTGTTTGACAATTCCCGTACCACTCAGAACTACTTGTTGTGCAGAAAATTCGCTGAAAACGAAAATTTTATTTATTATTATTATTATTATTTCTGTATTTATTTAGAAAAATAAAATAAAAATTCTATAAGTAAATAGTTAATTAGTAGACAATTTCTTTCGTTGAAAATATTTATTTTATAAACTATTTCATAGGATGTCTAAGAAAAGGTCACTAAGTAACCAGGATTTGTTTTTGGGTAGGTCAAAACCAGGAAAGTAAATAATTATCCATATAGAAACATCGAAAAATATTTCTAATTAGTTTAGCAAAAGCGAGCATCCTTAGTGAATGTCTCCAGAATATAAAGTTATTCAGTCAGTGTCACATACTTTTTGAAGAAAATCATAATGTTTAATTACCGATTACGAAACCTAGGGTAGGGCAAGTAAGCCAGGGTGACTGTGTGCACGTCTTTGATTCTAAGATGTGTCGGGCCAAAACAATAGTCTTTTCACTTGGACAATATAAGAAGATATAGATATTTATTAATAATAGTTTAATAACTATTTTATTTTTCACTTGTCCAGGCTAATATCAATATCACTTGTTGTTTTCAAGTTCTGAAAATGAGGTCTTTCGTATCTGATGGTTACCAGTACTCTATTGTGGTTTCTTTATGAGCTTATTCAATATGTTGTGTTTAAACTCCTAGCGGCTAATGGTATACCATAATACCAGATATTTCCAAAAATATTCATTCGCAAAAGGTCCATTATTAGATTCTAATTTTATCCTATGTTGTAATTATTAAAAGTTAACCATTATCCTTCCAAAATAAGGTAAGTCATATCAAAACCTATAACTAATCGCAATACACAGTGTATTTCGGAACCCCAATAATTGCGTACCTTACCTTTCTTTAGCACCCCTATATATATATATAGGGGTGCTACCGAAAGGTTAGGTTAAGTTTTAATTGCGTTGTCAAAAAAAAGTTGCCTGAAAAAATGAAATTTTAAAAGAAAAAATTGTAGTAGATTAGATTTAGTAGTAATAAGACACCACACTAACAATCAATGTCCAGGTTATGACGTAGACTAGCTCAATGTGCCGTAGCTCTCAGAGACCTCGATCTTTCATATACAATCAAATGTAACCACTTCTTTTTGTAACCTCATACGACACATGAATAGAAAAACAAACGCTCAATTATAAACTTTATTACAAAAGACCAAAATCATTCATGTAAAAACTTCAAAGGACAATTTCCCAAAGTGTTATCACAACAATTCAATTCACGTTATAATTTGGATCGCACACCCACGATTCACAAAGTAGCATATGCACAATCGTCGAATCTATTATAACTTCTCGGAAGGAAGAACTGGTATTGGGCAGCGTCAAGTCTACCGTTGCACCTGCAATATTTGGCATACCATTCTTCTACCATCTTCTGCTTGGAATACAACTCGCTTACAGCTAAATCGAGTAATGCAGTCTCTGAGTCAGTCATCTTCGGTAGGCCCAAGTTGTTACCGACGCCAGCGACAGTTATCTCCAAATGGTTCGAGATGTATCTGAAGACAGAAGATCTTGTTGTACTCTTCTACATAATGGCCCGCGTAGCACTATAACGTTTTTCAACAAATGCGCGGCTTTATTTTTATGGTATTTAAAGTTTCTAGTTTTAATGTTTTTTGAACTGCAGCTAAAGTTTTTTTTGTAGTAGTATTTAGTTAGGTTTATTCCCAGTAGTGCCATGAAGTCAGTTCCACATGGTACTGATCCAACCTTAAAATAAACGATTTTTGTGCCATTTGTCCATGTTATTTATTTTATACAATTTTTACAGCTGACATTTATTAAAAGTCTGGCAATACTACTGAATGTCAGAAAAACAAATGACTATCCATAGTTACATAATAATAACACACTAAGAGATATCTCTCTTAGTGTGTACTGTTGTACATGGACAATCAATAAACATTGTCCACAAGAGGTCTTTGTAAAAGTAACAGATGCCAAAAATATAATTTAAAAAAAATCTTGTCTGTCTGTTTGTCCGAAAAACCGATGGACAGATTTAAAGTTTAGGTTTCAGGTTGGCTGCAGTCTCGTGTAACACAGATAGGTTGCATTTTATCACGCTAGTGCTCAAAGGCAGCAATTATTCGAAGTTTGTACGAAAAAGATCGTAACTCTTGTTGTTATGGATAATGAATCTTAGATTAAAATATTATTCTGAAAATGTTTTTTTTTTTTTGCAATACAAAAAAAGGAAAAAGGTTTTATGTCTTATAATACAACTAGCTGGTACCAGCGACTTCATTCGCGTGGAGTTGGAAAAGCGCTGCCTCAGGGCCGCCAGGTACGGAAGTGCAGAGCGTGCACCGCACACGGGCGGAATTTTCAAAACGATTTTTTTTCATAATTTGCATGTCTGGTCCGTGTGGTGACGGATTAAGAATACAGTGTCAACACACTGTCGTAAGAGCCGACTAAAAGGAAAAAACTACGCAGAACAACTACACTTCAGAGAGAAGGAAAACTTGACACAAACCCTTTACCAACCCGTCTGGCCAGCGTGGTATAGTAGGCCAAAACCTCCTTTCTAAGGAGAGGCTTATGTCTAGCAGTGGACTATTAAAGGCTGTTGATGTGATGTGAGCAGAGGCATGACCTTGTGACTGATTGCGACCATGGTACGGAGCGACTAACTCGTCCTGTGGGGCAAGTTGGACCGGGAGAGACTTAGAACCCCCTCCCGGCTCGCCAGGCCCGGGCACGGACCAGGCGGCTACTACAGGCGGCTTAAGCGCTGGTGGAAGCTGAATGATCTCAATCCTTCATAAGCGCCGGGCCTAGGGGTGACAGGTGGCGACGCGAGGCGTTTCGGTGTTCCTGTAGGGGCAAGGAGGGGAAACCGTGGTCACTACACAACAGCAGACCATCTGTAAGCCGTAAATGACTCGGAGCCGCAAACGGAGGGCCGGAGCTGACTAACGTCGCGGCAAGGCACGGCACGGCACGGTGTTCTTCGGCAGCCGAAGGATGCTTTGTTATGAAGTAGCATGCCAAAGCATACCGCGTCACGTAGTGGTATCTCGCAGAAAGCCAAGCCACTCAAAAGAGCCGGCACTGACTGACGTCACAACGCGGTACGGCTTATGTCTTTACGTCGAAAGGATTTACGTGTTTAGAATTCATATTATTTTACTTTTCTTTTTCGATACAATAACACCGCGCCACATCTTAGCATATGTCAGCCAAACTAATTGAAATAAGGTTTAAGCCGGATGTGGCGGTGTTGTCGGTAAATGGGGTACAGCCTGGGCTGGGCGTGTGGGCAAAGTAGGAAGCACGCACGTCTTGACTCACACTGAGTATCTCTCGTGTTCTGCATAAATTAAGTACCCAAAAGTGTTTTTGCTTCAATACATATGATTGTGTTTGTCTCTCTTCATCTTCAGCAAGAACTGCTTATACTACTAAATGCCAGTCAATCAGAACGACGCAACCAACTTTGTATCCGCGCAGACGAAATTGATTGGCTGTCTCTCGCTGGCAGGGGGGGGGGGGGGGCAATACTTCTACGACCTTTGTAATTCCCGGGATATGGTGGCATGATAATCTGTAGAATGAAACCGCATGATACGACATGTTGCGGCGTCCCGGCGTATAATTGTATCGAAATCAAGTAATATGATTTCTAAACTCATTGAAATTAGGATGAAAATAACTTGATAGGAATTGAAATTCATAAACAGGTCCGAAAGGCGATTTCCGCACAGAAATAAGGGCGGCTTCATCGGTATTGCACGCGGGCGCTCGAACAGCTAGCGGTGGCTCTGCGCTGCCTTAGTGGTGGTGTATGTAGTACAGTACGTGAGTCCTCGGGTTCGATTCTCGGATCGAGCAAAATTTTATAGGGTTTTTCTGAGAGTCCGACATAATCACCCCGGTGGGTGTTATCCGAGGGGATATCCGCACAGGAAAAAAAAGGGTAAATAAGTTCTTAAAAAAAGTTCCGACTTCTTACAATACTAACAAAGAATACTTAAAACCTAGCAGCAATCGTGGTTGATTTGCTGAATTTTTTTTAAGAGTTCCGTTGTCTGTCTCCAAAACTCATTATCTGATTCATATGAAATTTAAATAGGACTATTTCGAAGTAAACCCCTTTCGAACGAAAAAAGAAATTTGAAAAGCCGTCCATATATGACCATATATGAATTATGTATGCAAAAAAATTTACATAAACATTTAAATTGACCTTTTTGAAGTCGGTTAAAAATAGCCTAAGTTACTCCTTATATTGACAGCTACCTGGTACAAACAGACACTTCAATTTTATTTATTTGTATATGTGTATAGGCAAGGTAGATTTCAAGTGACTTCATGAAATGAACTGGGTCTAATTTTCTGCTTCAAATAGCTATTCCGACTAGTTTCATGTATAGAAATAGTGGGCATAGTTTTTTGAATCTGGGTTGCAAAAGTTCCATGCAGAACTGGTTTCATGGAACTACTGGGAATAAATCTTTAGTTAAAAGGCTACTTCTTGCAAGGATGCTTCAGGATACTCTCCTACTAGCGGCGAATCTAGAAAATGCAGCCTGATATCGCTTTTCTTGGTTAACCTTTATTACGTATTAACCCTTCTAACGTTAAGGTTTCTTCGCAAAGAACAAAATGTATAAATACATATACAGTACAAACCTTAAATAGCCTAGATTATTGAGCCCTAAACATTCTCCCTATTGTCACCTCTCCAAGCAACTGAATTAATTGAACTGAATATTATAAATGATTTAAATTTTCTCAAAGTTGTTGACAGAGAAGAATATAAATAATTACCGAGCAATAATCATTTTTGTTCATTCCTTAAAACACAATATAATCTGGGATACACTTCGTGAACAAGGCGTGGAATCACAATATATTACTGTGTTACAAAACATATATAACGAAAGCTGTGCAAGGATTAGACTAGAAAAAGAGGGAGAGAAATTTGCTATAAGGAAAGGTGTCCGACAGGGTGATCCATTATTACCAAAAATATTTACAGCCGTTCTAGAGAGTATATTTCGAAAACTAGATTGGTCGAAGAAGGGACTGCTAGTAAATGAAGAATATCTAAGCCATCTCCGTTTTGCAGATGACATAGTTGTCTTCGCTGAAAATCATGAAGATTTGTCTAGAATGCTGAGTGAACTAACACAGGAAAGTATAAAGGTGGGTCTGTCTATCAATTTCACAAAAACCAAAATAATCACAAATAGTGAAGTGAAAAATACAGTCATTATTGATGGTCAGGACATAGAATATGTCAAAGATTATATATATCTAGGTCAATCTGTTTCTTTTGAACAACACACCGAGGATGAAGTACGTCGAAGGATCGCTATAGCTTGGAAGAAATACTGGGGTTTAAAAGAAATAATGCAAAATAAAGCAATCAATATCAATATCAAGAGAAAGCTGTTTGATGTAGCGATTCTGCCTTGTTTAACATACGGGTGTCAGAGTTGGTCATTAAGAAAATGTGAAGAGGACAAGCTAGCAATATGCCAACGTAAACTGGAAAGGAGCATGTTAGGGATACGATTACGGAACAGAATTTCTAACCATGAAATTAGAAAAATGACCAAAATTACAGATGTTACAGCAAGAATAAGATTACTGAAATGGAATTGGGCGGGGCATATATGTCGGATGGCTAATGATAGATGGACGAAAAAGGTCACGGAGTGGATCCCTAGAAACGGGAAAAGATCACAAGGAAGACAAAGGAAACGTTGGGCAGATGTATTCCTAGAAAGACAAGGACCTACCTGGATGACCAAAGCCAGAGACAGGCAGTACTGGAAGGAAATGGGGGAGGCCTACGCCAAGGAGGCGGCTACTACTTAGTCAAAATTTGTAAATAAAATTTAAAATAATATGGATAAAATAATATTAATTTATATACATGCATGCAATGTTACACATAGAATTAATGTTTAAAATGATTTAATACAGAATGAACTAATTTTTAAAAAATATTCTAAGGTTTTTAAAAATTAAATAAGATATATATTATTTATGGTGATGATGAAATATACCACTAAATGTTATTTATTATTTAGCACAATTAATTAATTATTTTCAATTCATTACAATGTTATTTATTTCACCTACCACAATTAATTAATGATTATATTATTTATTGAAAGATTAGTTAATATTTAGCACCATTTACTGGTTATTATCAAATTAACTGCAATGTTATTTAATATTTAGAATAAGCAAATCACTTTATATGTACAATGCATTACCAATTACATTGTCATCAAATATTGTAAGATAATTTAGTAGTAGAATAAATGGCTTTTTTATTTATTTTATTTATTTATTTATTAATCATTTTTGTTTCACATAATTCCCTAAATTTAGAAAACAAGTATTATCTTGGTCCTCATATTATCTGTTTTAATTTGCGTCAATTTTGATCTAAAGGAAGCCAGTTTTGTCTTTCTAAGGAACTTAGTAAAGCCACATAGTGTGCCACTCTGAGCCTAAAGTAGGAGGGATTCCTGGTCATCTGTTATTATGAGATCCGGTTTCGGTACTTTATAGGGCTACCTTTTTTCCTGACTTGTAATTTCTTCCTAATTACAGTCGAATATAAGTTTTCAGAATAAATAATAGTTGTAGTATTTGCATGGTAGTGACGTGAGGATGAGTTTACACATTTAAAATAGGGGTTTTAAAGTAAATACATAAAAAATATTAACCTTGCTGGTGAAATAACTTGACTTGGATCTGACTCCACAAAGCCTGACACAATGGGTACGTCATGACATAAGAGACCGTGAGCCACACTAGTCACCAAGTTAGCTAAAGCATGGGCCTCGCTCAGGTCTGCTGCTCTACTGCAGTTACCCTCGACCCTCTTCACCGCAGTTGGAGCGCAACGAACTGCATCAGTCATTAACATCGCATTGTTCTGTAGAGAAGTAAGTTATTATAGTTTAAATACCTCACAGATTCCTTGGGCTACGCGGTAGTTAAATTAGTATGTCCAAATTCAAGGCAATTGTGTAGTTTCCTTTGACTAAAATATATGGTTTAAAGTGCTCATAAATTTCACACCACACTGTGAAAATTATACCCGTTACTGTTAAGGTTCAAGTCAATGATTTGGCCATGGTAATGTATGACGTAATGAGTCATTATTTTTAACAAATTTGAACAGGACGTACCGTTTTGACGCAATGAAAACTAAGTTATGTGTCGTGCTAATCAACTATATATTGGGTTGCAATATGCACTTAATCAATAAGAAAGTACTAGCTAGTTTTTATATGTGGCCAAAACAATGTCATCTGCGGCTAGGCCACATGTAAAAACTTAAAAAAATAGAGATATTAATATGACTACCGCTAAATCAAAGGTTTTGTTCGACTCGGCTTCGGCACTTTCAAGGTTTCATACAGTTGTTGAATCGGTTCAGTATAATTTAGAAAATTAGCGAAAGTCAAAGAAGGTTATATAAAATTTTGAGGTTGTTTAGATTCTGTTCAGCTATATCGGTAGACGTCTATATTTTATATGAAGAAAATGATATAATAATTTATGTACACACAACACTAACTACGCCCAAAGACTTCCTAATGATTTACTTCTGTTTTATGACGTTGGTAAACACACGTGTTTTCTCCTCATTTATTAAGCACTAAGTTAAGGGATATACTCGTACACCTACTTTAATTTTTTCAAATTGATGTTACTGAATTTAACTTCAATAAATTTATTTTTGGCAACTGGTACTACTTTCATGCTTAAATAGACACAGCAAGTACAAAAGTGGTGACATACCTCAGCAAATTCAAAAAATTCCACAGCTCTAGAGAACAGCGGCACAAGTGAAGCACCTTCGGTGCCACCAACACAAGGCACCCGCGTGTACCGAGGTTCTAGAGCCAGGGCACATGCCGCCAGGGTGCTCGCACGCATTTCGGGCACAGCCACAGATCCTAATAGTTTCCGCGGATTGTACCAGCCTGTTTCTTTTAAAGTCTGTTGGAGAAGGTTATTTCCGTGAAAATCGACAAATTTTCATTCCTTATCTGAATTACGGTCAGAAAATTAACGAATAATAAGGATATTATGCACCTGTACTTGATAACGTATGTACTAGTATTACCGTTAACTATTTGTTATGTTGTTGTCATTATGAAATGTTAACCATTTTATATTTTTATCCCTGTGATGATGATAGCAACCATCGTCACAAGATGATGTAGATATCATGGCAATGACGTAAATCTTATATGAGAATAAATATCTTTAAACCAAAAAAAAAATGGTTATAACTTTGTGAATATGAGTACGAGTAATGTTATAAAATGTTATCTTGATGATACTTGCGTCAAGTTTATTGATATAGTAAAGACGACCATGATAAAAAAAACTTGTGTAGAGACAGTTGCCCGATACGCACGAAATTAACATTTTACGTTGCATTAATATACAAAGTCCTTTCCGAAAAATCCAAAACTGCGTAAATGGTGTGAGATAGCCGGTGGTCATTTTGAGTTATTATTTGTAAAGAGTTTCAAACAAGCGAAATTAAGATTGTCGAAACAACCATCAGATTTTATAAATACAATTTACTTTGGCCTAAAAATCGCACATAAGCAGCAATAGATTATAAAAAAAATGTTTAATCCGACAAAACATTTTCATATTGTCGCGTGACGAAAATGTGCTCAGTGTGCTCACCATGATTTGCTTAATAAACCACTTAACACTCAATTAAGTTCTACAAAAGTAAATTCGTCGTATAAAATATTCATACAATAACCGTTTTTCATCTAGTTTGTATAGTAAGCGATTCTGGGCCAAGAGATAAGAAACACTATTTTCGTTACCGCAAGTAGAGGCTGTTGCGCAACACGGATTGTAACAAAAACAACCGCTCAATTTAGATGGAAGAAGCTCTATTCAGCCATACATACATATTATGTATTGAAAACGGTGTAAACAAAAAATATTCGTCCTCTAAGATTGAACTTATAAATTTTTTTTATTTCTTATCTTTGTCCGTTTCAATTTCGGTCTTCAGATAATTTTTCAACATAGCTTTCATAAACCGGGAAATAAATAGGTATTTTTAGTTATTATATAAGAAATGTTGAGTATGTATTATTTTTTATCGTTGCCTTTAAGTGTGTATCAAAAATGTGCTCCAGACTAATAGATAAATTATATGTATGCTACATATAATTTATCTATTAGTCAGCGTAACAGCAAAAATCAGAATTTTTTATGACACTAAGGCAATGCAAAAAATAAAATGATAATTTTCTCGTGAATTTGAATTTTTCTCCTTCACTTTCGATACCTACATAGTCTAGAGTAATTTTAAAACAATAATAAAGTACAATATAAAACCCGCCTCACACATAATTAAAAAAAGAGAAAATATCAATGTCTAATTATAAACAGAAACACGTATATGTATACGTTTGTGCACATAAAATTAAATGAAAATAAAAATTAGCCTTTTATATCATATTAAATAAAGTTTGTTAGTTTCGTAACATAAGATAAACCGAAACCGCATATTTGCGCAGAGAATTACTATACGGTTAGTTAAATATTGACTAACATTAGTAACAAAACAAACAGCCGAAAAGTTCACTTCTAATAATGGAGCTCGGAATAACTTTAAATTATATTGATAAATATCTCGTTCTTCAAGACAGACGGTGATCTGATAAGTCCCGCATTGACATTGCCTATAATACCCTAGTTGAAACTTTGGGACCGATCTTCGGACCCATTGCGATTCCTTAAATTAGCAGTTGCTTTAATAAACTAAAGCGATAATATAGATTACGTCAATCTCACTATCTCTTTGAAACAGTACTTCACTCTGGACGTAAGATATCCTATGTCTATTCTTGATCCGTAAATGCAACATTTTGTTTGATCGGTTTCCAAATTCAAGTCGCGAAATTTGGTACAACATAAGTAATAACAAAAAACGAACTCACTTTCTTGTGTATATATGATAATAATAATAATAATAGCCTTTTATTTCCCATAACAAGTAACTCAACATTTGGTAGATTTTTATAACAACAAACTAATTTCACTTCACTTGTGGAATTTACATAGGTATATCTTTTTATTTATTTTTATTTATTTATTTGATTCTTACTTTATTTCATTTTCTCTATTTCATTTTTAATTTTTAAAGGGGAACCCACTTCTGGGTGAAGGCCTCCTCCATTTCTGACCATAGGTTTCTGTTTTTGGCTAGTCTCGTCCAGTTTGGCCCAGCAAGGGCCACGATATCGTCGCGCCATCGTCGTTTTGGCCTGCCGCGTGGTCTAACTGCATCTCGTGGGTACCAGTGCAGGACTCTCTCAGTCCATCGTCCATCGGTTGTTCTCGCTATGTGTCCAGCCCATCTCCATTTCAATCTGCATAATACCTCAGCGGCATCTATGACTTTAGTTATTTTTCTTATGTCGGTGTTTCGTTTTCGATCGCTTAGCTTAAAACCTAGCAGGCTTCTTTCTGTCGCAGACTGGAATACTTTAATTTTATGTATTATTTCTTTTGTAAGCGCCCAGCTTTGGCAGCCGTACAGTAAAGTAGGTAAAACCACAGTATCCATTGCTTTTTTCTTTAGTTTGACAGGAAGTTTCGATTTAAATACTTCTTTGAGCGACCAATACTTAGCCCAAGCTTTCTTTACGCGACTTTCAACTTCTCTTTTCGTCTGATCATTGAAGCATATAATTTGTCCCAAGTATGTATATTCATCAACATACTGTACTTCTCTTGATTGTATAACCAAAGGGATCTTCTCTCTATTGGTCATAACGCAGGTCTTATTAGGATTCATATGTAATCCGCACTTTTGACTCTCTATGTTCAACGTCTTCAGTAGGTACTCCAAGTCTTCATATCCTTCCGCCATCAGAACAATATCGTCGGCGAATCGTAGATGGTTAATGTATTCGCCGTTTATGTTAATGCCTATTTTTTCCCAGTTTAGTTTTCTGAATATATGCTCCAAGAGTGCAGTGAACAAGTTAGGAGAGATTGGATCACCTTGTCGTACTCCTCTTCTCATTCGAAATGGTTTTCCTTTCCGTTCTAGTTTCACAACTGCCCAACTGTTTTTATATATTTCTCTGAGAACTTCAATATATGTTTCATTTATTCCCTGTTCTTTCAGTGCATTCCATAAAGGGTCATGTAATATTGTGTCGAACGCTTTAGAGTAATCGACGAAAGCGATGTATAACGTTTTGTTGTATTCTTCATATTTTTCAATGATCTGTGTTAGGGTAAATATGTGGTCAACGGTAGAGTACCTTTGACGAAAGCCTGCTTGTTCTCGGGGCTGATTGAATTCTAGTTGTTTAATGATTCTTTTAAGTAGGACAGCAGTAAATACCTTGTAAATTGTTTGTTGTAGGCTAATCGGTCTATAGTTTGAAATATCATGTGGATCGCCTTTCTTGTAGAGAAGAGAAATTATAGATGTGTTCCATTCCTTGGGTATGACTCGGTTATGCAATATTTCATTAAATAATTTTGTAATAAGAGGAGTCAAAGGTTCTTTGATAGCTCGTAGAACTTCATTTGTAATACCGTCCTCTCCTGGGCTTTTGTTGGACTTCAAATGATTTATCACCGAGGCAATCTCGCTGTTCAAAAAAGGTGGTAAATCTTCAATATTACAATTTTGCTCTTCAATACGGTCGTTATAATCTGTAAATTTGTCATCATATAGCTGTTGGTAGAAGTCTGTCGCTATAGAGATTACTTCACTTCTGTTTGATGTTTTCTGTGAGTTGTTATTTTTAAGCGACATAATCCATTTCTTACCATTATTCAATTTTTTCTTGGCTCTCTTAAACGAAGCTCTTTTCTCAATCTCTTCCTCTATTACACTGTATCTGTACATTTTTCTGTCGTGTCTTAGTTGTTTTTTTACTAGTTTATATAGCGCGCTTAGTTTATTTTTCTCGGATCTTGATCTATTTAATTTATTCTTTAGTCTATTTCTCTCGCCTATTAGTCGTATTATATATTCGTTTATTGGTGTCTGCTTTTTCATGTCTTTCAGTGGAAGTTTTTCTACAGATTGCTTTATGCAAGAGCTTAGTCTTTCGTAAGATATTTGTGTATCGCTCGTTATTTGTAATGCTTTCGATAGATCTTTAAAAGCTTTATTTATAAATTCTTGCTCTATTTGGTCTAAGTCGCATGCTATACGTCTTGTGCCGAATTTTTTGCGTGATATTTTGTTACATTGTCCAATATATAGCTTTGCTCTCACCAACCTGTGATCACTCGGAAAAGTTGTGTTGATAATTTGTATGTTTCGTATGGTGTTCTTATCTCTTGCCAAAACGAAATCAATCTCGTTCTTATTTTTGCCATCGGGGGAGAGCCAGGTCCACCTACGTTTACATTTTTTCTTAAAATAAGTGTTCATTATGTGTAACTTTTGTTCGAAACAAAAATTGACAAGAAGAGCTCCGTGTTCGCTTCTTTCACCATATCCCCATGGTCCCATTATGGTTTTGTCATCATAGGTGGGCTGGCCAATCTTTGCATTAAAGTCTCCCATAATTAGTGTAAGTTTACCAGTGTTCTCCATTACTTTTCTTAGGTCGTTATAGAAGGCTTCAATTTCATCGTCTATGCTTTTCTCCGTTGGAGCATAACATTGAATTAGATGCAAATGTAGATTGTTAAATTGTAGATCCAACCGTATAACTCTATCCGAAATGGCGTAAATGTTGATAATATTTAGTTTCCATTTTTTATTTATTAAAAAACCAACGCCATTTCTTCCAGGTTTTTCTCCAAAATAAATAAAAATGTACTTTTCATGCTCTATTATTTCTTTTCCCGCTTTCTTAATTTCGGATAAACCGATCACGTCCCATTTTAGGTTATCGAGCATATATTCTAGCTCCAAATATCTAGTTTTATTCACTAAAGATCTCACGTTGAAAGTACAGATATTAAATAAGGTAAGATTTTCCTTTTTGTTCTTATATTTTTGGTTTTCAGGAACAGGAGGGTTTTGGTCATCTTCCCCCACGGTGACCAACCGGCTTGGGGTGCATTTTTTTGTTGGTTTGTATGAAGTTATGATATTTGTTCTATTTTGGTTCCTGGTGCCGGTGGTCTTTATAAGTTTTTTGGGATCTCAGAGAGTGAAGCAGATCTGCCTCGTTCAATGTAGTTCAGTATGTTGGGTTTTAAGATTTCTCTTCCCTTCATTGATGTAGTAGCTGGGTTGTCCTTTAAGTCTATTTTTTTTTGTGATGAAGAGTTCGGTGAGTCCAGACCGTCTCTTTTCCTTTTGTCTCTGTTTATTCCTGGTGGTTTCTTAACTATTATCTTATCATGCCTTAAAAAGGCTATGTTTCCTTTTTTTCTTTCTTCTTCCACTTGTACTTGTAATTTCTTCCGTTTTTCTAGCACTTCTTTGGTGTAGTCTTCTTTCACATAAATACCTTGAGGAAGCTTTGACTTATTTTTCAGAATCAGGTGTTTTTTCCAAAGGGACGTGATGGAGACTACGATAGGCCGGTTTTTAACAGTTTCCTTGTTGCCAATTCTGTATATATTGCTAATTTCCTGGCTACTTAGGTGCGTCCCTGTTTCTAGAATCGTGTCCTTGAGGTAGTCTACCAGTTCCGCTTCTGTTTTGCCAATCTCCTCAAAGCCAAAAAAGACCAGGTTGTATTTCTTTTTCTCTCTTTCCATGACATTAAGTTTTTGCTCCAGTGTAGATATTTTGTCTTTGAGCATAGTATTTTCCTCTGTTAATAACTTTAGTTTCTCATCTAATGCCTCCATAACGTTTTTCGTCACTGACTCTGTTATTAGTTTAGCTTGTTGATTCAATTTCTCATCCAATCTTGATAGCAACAACTCCATACTTTTTTCCATTTTGTTTGGTTTTACAATGCTGGTAGGATTTAGATTGTCGTTGCTGGCAACACTGACTCCGTATGTCAGTCAAATGACGTTGGTTGGTTGTCAAAGTGAAGTATGTTGATTATGTTGGCAGCACTACTATGACATGCAATAATTTTCACTTTTAGGTTAAGTTGTTGCCTGATTATTTGTAGTTTTTTGTTCACTAATGGTTGTTTAGCACTTTGTTCACTTTCTTGTTTCGTTTTTTGTTGTCTAGTCTGATAGTTTTCGTGTTGAGACACTGTTATTTTACACTTTTTACGTTAAAATGAATTATTATTTGCGGAGGGCTTTGACGTACGTGTTTACGTTTCGAACACCGGAACCGGAACCGTGTATATATGAGGTATGAATATAATATATTATTTGAGACAGTAAATACACCTAAAGAAGTTTTTTTTTAATTAATCAACTTAATCGTATGCGTGCTGTTGGAAGAACTGGCTCTTTAAAATTAAAAACCTTTGTATATGAAAGTCAATCTCGAAAACCTTATAAGTTATTTAACAACAAACTGTGAATCATAAACCATGTGAAACTGTTAGTGTGTACATATAATATATAAATTCTAATGTAATATATTCTACAACTAGCTTTTAAATGCTGCGTAAATGTCGGTTATTGCGGTAAAAACCTATGTCTTTGCCAAAGAATCAAAGTATCTCCATACCAAATTTCATCTAAATCGGTTCAACGGTTTAAGGGTAAGCGAAGGTAACAGACAGACAGACAGACAGACACACTTTCGCATTTATAATATTAGTATGGATAGGCCTTGATACATTTGTGGTGACAAGTATCAAGTTGTCTTTATCATTTTTGTTTCAGAAGCAAATGCTTCTTTCACACACTTCTCTACGTATTTCAAACCATGCAACACTTTTTCTATCTGTAAATTAAATTAAAACGCAAGTGACGCGCCAGCTTTTATGTGCGATGTTACATAAAACAAAAGGAAATATGAAAAACATGCTAGACAACCTTCGTAACATTTTTGAACCTAGACAATTTTTTCCTTGGAGATGTCTTATTTTTTAAGATTATATTTTTCTCCATGAAAATTCTATAAAATTAGTAGCAAACTGGGCCTTACTAAAAACAGTTACTTTACAAGTATTAGATTACTGATTGTTGCAATGTTCACTTGATAAATGTCTCTGTTTTTACGAATGGGATCTTCGAGAACATTACAAATCGACTGGAGGTCGAGAACGGTCGACCCTTAGGGAATGAGTCAGTAAATATTTATCACTTGCCTTCTGGCGACTGGGTAATTTTTATAAGGCAGTAGAGAGACATAGATTAGGTTAAAAGGAACATCAAAAAAGGTTTTTTTGTAACGTTGATTTTGTAAACTTTCGATAAAATAGGCGCGATTAATAAGTTATCGAGCCTGAATATCTTTGAAAAGATAGCGGAATCAGGAGTTGGTCTATAGATAGAAAAAATAATTTAGCTCATCGTCGTTTTCTCTGAGTTTTAATCTTTAAACTACTAGGCATGCCAATTCTGTCGTTTCCATATTTCCCGGCAATTTTTAATTTGGAACTGTTCTATATTCGAATGTGTTTAAATGTTGAATCTCAGAACAGTTGAAAGTATTAGAATTAATGCTATTGTTTAGTCACAGCGTCGATTGGAATCTGTCCGGTTACGTACGAAAATGAATCTTGCTAAGGAAAATGTTTGTGCAATAATTTTCTACAACTTTAGAAGAGGCCTGTGACACGGCTTCAGTGTTTTGAAGAGCTAACATCTGCGTTCAGTGATGAAGCCCCATGTCGATGAAGCACTGTCGAACGCTGGTATTTAGAATTCCAGCGTGGACATACTAGTGTTGACGCCCAAAATCCGCCTTCACTAAAGATAACATCATTGCTGTGAGACAACTAATTCTCGAAGATCGTCATGTGACGTATCGAGAGATAGAGGCTCTATTAGGCATCTCAGGGACAACCATTCAGAAGATCTAATTTGCCGTTGGATACCACATCTGCTTTCCGACGATCACAAGGCGGCCCGCGTCAGATGGTCTAAGAAAACTCTGCAAAGGTTCAACCGAGGAGAGTCAAATCACGTCTACGACATCATCAGTGGTGCCGAATCTTGGATCTATGCCTACGATCCTGATTCCAAACAACAATCTACAATCTGGGTCTTTCAAGACGAGCCAAAGCCGACTAAAGTTGTTTGTTCTCGAAGCACTTCAAAGAAGATGGTGGCCACGTTCGTTGGAAAAACTGGCCATGTTGCGACTAATGTATTTGAAGATCGTAGAACAGTTAACGCAAAGTGGTATACCACAGTTTGTTTACCACAAGTCATCGCCGAACTTCGAAAATCTAACTCAAAGCGACGAATCATCCTGCTCCACGACAACCCAGGCTTACACAGTGAGCGAGTGATTGAGTATTTGAAGCAGGAAAAAGTAGAAATTCGTGACCATCCTCCATACAGTCCTGACCTAAGCCCTAACGATTTCTTTTCATTTCCTAAAATTAAGAAAAGTCTTCGTGGTCAAAGGTTCCAGTCCGGTGAAGAAGCAGTCGACGCTTTCAAGTCAGCCATTTTGAACACCCCCACTTCAGAGTGGAATAAATGTTGTAATAACTGGTTTGAGCGAATGGAAAAGTGTATTAAGCTACGTGGTGAATACTTTGATAAACAATAAAAAATACTATAAGATTCTTTTTTTTTTTTCTTCAATATACAAACTTAAAAGGCATACATTACAGCTAGACAGTAAAAAAATCGAAACTTTATTAATTATGAATTTATTCCTGATAGAAATAGGGACAGGCAACTAACACAGTTACGTCATAATACACTAGTGACCCTGCGGATTAAGAGGATCATCATGGTTAAGAAATCTCATTATCCTTCTAAATCCGATTTGTATTTGTGTAATGTACAATACATGACGTGTGGTGACGGATTAAGAATACGGAGTGTTACCAGCCCTATTTATCTCATGGGTGTCGAGCCGATACTGGAATGGGACCAGCAGTGGACTACTAAAAGCTGGTGATGATGATAGCGTGTAAGCATGGGGCAAGATTTGTATAGTTATGCCTAATAATACTCAATTTCACCTCATGCTGATACTAGACCAGACCGCGATTGGTTTTAAGCTTACCTATAGAATGGTATAGTACGAGTAGTTGCTATAGCTATAAATATATATATAGCTTTCATCACAAAAATAATACTTAGGTAAAGTATGGATTGAAAGTTTGTAGGGTAGACCAATCATTTCTTTAGTTTAGGGGTATAAACATGTCATAAATGTTTATATGTTGTGTTTGTTATATGTGTACCTTGTATTTCACTTACCTACATATTATTATATAATTTATACTTAATTTATATGTATAAACAATCTTATTAAAATTCATATCATAGATCAATATGATTGTAAGTGGGTATATATACACTAATCCTACCTATTCAGAAGAATATACTATAAATAAATTGGGGTTCAACTAAAAAACACATTTGATTATTTCATTTATAATATCAATGTAGATGAGTAAATGAATTGATGCTAATCCTAGTTAAACGTAATCTACTTCAGTAAGCATGTGAAATGGTCAGTAATTCTTAAACCTGATACTTTTGTGTATAGTTTTTAAGTTATAAATCATTTACCTCAGCGACTAAAGGTACCATACAGTCTATAGGCGACGCACAAACGATGATGAAGGCTCTTGGACATTCGTTAGCAATGGCGTCCGCATAGCACTTTACTAGTGGTGCTTGACAGTAGAACCGCTGCTCGAACTTCATATCCATGTTCACATAACCACTTTCCAGTATGAGGACTATGTCGGAGTTCTGGGAGATGAGATAGAAAGATTAAGGTTAAATAAGGAGGAAGGCAAAAGGATGTTGTTGAAAAAAGTAAAAATAAATATTTTAAATGTCACTATCTCTCTGTTATAATATTTGTTTTATTTTATTTTTTGTTCGGAGAACATAGTGTTAACACGATATACTACATGTCTTTGCAGTTATACATCTAAAAAGTTTGTAATGTTTTAACAATGTACTAATAATTTAAAGAACCGTGCAATTATAATAAAAAGTAAATGAAAGGAGGAACTAAAGAGATCAAAACTGAAGCGATAAGAACCGAAAATAAGCAAAAATTGTACACTTTACTCATATTAACCCAAGAACGATAGAGAACCATAGATTTAAATAAATCTAATTGTACAAGGCCAACCAGCTCACAGCTCTTGTTCGCTTGTCTCGTCTCGTTGTGTCGCTCTGACAGCGAATGAGTCCTGCCTATAGTTTGATTAAACATCTCATCTTAATGATGCTCCTCAGAGCATCCAGATTTTCTTGTTGTCTAGTTATCCTGTTTGGTACTTGAAGATTGACTTTAGTAGGGTAGGTAAATATCTATCCGCAGATAAAAACCCCGCGGCTTCGGTCGTATTTATGTTCACTGTGGCAATCAATTTTTCCTACAAAAAAATCTACCATTTCAGATAATTTATCGCTAAATTTCATCCAGATCCGTTCAGCCGTATTGGCGTGATCGATTATCGAACATCCATACATACATATTATAAACTTTGGCCTATATAATATTTATAAAAATAGTAATTAATTATTTTAATTGACTGAAGAGCGTCCAACCATTGAGGACTTTCAAAGAAGTATACCTGTATTGCTCAACTCTTTTTCCAATGTATAAGCAATAAGACGACTCTTTAAATGTTTTATTTTGTAGTCATTTTAAAATAACTGCTATCGAGTATTGTGTAGTTACGTTTCAAAACATAACTGCACAATGCTCGATTTGCTAAGTTTGCCTGCTCAAACATATTGATGATAACATATTGGGTAATAGTTTTTTTTTAAATGCGATAATATTAATATTTGCCAAGAAACAGTGTTACATAAAAATAAGCGCCAGTAACTAATAAATTTGAGTGAAGTTAAGAAAACGTATTGTAATAATTTATTTAACAACTCTAACCAAAAGTATTTTTTTTCTTATTTTAAATAAAATATCAAATTACTAGCTTTTGCCTGCGGCCTGCGTATATGTCGGTTATCGCGGTAGAAGGTAGTCTATAGCACTCAGCGATAATATATCTTTCTAACAGTGAAAGAATTTACGAAATCGGATCCTACTGATCCGGAGATTGCCCCGAACATACAAACTCACAAACTTTACTTAATTAAATTGTACTATTAAATTTATAGTACAATTTAATCTATGGTAATTCTACGAGTATAAAGAAGTAAAGTAAGTAAAGTAAATTCGATTCGATCCGATTTCGTAAATTCTTTCACTGTTAGAAAGATATATTATCGCTGAGTATATTTTTATTTAATAAAATACACACACATATCTAATATACGAGTTTAGATGTTTGTTTGTTTTGCCACAAAAATTAGTTTAAAAACAGATTGTCAAAATGGAACTATGATACTATAGACAAAAGCAACTTAAATTGACGTTTATAAAATTTTAACCATGTTTATATAGGTACTACTCTTTGTTCATGTTTACGTACATATAATTCGCAGTAGCGGGTCGATGTTATTGATTGGGTGTGTGGGGTCAACGCCATACTCTACTTGCAAATACCATACATGGCTGGTAAAAGAAATCGAATGAAACCTGTAGTGCGTAGTACAATTGAATCCATTATTGCTTGTAGATTGGTTCCATTTTCAAGTTTCTTTTATTGAAGTCGATGGGTTTTAATAAAGAGGTTTTATGTAGTTTTGTATCCAGGGTAGGTTGAGTAATGCAATTTGGTCCATGTCAAATATTTCTACTCCTCAACATATCAACTATTATATTAAAATATGATACACTAAATATTGTGCTCGATAATTAAAAACTTACACATAATTTTAGTAAAGTAGTTACTTAGTTTATTGGCTACTAGCTATATTCTATGATAAGTTGGAAAATACGATAGTAATACATGAACTTCAATATAAAAGTGATTTTATCGGGAAAAGTTTAATGACAATGTTGGTATCGGATATTCTCCGGAGCAGAAATCCGGTTAGACGAACAAACTTATCCTTGAACCTTGCACTCGTTATCCACACAATTATTTGTTTTAAGTGTTAAGGTTTCGATTTCGATTTTTTTGCAAATTAAGTTATAAAAATAGAAATTGGTTTATCGGTGGAACTCACATGGGCTCGTGTCAGGACACGATCCCTGTAACTGATGTGTTGCTAACTTTATTCCTTTCTCCAAAAAGTTCTATAGTCCATCTAATCTAAGAGGTACCGTTTGACGTTTAATACTTTTCAAGACGAAACAACTTTATATAGACGTAACTAACACAATTTCAGTAACCTTTTCCGTAAAACTATGGAATTATGAAGCTATTTTTATTTTACTGCAAGATATTCAATTTCATAATGACAAAATTTAAATATTTGAAACAAAGCAAATAACCAATTTATACACAATAGATGTTTCTTTTTAAACTTCGTTTCAAAGTCACGTAGTTAGGTCGTTTACCGTATTGTTGACTTGACCACTTGAATACGAATAACCGTAAAATGTATGAAATATTGAATTTATTAATAATGAGTCATTTTCAATCCAGGCGTCTTAAAGTATTTAATAATACTTAAAATTCATCTGACATCCAATTGTAAATGAAAATGCATAATCAAAATGAAAAGTATGTACGTTAATGTAATTTTAAATAAATCTTTGTAGGCAGAATTGCTCGTGTCCGAGTCTAGTGAATACTAAGATTTACTACTAAAACCTATATGCCATTGTGATGTGATTGTATTTGTTGTGGTGTGGCTGTATTGTTAGCGCAGAAGTGTGATTTCAATATTTCGAGTGAGTACTATTTATTAATCTCAGAACGGAATAACGCATGCACGTGCATATGTAGATGTATGTATTAGAATTTTTGTTGTTTAAATAGTCTTGTATGATAACTGAATGTATATTTCATACTTATTGTCTATGATCATTAACGGTACAGTAATAATATTATACTTACATAAAATCTGCGAGTGTTGAGGTCCTGCCAACTTTGTACTATGTGTGCCTAGGTTTAGTTATAAGACTTAATAAACATGTCTGTTTATGTTATACTTAATTCCTGGGAAGACACTAACGTCTAAGATACAGGCTCGGCCTAGTTTAGACGTTAGGGATCATCGAATTTTATAAACACCCATTTCACGTGTACATCATAACTATTTTTACATGTTCAAATATTTTAGAAGATATTGTACATTAGTATATGAATAAATAAAATAAATAAATAAAAATTGTAAGATCTTTTATATTAATGCATAAATCTGTAAAACTGTAATCGATTAGTAGATACTAAGAAATGATATCGGTATTTCTTAAGAATCGGATGTTGTCGTAATCAATTTGTTTGTCCCCGTCACTATACTTCAATCTGTCAGAACTGTCAAACGGTATCTCATAGATTAGATGGACTATAATATAGTTTTTTTTTAATGAACCAACCTAATTTAGTAGTTTAGTTAGCCAACAGAGGCTACAAATAACAATATTTGCAACACAAACTATTGTATAAACAGTAAAATAATAAAATTAAAATATAGTAAAGTTATAAAAAAAAAAATTACGCTTTTTAGCAATACACACCACAGAAATCAAAGAATTATTTAAGTGCAAGAACTCGCAAGTTTAACTAACAAATTCTGTATAGAAAGTTAGTCCCAAACCCAAGTTTGTTGCTAGTTAACTAGATTGGCATGAACGCTGAAGAGGCTGTAGCGACAAGCGCCTATCTGACGATATACTAATAGCCAAGTCACCAGAACTTCGATGTGTTGTCTATGTTCGTTTCTGTATTAGAAGTTAGTCATTTTAACTAGAGAACGTGAACTAACATAATCATTATTTCTGCATATCTGTTTTAAAAATGAATAAATGATTTTTAATTATTGAGTTAAAAGTTGAAAAATAATAGTAGAATATTTATCGGGAATATTTATAATAACAATTACCTTTGTATAATATACTACACATTTCAATCTCATTCATAATTATTTAAATTTTCTATTGTTACCGATTTGAATATTATTGTTATTTAAAGTATTAAGTCATTGCCCTAATAACTAATATTATTGATATTTAATACTTGCATGATTGTTTTTAAAAAAAAAACATTTAATTATATAATGATAATAATTTAATTGCGTATTATTTATAAGATAATACACAACTTAATGGAATAAAAAAATATTAACTGAATAGTATTAAATCATACTAAACAATCTAGCATGTCATTAAGAAGCTAATATTATAAAAGAATATCTTGTAAATGCATGGAATAAAAGTTTATTTTTATTTTTATTACCTTTTATGTATTTATCATGAAATGATAATAAATATTTAACTATTATTTTTCAATTTTTATTTATACACTATTATATGTATACATTGAAGAACACCCGGTGTTATAACTTTATTGACGTCGACTGTAAGAGCAGAGGAAGCGGCAATAAAACCTTATTTTTTAAACAAAGAGTTGATACTTCCACGTACAGACCACTAAAGCGAGAACAGTTTATATTTTATTATTTCTGTTTTTATCAACAACCTTTAGTAGTCTACTGGCTGGACCTATATCTTGTCTTTAGACATCATGTTTTGGCCTACTTATACCACGCTGGCCAGACGGGTTGGTATAGAGTTTGTTTCAAGTTTGTTTTTCTACGTAGTTTACTCAATTGTTCGACTCTTACATCACTCGCAGGATGAATAGAGGTGGTGACACTCTGTATTCTTAATCCGTCACCACACTTTCTGCTTTACATTACTTTATTTATCCGTTTAATATGCAGATAGTGCAGTTTCAGCGCCGTTCACCGTAGTCACAGACTTATAAAACGGCCGATTATTATTATTCTCGATATTTAATCCAGATGGCAGATTTATTACTTAATATTAATGGAGAACCTAATTCTAAATCTACTCCTAGGTCGCAAGTGCCTGGGCACTGCCGCAGTGCAAGTGTTATCACGCTTGGGGCGAACCCCATCTATCACGCGATGGACCCGGTACCCGCACGGTGAATCTATGGAAGGCTAAGACATAGGTCTTTTATATTACCTACCTATGAGCCTGTAATTTAATCGTGTCCTATATAAGCAAATTCCAATTAAATCTATTTCACAGAATCGCTCATCAATTGGGCAAACAATCATTAATGTAACCAATAATTGTCATAAGTTCTTACCTTAATAATTTGGAAATTATAATATTATAATTAGACTAAATTGTTATTCAATCAAGTTTAAACCAAAGGATTATGTTATAGCACAGTCTTATTATTATTGGTTTAAGTGCCTGAAGGGAATACAAAATACCACAAGGTCGGCTTGTGGTATTTTGTAGCGCCCTATGATAAAATAGGTTCACAATATCTAATAATCTTTAGTAAGTTTTAGATGCGTATTGTATAAGAAGAGAATGATCTATGTGTGTATTAATTAAACTTCAAAACCACAATTCCCATTTTGTAACCAATTGCTAACTACGCAAGACAACGGCACTGCAAGGAGAAAGAAAACATGAAACAATTTTTTTTTTTTTTACCTTTGGAAACCCCCGCGGGCCGTCACCGGGGTTTGCGGCGGGGTGGTGTGTCGGAATCGGACCGACTAAAACCATACGGTGAACCACTCTGCGCCTGTAATAGGAGGGATCCGGGAACTGCTGTTATTAAGACATCAGCGGACCCCTCCTAGCGCCTGCCCGCAACGGAGCGGGCACCACCTTCGGGTAAAATCTCCATTTAGGCGACGTCCGGCACACGCTAAAACCCGTCCCATCCACCCGCGGCCACACTCAGAGCAGCCGCCCGGTTCGACGGCGACGGATTGGGTCCGAGTGGAGGTTGTCCTCCCGGGGCCCTCTCCGTCGCCTCCTTCTGATGAAACAAACTCTATATCAACCCGTCTGGCCCGCGTGGTATAGCAGGCCAAAACCTCTTTTCTAAAGAGAGGCCTATGTCCAGCAGTAGTATTTTAAAGACTATTTATTGATGGTAATGATGAACCGATTTTTAAAAAAAAGTACAGGTTTTCAATTCGGTCCCGGTTTGGCCCCATTAAAATTTGATAAAAAAGTAAAGGTTAAATAATGAGGAAAACGGTTTATTACAATTCATCAAAATATCGATGAATTTGTGTCGCTGAAATTTATTGAAAGTTAATTGATTCAGTTACACTTATACTCAAGTTATAAATAAAAGTATAATCTCAGTACCTGTAAACACCTTTCTAGCTCACAACAGGCACAACTGAATGGTTCCACAAGACAATTCGTATTGATATGCTGTAGGTCATGTACAACTTGGCACACGTTGCGAGTGCAACCTTTAGTATCCATGGCTTCGTAAAGACGCAACCTGAAGAGATAAAGTAACACTAGTAATACAATGTATTTAAATTCGCTGGAGAATGGCATTATAAAACTATACGCCAATTATGTCTAACCCTGCACAGTCCATCAAATAAAACCGTACTGTCTCCCCAAATTTAAATCCTAGTCATTCAGTCAGTAATTTTTACTAACTAGAACCCTATTAACACGTCCCAAATTGAACTTAGTTTGCAACGAAATAAGATCGGACTCAGATAATATTTACCGTTACCACCGTTATCGCCAGAGACATCAAAACAGGCTACCTTTTTCTAGTCTGTATTATGTAGCCTGATCTGAACAGAGACACACCTCGAGCTCAACAGAAAAGTAGCGGCAAGTAGCTTCTGTTTGTCTGCTGTTTACGGCATCATAATTAAAGAAAGTATTACTTTCGACATTCGACACAAACACATAAACACGCCCTTGGTTCAACAATGTCGTATATTCTCACCACGAGCTCTAGGTATGTGTAAGGCATTCGAGGAGTATACATTAAACTTTTACTGAAGCCTTAGATATGCCATTATATGGATCATTCAAACGAACGTAATAAAAGGAGGCAAGATTTTACGAGTTGGCCGTGACTACGGTGCTCACAATTTTTATCAAAAACATTTTTATTACTAGAAAACGGAGTTCATACTTAAAGTTTGACATCGTAATGGTTTTTAGATTGATTTATGTCATGTCATAATCGTAAAGATGCAATATTGTTTATCGTTCCTCGTAAATGGATATTTTGGGAACTCTGGTGGGCTGTTTGACCCATTATGCTTCGAAGTGGTCAAGATTTGTTCTCGAAAACGAAATTTGTAGCACGTTGAATAACAACAATCACAAAATTGTCCTAAGATATAAGAAATATATATTTGCTACCTATGTCTTTCACTCTCTTTTTATAGTAACATTACAGAAATTCGATAAAAGCAAACAAATATGCGTTAAACGGCTGTGGCAACATGTGCAGGCCACGTCATGTAAAGGATGGTTTAAAAAATTAAAACAATTAACTACATATAAATATTAGCTCAAAGTTATTTGGTGAAGCAGTATGTAACCAAAAGAGAAAAAAAATGTTATCTATTTGATTATATTATCAGTAGCGTTCGAAATTCTTTTTACAAAAATGAAAACTAAGTTTTAAAATCCCTTACACATTGGAAGTCAATTACATTTAGCGTTATTACAAAGGTATATCGAGTGTTGAAAAAAAAGAATGTTTTCATGTCCCAAACATGTCATCAAAAGTTTGCTATCCATACTTGGATGACAAAATTGACAAAGAAAATTTGTCGGTGGTAAAAAAGATCATTATGTTTAAACAAACAAAGCTTTAATGTTATATTAAATTTGATAAATTAAATTAAGCTCTCTTTCATTAGAAACGACGTACTCAAAATTTAATATTAATAATAACTCCACACATCTCACACAGGGCAGTCTGATCCCAAATTAGGCAAAGCCTGTGCTATGGTAACTAGACTGCTGATAATCATCTATTATTTTTCTAAATACATACATACAATCTTATATGTAATCGTGTGTGTGTGGGAATCGAACCCACGACGTCCGTGTTTATCCGTTATATATACATAATTCAATCACGTTATCTGTTTCCAAAATTAGTATTAACACAATGTACAGGCTATTAAACCAACTAGAATTTCCAGTTGTTAAAATCATTGGTTCTTGAGTTTAGCACATGTGCTTTTTTTATTAATATACTCGTAGCATAGTCAATACCTAGAACGCAGGGCTAATGAGATGAAAGCTGTAAATAGTGCAGTTTACCCAACGGTTTACCTTTTAAAAACTTCTACTAGTATTAGGTCCCAAAGTAAATGTCATTGTATAACTATATTTTGTATCAATGCCGTACGCGAATAAAATCTTCGGTGATAAAATCACATTGTCCAGACATCGAGTGACTCCCTTGGGGCTCAATTCATGAGCCGTGGCTTACTGCTTTCTATGTTTCGCCTTATTTTATTTAAGACCGATACGGTACACTAATACATGAAAAGTTTTTGTGCATATGAAGAGTTCTATGTTCTTTTCATAGTCTGTACTCGTGTTCATAAACAATTTTACTACATTTTATGGATTTGGATAGTTAAGATGTGTTGTTTAGATGATAGATCATCATCATCATCAACAGCCTTCAATAGTTAATTGCTGGATATAGGCCTCTCCTTAGAAAGAAGGTTTTGGCGTACTATACCACGCTGAAAAGACGGGTTGGTAATAGATAATTGAACAAAAACTCTACATAACGGAAAATAAATGGTATGGTATACTAGTAACGTAAACATTTATGGAAGGATGAGTTCTCCAGTCGAAGTTGTTGGAAATTAAAACAGGAACAGTGAGAAATAGAGATCTCCCCTCTCTTTTAACGAATGACGTAGTGTAATAGGCCACTGTCTTTAATGAACCCATAAGGTCTTCTTTTTTATCAGGGTTGGGAGTTTTTATTGCCTGCGTACAGTACACACTTTTTACCTATCATTAACAACTAATTAGGCACCAGATTTTGCTTTTAATTTAAATATTCATAAGGCATTAGTTTCTCAAATTTAGATAAAAAAAAAACTACGAAAATTACGTGTTACATCTATTTAACAACAAATCTTTGCAACTGAATTGTATTCTTAGATATGTTTTGCAAAAGTATACTCCAAACCTAGTGATTCAAAACTCTTTTGACCTTCAAATGTCAAATCCAACGTAGCATAAATTCAAATGACCCCATTTGTTCCACGATCGTGTTGCGACATAGGCGTCCCATATAAGCTTGTGTAGTGACACAGTCGAGACGAACGGTCCCCAAGGGCTGGAGATTTCATGAGCCGTACACGACTTCAGGGCTAGCGAAATTGTTACGTCACGGACCGTCGACGAAACGATAATGTGTAGACTTTCCGTGTCTGCGGTTTAAGTGTGTGTTTCATTACTCGAGAACTATAAGTTGTACGAAATGTTTAAAGCCATTGACTAGCAAGTGACTTTTCATTACATTTGTGTCAAATTGAATTGTATTTTTGTTTTATTGGTGTATTTGTGTGTTGTGACACTATTTTGTTAAATTTATGATTAGATTAATAGAAAAGTACCTACCAGCGCATATATTTCTACATGAAAGTGAGTTTGATATGATTGCTTCTTCACTAGAAAAGCGGGTTAAATAACAGTGACCTTTACTGGTCTTGTTTCGGTTAGAATTTGAGAAGGTTTGTGACCCTTAGTGACCATTTAGGAGTTGTTTCACATACAACGGGTCATGTGATTTGCTAATAAATTATAAGGGAATACTTACTTTTTAATGCAAGGACACTGTTTCAACAACAACGCCACATACTGTCCTATTCGTGTATCAGCTCCAAGTATGGACACCTGCATGCCATGCCGATATACCGGCACCGGAGCTGCCGGTTTCTTTGGAGGCGGAAGCGCTTTAGGCGGCTTCTCGCGTTCCGGTTCTTTACATTTAAGCATCCGAAATGGAGCTGTATAGGATTACAGGTTAGGTTTATGATTTATATTTCATATGTAAACTACTGGACTCCAATCTTATGCAAAGTTGCATATTCTGAATGCTTGGTCATAGAAAGAAATGATTATAAAAATACTTGGACATCTTGTAAAACTTTTTTAAAGTACTGTAACAATAGACTTTTCCGTTATAGTATTTAAATTGATTAACTATGATAACTGCTTACTATCACGAAGATTAGATAATTTTTTGTGTAGTTTTGGGGTACAAAAACCAATTCATATACATGCCTCTATTGTGACTAGCACAATGTTGTAAGGCAGAAATAACTCACTTCCAAAGTTTGAGCCACCTTCTAAGACCTTCAGCTTTATCCTGTGAAGGATGCCTGGTTTTTTTGTTTTTGTGACACATGGTTTTTTACAAATTTTATCTGGAGGATCGTCTGGGATATCTGCCACAGCTCTCCTACAATCATCTTTCGATGGTCTATTGACGTAGTGTCTACAGGACACGCACTCAACTTTATTGTTCAAAGATTTTGATTTGTGAACCACATGTGACCAAAAGCCGCGTGTATTCGATAACATTTTATTAATAACGGTTTGGTTAATTAATTTTTATTATATTTTCATTTATTGTGGGTGTATCTTGTTGCTGCTGTGAAATTTCGATTGTTTTTGCATGTTTTGTTGACGTTTTCTATTTTTTATTCTAGATATAAAGAGGTCAATGCTTTTTGCTTTCTAAACGTTGTTGGAGTTTGTATATGATTTTATAAGATTGGGAGGTATAGTATTACATAACTTTAGAGTTTTACAACGTTCTTGAAAACTTGTTGCGTACAGTACAGTCATTTGAGTAGTAAAGGTAAATATCCAGCTAAATAGAATATATGTTCTCAACAGACTGCAATCCGATCAGAAATATGCTGCACTCTACCTCCCCTAGAAGCTTACCTTATTATTATATGCACCTCAGTAGTGCCAAAACCTGTTATTACATATTTTTATGAAAACATTAAATTTCATTCATAAACTTTTAATTCACAACACTTTTCTAATATAAGGCCTTCGACATATTTATAGTGAACTCCGGCTTGTCGAGAGGGAAAGCGAGCGTCAACGGCCTGCCTTGACACTGCTGTATTAATACTCTACTCTCAGCCGTTATTGGCCTATTTCCTCACTACTAGTGTTACTAAAATGGGCTGCGATTCAATCACAGACTTTGTTTTGGTTTGATATATCTTGTTTATGTTTTCGCTAGTTCTTATTCGTTCTTGTTCATCATTTTTTTCTGGATATTATAAATTTGATGGCAATTTGATCAAGCTGGTTGGTAAGCATTCTATATAGGTAGTTGTTTTGTAACTTATATACACCTAAAATATAAATAACTCAACTAAAAAATCACGGATTACAGTTCGTCATTGTATACATTCAACAGATTTTAGATAAATAACCATGACTTAGATCAAACCAATGAAACCTTATTTGCTGAAATTCGGCGAACAGTTCAAACCAACTATTTACTATCACACACATCGCCGGGCATCATCCGGCCGTCATCGCGGCGGTAAGACCCGTTATGGAGGACGGGCTCGAGAGGCGTCACGGGACCCTCTCATACCGACTGACGCAGGTAATCACTGGGAAAGGATGTTTCGGGGATCACCTGTGTCTGATCTGCAAGGAGCCAACGCCTGAATGCCACCACTGCGATGGCCAGACTGTGGACACGGCTCTCCACACGCTGGCAGAGTGCCCGGCGTGGGTTGAGCAGAGGCGAGACCTCGTGGCGGCGATCGGAGTGGGAGTTCTCTCGCTCGATAGCCTGATTGCGGCTATCGTGCGGAGCTAGAGTGCGTGGAACTCTGCCGTCTCCTTCTGCGAGCAAGTTATGCTCGCGAAGGAGACGGCGGAGCGGGACCGAGAGAGGTTTAGGACTCTCCCGGCCCGCCAGGCCCGGGAACGAGCCAGGTACCGCAGGCGACTCAGGCGCCAGAGGTCGCAGAACGACCCTCGTCCTCCATAAGCGCAGGCCTGGGGACAGGTGAGGCCATCTGTCACCCTAGCAGAAGCAGGCCGGGGTGGCGGCGAGCGCGTTGCGATGCGCGTTCGCTTTTAGGGAGCAGAGGGAACATGGGGTTCCCACACGGGGGGGGGGGGGTCGTCTACCTGTTGTTGTAGATGGCTCGAGGTATGTCGGGGCACCAGGGACTTCCTTTCTAGGGTATACCTGGTTCCCCGGCTATTAGTACCCGAGACGGCGTGCGGTTTTAGTCGGTTCGAGTCCGACATGCCACCGACAGGTGGTATCCGAGGGGATTTCCGCACGGGGAAAAAAAAAAAAAGGGGACACATCGCGGGGAGATCTATCGCAGGATCTTCACGTGAGATGACATTGCCGACTAGTATCACTAGACATCTGCCTTGTACACACTACCCAGTTGTCAAGATATACATCCGTAGATAGCACAAGCGACAATATCACGCGATACACATTTTGTGTATTGGGCACACAAGGTCGAAGAAAAATATCGCCCAGTCAAAAGTCCCGTACTTTCAACTGTAGATCTTGCCAAAATAATAAGACTTAGATATGTAGATACATGGTTTAATAATAATATTCACCTACTTTTGGTAGTCGAGTAAATGGAAAAACAATACAATTTTTAACTAATACTACACTGCTAATAATCTAATCACAGCCAAAATGCAGAAAAAGTTGTGGCACAGTAAACGTTTGGAACGAAACACAAAAAACGCAAAGGCTTTAGTTCCGTCGTCACAGCGAGGAACCAATTACTGCGTTTTGCTGAGTTGTTATATTTTAATCACGGGGATATTAGATTTTGCACTGTGTGTGCTCTATACACAACTTTTATTTGAAAGATAATTTATGGTAATTGAAAAAACCGGAACCGAAAACCAAAGTCGTTTATTTGGATAAAAATAAACAAATTATACGATTCTGTTTTTATTTATTTAAAATGTTTCTTAATTATACAAATAGCAAATGATATTTATATTGGTATCGCATTTAACAAAGTTTACTGAATTTGTTTAAAGAAATTTGTAATTATTAGAAATTGTATGTTATCCTAATAACCTACTAGCCTGCCAGCTTTTGCCCGCGGCTTCGCCTGCGTACATGTCCGTTATCGCGGTAAAAAGTAGTCTATGTTACTCGCTGATAATGTAAGTTTCCATTGGTGTTTTTTTTTATCTTTTTAATGATTTAGACGTGTAAACGTAACGAACAAATTCAATTTTACATTTATAATTAAAGTATGGATGTAATCTCATTCTATTAATACGTTATTAGAAAGTATATCCAATAAAAGCAGTAATGACTGTAATAAAATTGGTAATAAGTCGATGGATGAAAAAAAAAAACTTATTTACCGATCCAGTGAACTGAGTTCGACGGTAGATGACATAATACAGACCACCAAAACCAATCACATATGTGGAAAAATCTCTTCATAGGTAGGTACGAGGTTCATAAAGAAGAAAGAACGTGACTGCCTACTGACTATTTATCTATTGGGCAGCGTACCAATAGAGATTACTTCTCTCGGTTGTGCTGATGACAAGTATAAAATCGAGTCTATTGTCATTCGATTCGAGTGGATCTTTGCCAACCTAAAAATAATATAATTATAATAAGATTAACAAATAAGGCCACAGGGGTATAGAATCACTAATTAAAAACTCCAACTATGTTATGTAAATAACATTCAGCTTTCACTATGTTGTTTTAAAATAAGAACTCATCGAAAGAAAATTCAAGAATCAATCAAATTAATGTCTAAACACCCAATTTATGGTATCTACCCTGAGGATGTACTATGATATAGTTTAGAAACATCTTAAGTACTCTTTATTGCATAGTAATTTTAACTTAATAGAGGCGAAATCGAAGTGATCAGTCACGATGTCTGCTCAAGGAAGTTGCGTGACGGGCGTTAAGGTTCGTGGTCACAGAACGTTCGTGATATTAACTATTCCTAGGCGACTGACCGTAGTTGTATGGACTCATAAACTAAGTTTCTTTGAAGGCTTTTGACCTGTGAACATACCTTGAGAAGCTTCGTATTACTAATCGCTCACGGGTTTGTTTGTAGTTTTTAAATAGTCTTAATGTTTGTATTTAACCGACTTCAAAAAAAGGAGGAGGTTAAATCGATTGTATTTTTTTTATTATTATTGTTTATTGGTTGTTGCGCTCACAATATATTTTCATTATCATAATTATATGAAATATGTTGTTATAATTCATGCACCTTTCCATACCATTTCAAAATCAAAAAATTCACTAAAAAGTTTACCTGACAGGGTTAAAGTATACTTATCAACTTTTTACTCTTTTTTTTGGTGGGCACAAGCGATCCTTTTTATTAGAATACATATTTCTGTGTATTTTGGTTGTAAAAGAACAACTCACTGCTTATTAAGACACGTGTTTCATAATTACATAAGATATTAAAATACTGAAGAACACGATAGAAATTGACTATTCCCCTGTCCCTCATAATAAAAACATCTATATCAATCAATCGTTACCCCAAAGGTAATATGCAAATGTAAGACACTAGTAGGTACTGAGTTCAAGGGCGACGTGATTCTATTTGAAACAACTAAACAGTAACTCAAATTCGGTACTGATTAACATAGATAACGAATTGTATAAGTACTTTTCGGCTTTTAAATTAATTCGTATCTAGTTTTCCTAGCGTAGTGTTACTACTTCCAAGTATTAAAAGTTTTAATCCAGGTTCAATCACAATTTGACCAGATAATAAAAATACACACTTTAATTAAGCACTTATGGGTTTCGTATGGGACATTTTCATTTCTTTATTATTGCCACCAGAGTGGCAAATAAATGTCACGTTGTCACCATAGCTCTTGAATGTTTACAGCATAATAAGTTTTTTGGATTGCCCTTCGAAGCGCGCGCCCCCCTTTCGGGAGCACAAAGGGGACATAGGGGTTCCCACACAGGAGGGGGTCATTTACGCAAGTAGACGGCCCGAGGTACGTCTCGGTATCAGGGTTTTCCTTCAGGGTACACTTGGTTCCCCGGCAACTGGTACCCGAGACGGCGTGCGGTTTTTGGTCGGTTCGAGTCCGACATAACCACCAGTGGGTGGTATCCGAGGGGATTTCCGCACAGGAAAAACAAAAAAAAAGGCAGAATTTTGGCGATTTTTATAAAATGTTTATTTTTGATATGGTATTTCATAGTTAAATCTATCAGAAATGACGGCAACTATAACACCTTAAAGTATCTAGGTCGACTTACCCACTAACCCTATATAATTAAAAATTAATACTGAGCTACTTTATAGAAAGATTTCATCAAAATTGAAACTTGTTTACGATACTAACTTGCATAGTTACGCTATATAATATTTTTTAAAATTTTATTATAAAGGAAATTATTGCCGTCTATAATAGACTAAGTGTACAATGTACATAGTGTAGAATGAATTTCCTATGAACAGCTGAGTCATAGGAAAGACCGCTACAGTAGAAAGGTCGCGTGTGAACTTTGCCCCACCCAGGCTACCGACATTTTCGCCTTTTAGTAAATATGACCTTTAGCAACAACTATTGTAAACGAAGGCTATTTGCTGTTGATTGAGTTTCAGGATTTCTTTTATTGCAAATGATTCAGGAATCCACCTATGACCTATTCGCTACCCACACACTATTTTTAGTTAATTCGTCGTAATTTTGGTAAAAAAATACAATATATATTATGCATTACCAAACCTTACATTCTAATTTTGATTATTAACTACTGTAATTTATTTTTCATATTTCTGCTTTCTGATGTCATATTTTTATACGAGTAGTACAAACTTGAATAAAGAATTAAAAGGACAGCCTACTAAATTTTGTGTTATTCACTTTCTGATGGAAAGGCTTCCAATACTATTTAATACATATATACTGAATTCTTTAAAATCGTAATATGCCTGTTACTTTAGTATAAGAGCCAAAAACGTACTTGAATTATACTTCAGTCAAGGATTAAGGACTTTTTTAGAACAGTTTAAAAGGTGATCTTTTAACGATGTTGAATTGATGTTGAATGTTGAATACAAATATCAATACTTTGCTTACTCACCAAAAGAGATAGTATCTCATCAACAGCCTATACTAGTCCACTGCTGGACATAGGCCTCTCCTTAGAAAGAAGGTTTCAGTGCTGTTGTCCTGCTTAGTTTGCTCCCTTAGTCGGCTCTTACGACACCCACGGGATGAATTGGGGTAGTGACAATTTGTATTCTTAATCCGTCACCAGAGATATATCTTAAGGCTATCTTTTAATTCGTTTTTTTGGACTGCACAGATGGCGTAGTGTTCTAAGCGGTCGCCGCACCGCTTGCTACTACGCTGAGTGTTGTGGGTCCGACCCCACATGGGTCGACACTTTGTGCGATCCACAAATTGTTTGTTCTGAATCTGGGTGTTTATGTATGTTTGTAAAGTCCCCCGCGACACAGGATAATTATATTCCTAATGCGTGAGTTGTCTTTTTAAAAGAAAGAAAGAAAAAATATAAAAAGTTTTATTTAGTCTAGTTTAATAGTGATTTTCATAGCGGACTGTAACAGCTCAATTAAGTCGACGAGGTGGTTAAGGCAATAATTAGTAATAGTTCAATTATTGTAATATTTATAACTGTTAAAGTGCGATTGAACGGATTGTACTCTAGTTAATCAAATTCAGATTTGTTTGTACCTACCATTGAAGGTAGGTCGCACTTTTTCGGTCTTACTTCAACAGTCTTACATTTAGGAAAAATTCGTTATTAGTTTTAAATTGGTTATTGGAAATGTTAAAACTTCAAGTTTTTTTTTTGTCGAGTACGTAATTCCGTCTGTTTTTAGTCGTAGCACTGTTGTTCTAAAAGCTTCCTTGTGACAAATGACGAATTAATCTAATATTTATATCGAGTGCCTCTGAATAGAAAGGTATTTATGTCTATATTATGTAAACTTAATATATATTGTATAAGTTCCACTAATGATATAATGGGTAGAGAGAGTCCCGGGGAACACCTTGTGGCACATTCTCTAGCTCAGATTTTCGTTGTATATGTATTCCGTTCTCTCCATTAAGAATCTATCCCTCAAACTATAATGCATAAGTAAGAACTTCAAAACGTTCTTTCGTACACTAAAGTGCTCCGACTTGGACAAAATAATGTCTACCGTATTGAGGGCAGAACTAAAGTCCAGAAAGGTACCTGCTTTAGATCTAACATTAAACTACATGCAGACCAGCAACCAAAACTTTCCATTTATATTGCTAATTGGAAATCGCCTCCAATATATTAAGCTATAATAAAGACAGCACGATTGATAGCTAGCTAGCCCACTTACTTAATTATTAGTCTCCCTTATCAGAGGTACAATTTCGGTTAGTTGAGTATTTTTACGAAAAATTTCTTGTTTATTTTTTTCAATGTAACAGAAGGGGAATATTAAGTGCTATTAAGGTTGTTGTCACCGTTACTTAACTATCAGCACCAATTTTTGTTTTATTAATGACATTTGAGAAACAAAAAGGTTGTGTGAAGAACAATAATTAATGAATAATAGGATAGTCAGTGAGAAAAGTTTTTTTTATCAAAAAAAATTATAGAACTATATTTATGCGTTAAGTTTGTTAACTTTATAAGTTAATTTGTTCAAACTTAATGCATAAATACTAAAGCTATATCTCAGGTATTTGTCTGTTATTCAGTAAATTGGCCTCATTCTTAAATTATCAGAATTATGTTGTAATTTGTACTGTGGTGATAAGCACACTTATATTACATAATAACATTAATATGTTCGGAACATAATATAAACTAAACTTTTCAGTTGTGGGTATTCAATATTACTAACGCGGGCTACTACATAGTAGGTCAAAACCTCCTTTCTAAGAAAATACCTATTTATGTAAATATTTCTCGTGATAGTAGTAAAATATGTACGTGGAGCCCAGTATATACGTTATTCGTACACACCCAATATGTTAGCTACCTCTGCCGCTTTATGTTTTTTATATGATGCTCCAAACTCCCCACGATTCAGCTATAAAGTACATCACGCGAATACTTACTTGCAGCTTTCAGCATAACCTACCTTCAACAGATTCAAAAGATTGTGTAAAGATAAATGATGTTTTAGATTATGAACTCTTTCTCTTGAATGAATTTTTTATATAAATTTACTAAATACTAATAATACTTGTACTAATTTACTTGTACCAATATTTGTAAGCATGTGCATGCATGTAACGACAAAATAACTTTCGTGTTTTTTTTGTTATTTGTATGGAAATATAGCAAAATCTAAAATCTGTTGAAACATCCTATGTACACATCACAATTCATATACGTCGTATTTATAAAACTTATTAAAATACTCACGATTTTCGTGTTGAGGTGCATAAGCTCGCGCTCGGTGACTCGGCGCCGCGCGGTCTCCATTTGCTGCTGACGGTACTGGTTGTACTTATACAGCAAATACATTCCGGGCAGGGCCAACACGACGAACGGTCGCATCAAGTTTGACGAAGTCGGCGCGCGCTGCGGCATCTTTTTATTACCATTATTTTACTCATTTAACAGCTATGCACTTTCGTCTTCGACTGTACAAGCAGCAACTTTGACATTTCGCAATGTACTATTTAAAATATTTGAATTAGAGATCATTTTTTATTATTTAACAATTACAATCTTGCCACAGTTTTTATACTAATGTTAATATATGGAAGATTTAATTTTATTATAAACTTAATGAAACAAGCACTTTTTATAGCGTCACTACGGGGTTTCTACGGTTATTAATGGATTATTGCTTTAGTAATAGACCTATTTATTTACACAGAGAGCTCTTCTCAGGACGTTTCCAGCATAGTCACGACTCTGAAATAAATTAAAATAACATTAGTCGATTATATTTCATTTCGAACTAAAACTATTATGCAACTACTAGGCAAAACCTACTTTCTAAGGAGAAGCCTAAGTCCAGCAGTGGATTATTAAAGACTTGATGATGATGAACATGAGCAGACAATTTTGAATTAAAATCAACTTTGTAATACTATAGGAGTATTTATAAAAAAAAAACCTGCAATTTAAGCTACTCTCAACTTAAAAAAATAAAAAAAAGTGTTAACAGGGCTCGTATACAAAAACATTTACCACTTTAATTTATATTCACGTAGGGTAACTTTATCTTAATCTAAAAAATATAGAGCGTCTTGAAAGCAAAAAGGGACTATTTGAGGAAAAAGATGCATATATAACCGTCCTTCTGTGTGCGTAAAAGAAATACAAAAAGCTGATATGAAATCAACTTTTAGTTGGTGTCGTAAGAGCCGACTAAGGGAGCAAACTACGCAGGACAACAGCACTGCAAAGAGAAGGAAAACTTGACACAAACCCTATACCAACCCGTCTTGCCAGCGTGGTATAGTAGACCAAACCTCCTCTCTAAGGAGAGGCCTATGTCCAGCAGTGGACTATTAAAGGTGATGATGATAACGTTAAAATTGCCTGTTTTATGTCAATGGCCACTATAACTTGAACTCATTATCATCATAGACTTTTCATATTATACCATTGGTTTTCTGGGAGTATTGTTTCTGCATGACAAAACTAATGGTGTTAATAATTCCCGGCTGTCGAGAGGAGAGAAATGCCTGTACGAGCTGCAATTGGCTATGTCGCCTTTGTACATTGTACATCCCTCCAGTCTTGCGGAATAACTTCGTGCACCCATATTTTCAGCACGAGTTCGAACAGCCTATTTTAATGCGGTGACTGCTGTACTTGTATAATTCAGAGGTTAGACTATCCACGCCAGATGCTCGTATTACTATATGCTGCAGAGACATGGTATTGCTACAAATCGGGCGTTAGGAAACTAGACGACAAAAGACGTTCTCAAGGGTAACCTTCGCGCCTATGACATACCAACGGATGGCTGGAAGCGACGTGCTCCTCTCAGACTCGAATGGCAAAAAACTGTTAACACAAGTGTCAAAAAATTAGAAACTATTTTGAAAGATTTTGACACAAAGCGACAAATGCGCAATACTAGATCCGGGACCTACACTACTACACATTTTACTCGGACGGCCAGCTCTACTGTGCGCAGTGCAACCGGACTTTCAAAACGAAGGTCGGTTTTGCAAGTCATATCAGAGCAAATCAAAGGGAGCCCCTGGATAGGAACCCAGGCTGAGGGATTCCTACATAGACATCTGAACACAAAGTGGCTTCAGTAATTTAGATTCGGACCTACAAATCAATCTTGTCAATGGTAAACTGTGTCCAGTTAGGATCATCACCCATAAAATCTATCTAACTGTAACATGTAACAATATTCATCAATTTTCGCTTGCGATATAAAGGTGAAAATGATGCAAACCATCTTTTATTTACAGCTTCGAATATCCGCAATCATAAATTAAGGTGGGTACTTGATTCGATGATATTGCAAAAGCGATGGTACGAACTCGATAGCTGACTAATAAGCGTTGTATAAGTGAGTGGGAAGGGGGAGGCCAATGAGTTGATTGAAAGCTTCCTCTTGGGAGCAATGTGGACAGTGTAAGAGGTTATTTTCCTTCTATCGACGGCTATAAATGTTCGTAATGGAATATTAAGAGCCGGATTTAATAGACAAAAAATGAGGGAATTATCGCGGATTCTTGACGATGTATTCGCGAGTGAAATGTGATTTTTATTTGTTTTCATATGGTGCTTTGATAGTTACTCAATTTGGTTGAGTGTTAGGACTTCTTCTTAGTCAGCTTTTGGTCAGTCTACTTTTAGTCAGTTGTCTGACTTCTGTAGCCTTTCTAAAATGTTTTCATCATTAAATTGTTGTTTTAATATTTTTCATCCAAAGTTTATTTTATGCGAATTAGTATCACATTGAGATGATTACATTTTTAATACAATTTTATGGATAGTGTGAAGTATGCTGACTCATATAAAATTTATATTGACACAACTTTATAGACGCCCGAAAATCTTTATACCAGTCCCGGGTAAACACCCGCACCATATATTAAGTACTTGCGACTTTTAGTCCTTAGATATTGATCAGTTACGCCACCAATTGAAAGTATCGAACCTTAAGATTCATAGTATTTCGGTATAAGCCAGTACCAGTCTCAGTATTAACGCGAAACGATCGGAGACAGCGCAAGAATCAAGTAGATCGACAAACTATGACAAGACAGACATCATGAGAAGTGAATGAAGTCTCACTGTCTTTGTTCAGTATTGGAAAATATTTTGAGTACAGAATGCACAACGGCTGCGAATAATTTAAAACGACAATAGTTTGAAAATTATAAAACGGATAGCAAGGTTTGTCTGTTTATCTTCGTCTGCATTTAAATAAAAACCATCTTTAACGTTAGACACTGTGCCATTTTTAATACAGTGTGAGCGTGAGTTCTGTGACACTTGATATTATCCATTTCACACAGTTTCTTTCCAGACTAAAAAAAATGAAATACTCACATGAAAATTAGTTTAAAATTTAATTTTTATCTTTTTGGTTTTGTTTGTTTTATTGGCTTCCATGTTTTGTTATCGTACCTATGAAAATGACCCCCGTTAAGTTCTGCCCGTCTCTATTTGATTCTGTGTCTTATGTATGTAACAGTGTCTAATTTGTTGCTTCTTCTTTTTGATGCATTGATAAGTTTATACTCTGTCAGATTTACTTCATAAAGCAATGTTTTATAACAGAAAAAAATCCCATAGAAGCTACTACTGCACTATCTGATGCTGTAGTACCGAATCTACACAACGAGTTAAAAATCCGTCTTATTTTAGTGCTACGAAACTGTTACGTTTTTACGTCGGAACCACAGAACCAATTTTCATAAGCGTTTTTTCATAAGAAATCTTCAGCGTCACATTAAAATAATTACACAATATCAGGAAAAAGTTTCTTATAAACCGGCCTTGAATATGAATAAGAAAAAGTCATTGTATTTTTTTGAGTCGTCTTTTATATACAAGGGTGTAAAGACGTTTTAGAAAACAAAAGATCCAAATTGAATATTTGTAGGCGACGAACTTTAAAGAATTCGTTAATTACTTCCAATAATAGTGATATTGTTCACCTGTACACTATAAGTCAAAAACATTATTACCTAACGAATTAAAATTGCCATGACTCAACGAATAGCAAAAGTTTTTCCAGACATGTGCGGGTAATCTATGCAATCATTCACTTCTTTCTACGAACCAACCAAAGGATATAATTTTATTGTTCATGCAATTGCCACTTTTGCCATACCTAAATATATATTTTACGATTTATGACCTCGGGTGATTTTATGAATTCATCTACATTCATTCCTTTTATTTAGCGGTTTTCTGATTAACATATATTATTTATATTGGAGTTAATAAGTTTTGTCTGACAATTATTTCAATTGTCTACATCTCCGTTTGCAATATAAAATTAATTATTAATTTTCTATTATATCATTGACACATTAGTACAGATACTATTTATCAAACGTCTTAAATACTCGTAACAAAGAGCCTGTTTTACAGGAAAGAAAAATATTTCATGCCATTATCTTATAATCTTTTAAATTCTAATTAAAATAAAGATGTGCAACAAAATTTTGTTTAGTAATGACCATAGTGAAGTAAGAAAATTCTATGGGGTATTATTTTCAGAATATCTCAGCACAATAATGTGTTACAAAACACCTTGCCCGATTTACTTAAAACTTGAGAAGTTGTGTGTGACCCGTGACGCTAGTGATATAGCTTTCGCCCGATTGAGCCTGGGGATAAGGTGCGTGTAACAAGCTTAAGGTACACCCTGTGTCTATTGTATACAACCTCCATTGTGACGTGTGACATTGGCTTCAATTCTTTATTTGAAATTTTAAATCCCTAGTTTTGTTTTTACACACTTTTCTCCTATACGGACCTTAAGAATAAGATAACAATGTAGTTCAAAAGTTACATTAACAAAGTAGGATAAGTGGAATTCCTAATTATTCTCAGATACATTCATTAAAAATAAATTAAAAAAACTATTTCATAATATATGATATATATATATATATATATATATCTGATTTTATAACTAAACTCTGCAAAAGTATTAAGCTTATACGTTATATTATTTAGTTAAAGTATCCATATTTAATGACTACAACTAAATAAAAGGATTACTAATATTGTTTGTAACTTTTACACTGAAGATGCCTGCTGCTAAAGGGATTACATGATATATTTTAGATTCTAAACCAGTAATTCTAACTTTTTTTAAGGTTTAATCACTTTAAAACTTACTAAGTCTATAAACCTAAAACATACTTTTACATACATATAATTTTTTAATTAGGATAGATTGCTATCAAAAATTTATGCATAAACATTAAACAGGTATGTAGGTTTTTAGGTTGTAGTTTTACCTTGTTATTTCGATCATTTTTACGTTAAGAAGGTCATTGCCCTTCATAATTTCGTGTGGACTGAGTTCCTTCGTCGTACCGACTATAGTTCAATTTATTGTGATAATAAACAATACGACGGTTTTG